AGTATATATTTATTATATTGTATATATATATAGATATATGAAATATCATGATAAACATTACATACACATATATATTATTATGTTTTTTATTATTATTATTATATTACTATTATTATTAAGACTATATATTAGTACATTTTTGGCCAGCCATGGCACCGGATTTCTGCTGTTGGACAGGCAGCAGTCCTCATAGAAACTGAGCCCGGCCGCCAACGACTCCACGGCCTCCAAGCTGTGGCTCAACGGTGCAGCGTGGCCGTCCAACGCGGAACCGCCGTGGTAAGGCATGGGAACCTCGGCGAATGCAAACTGTGACAGGGGATTATATATATACATATATATATATAAGGTATTGTATATACATATGTATGTATATTGTATACATGTATATACATGTATACATGTATATATAATATATATATGTGGGATATGAATAGTATGAAATATTGGGAAGTGTATGTGATGGGCATACAGACTGTGGCATGGAAAAAGGGATCATAATAAATATAGTATTGGGAAGAGCACTGGAATTTATATTGATGGGATACATTTCTTGTGAATCGATATAAACTGCTTTCATAGTGGTAATTAACATTGAATATACTGAATATACCCTCTGGTAAACAAACATATCAAACATAACTTTGGAAAATCACAATTTTTGATGGGTAAATCAACTATTTCTACGGCCATGTTCAATAGCTATGTTAGTTTACCAGAGGGTATACGAAATATATGAAACATTTTTTATCTGGGACAACATGGCTACCTTTTTTGAGCCGGGCCATTCTGGGGAGATGATGGCCTGGTGGACCTGTCAAATTGAATGACTGGTTGGTGGTACCCTCTGGTAATTTAACATAGCTATTGAAAATCCCCATTTTCAATGGGAAAATCCACTATTAATGGTCATTTTCAATAGCTACGTTAAATTACCAGATGGTATACCAGTTGGGATTATTCTTCCCAACTGAATGGAGAAAAAAACCTGTTCCAAACCACCAACCAGATGAATATGAGTATTTCATATGTATTTAACTACAGCAGTGGGTGGGAAATGGAATGAAATGGAATGGAATGACATGGATTACGCCATATTAAAATAAAAACCTCATGGTCGAACTGCTCACCATTGGCTTCAAATACTATCTGGTACTTGTATTGTCCTTCCTTCAAGGCTCTGCTTGAAATTCTCAACAAATGATATCGGTTTGAACCACTGACAGAATGAACCTTCAAGAAGTCATACTTGATGATGTCTTCTCAACCTCGGCACGTCGGCATGGTGGAAATGACATCAGCTTCATCAGCGTTGGTTGACAACCAATGCTCCGAAAGCATACCCCCCGATTTGCTCCAACAGCATACCTACAACAGCAGATGCTCCCATGACCCTATGCTTCCAGACTTCCAGAACGACGAAATGACATCTGATTAATCCCAATAGTAAAATGCTCCCAGAGCATACCCCTATGCTGCCTATGCGATTATGCTCTAGGAGCATACCCCTGACACTCAAGCAACTAGCATAGTCCTATCCTCAAATCAATGGAGTCGACACCTTGAAGCAAAAATAGGCCAAAATCCAAGGGGCATTTCCACACGCCCAGATTTTGAGCGGATGAATTCCTAATCTGGTTGGTGGTGTCAACCCCTCTAAAAAATATGACTTCGTCAGTTTTGAAGATGATTATTCCATATTCTTCCCAACTGAATGGAAAAAAACATGTTCCAAACCACCAACCAGTTTTGAAAGTTGAGAATATCCGATTCATCAGCTGTCAAGGCGTCACTTGTGGCTACCGCGCAGAGCACAGACAGAAATGACTGCAGCTGGAATCATACTGGGTGAGTCACCCAATATGATATTCAGCATGATAAAGCCATTGTTCTTCCTCTTTTTAGGTGACATGGCGCATGGTGCCATATGGTGCCATTTACAATTTTCCATCACGGCTCCACATGTTTTCCGAAGTCGCTGAGCTCCAAGGGTCAGTGGCGACAACCTCCAACTGCTTTTGGCCGCCATGGTCGCGAATAGCGGATAGCTTACAGGGCATGAAGACTACAACTCGGATCGCAAAAGGATAAAATGGATATAAAAAGGATATTACGATGGTCTCAAATGTGTCTCAGTTGTGCTTGCGCTTCTGCCTGCAGAGCCACCAGATATCCACAGATCGATCCGTTGACCTTAGGGCCTGGCCATGGACGAGGCGAGTCGTCAGCTGCCATGGATCAGCAGCAAATCTTCCCCCAGAAACCCACGTTGGCCACGTTGGGATCATTGGGATCTTGATCCAATTGGTAGGCTTGGAACTGACTCGAAGATGTTTGAAACGAACCAGTTTTGATGGGATAACGAGTGAAAAATACATCAGTCTAGAGTATTTTTGGATACTGCTGATCCTGTATTGATGATCTGCGAAGATCAACAATTTTGATCAATTTTGATCAATTTTGATCATGCGCTAGTTTTAAAATAGAAAATCCATGAAATACTGCAAAGAATGAGCGTGGTGGATGTTCAACTGGTAAGTCGGCTACCTATCCAATTACTTACTGTGTCACCAAGCTCTGCTGTGCTTTGCTGAAATCGAGCTGATGCAACACTCTCCCGCAAGCAGCAATGCGCATTCAGCGGGTTGTACGGTTTTTGGATGGCTTTCAAGGAAAAACACCCTACCAGTCAGAGTATCCCAAAATGGTTCACAAGTTCTGAGGTACGAGCCAGTACGGAATTGGATGGTTCTCAATGGTTCTCAACATTGGGATCCCCCGAACCGTTGTTTTCCCCACGTTTGTGCCCCCATTTTCGGAGCCCCCCCCAAACACTTCTTTTTGTTACCCCAAGAATCATATGAGCCATTCTGAAAACCTTCAGTCACTCCCTATGTCGTATCATTTTGGGTGCGCCAAAGCTTACGCCATGCTTACGCGCGTAGAGTTTTTCCTTACGCGAAGCAAATTGAGGAAACCCTTACGCGAAGTCCTTACGCGGCCTTACGCAAGCGAGGGTTTCGCTTACGCCAAACATGTGATGACAAGGCCCGTACTGAAAATGTAAAGGGAGGTTTTTAGATCGGCTTATATAAATTTGGGTCTGGGCCACCGGCCATCACCATGGAATATTCGGCTATATTTCTGGGTAGTTCAGGTCATCAATTCTTCAAATTTTCTAGGTGTTGAATCTGGTTACCCTCTGGTAAACTAACATAACTATGGAAAATCACAATTTTTAATAGGAAAATCAACTATTTCTACGGCCATTTTCAATAGCTATGTGAAATTACCAGAGGGTATGCATGTTGAATCTGGGATCCTTATCCCCAACATACCCCAGGCATCCCAGGCATCCCGGCATCGGCGCCCTGACGCAGCCCTGAGTTTCCAAACCACAACGTGCTGAGTGTAGTGAAACTTACAATGCCGGGTGAGGACAAAAAACGTCGCCCTTGTTTCGCAGAACCTGAAATAAATCATCTGATAATAGTGAATCATAGTGAACAACTGTCAGATCCAACTGCTCAGATCCAAAATCAACTGTCAGGTCCATAGTAAAAAATCCATCTCCAACTGCTCAGAGCTCCAAGTGCTTGTCCAATCACCAGCAAGTTACGCATCATTCTGCGAGGTTTGGCGCCCCCTAGTGGATAATCAGTCCATCTTTCCATGTCCAAGGTGCCCAGCCTAGTCCCATCTAGTCCCCAAGAAATTGGATGGTCAGTTCGTCAGTTCATTAAAAAAAACAGTTTTGTGTAGTGCCAAAGTCTTCTTTCGTGCAAATGTTACCTTGCTGAACCACTCACTCTATCCATCTGCATCCTACAAATATAAATGATTATATAATGTTATATAATGATAAATGATGGTTGGATACTAAACATAACCTGGTTTGCGGGCCCAGAAAGGTACCCTACGTCTGAGCCATCTCCAAATGCTGTTCCCCCTAAAAGAAAAAAACAACAATGCGTTTAAATTCATCTGTTTCAGGAGGAACCAACTGCGCACGGTGACACAATGATGGAGACAACTTGGCATCAAACGGCATCAGGAAGACACCAACAAATTATCACCCAACGATGTGGGGCACCACACGATGTGGGGCACCACACGAAGCAAAGTTGGTTTACATGTAAGTTGACCAGGATTTATGGAAGATAAACCATACATCTACGTATACAAGCTTATACCTGGGAGCCCCACATTGTAGAATGACAGAGTCTATGCTATGAGCACCATTTTTTGCCAATGTGTCTCAGTTCAGGACCTCTGAACTTTGAAACTTAAGTCTCCAAACGAAACTTTCTGTTTCACTGCTTGCACAGCGCAGAAAGTTTGACGTGTTCGGTGTCGCACCATCAGGAGCCCCAAGCGGACATGCTTGGTCCAGATCTGCTCCGCATATCACAGTGAATTCCAGCCAGTCACATGGATATGGCACCATAGCCCTTACCATCTTTGTATGGTGATTTTGGATAGGCAATAGTGAGTCTTGATGGTATAAATGCTGTTGAAGAATTGCATCAAACTCACAAATTCTGAAAGGGCACTGGGTTGGCTCAGGAAACAGTGTTGAACACCTTTTGTTTCAACATCTTTTACGCTCTGGTGAACTAACAGTTTGATATGTTAATACTGCAATATTAATAGGGAAATAGAATAAATGATAATAAATGTATCTATCTGCGCCTATCTATCTATCTATCTGTCTGTCTGTTTGTCTATCTATCAATCTGTCTACGAATCTATCAGTCTATCAGTCTATCAGTCTATCTGTCTATCTGTCTATCTGTCTATCTGTCTATCTGTCTATCTATCTGTCTATCTATCTATCTATCTGAATGTCTCTCTATCTGCTTAACCATCTATCTATCTGTGTCTATCTGTGTCTATCTGTCTATCTGTCTATCTGTCTATCTGTCTATCTGTCTATCTGTCTATCTGTCTATCTGTCTATCTGTCTATCTGTCTATCTGTCTATCTGTCTATCTGTCTATCTGTCTATCTATCTATCTATCTATCTATCTGGCTATCTGGCTTTCTGGCTTTCTGTCTATCTATCCATCCTATCCATACCATCCTATCCATTCTATGTATCCTATCTATCGATCCTATCCATCCTATTCATGCTATATATCCTATCTATCCTATCGTTCCTATCCATCCTATCTATCCTATCGATCCTATCCATCCTATCTATCCTATCTGTCTTATCTATCTATTCTATTCCATCCTATTCTATTCTAGTCTATTCTATTCTATTCTAGTCCATCCTATTCCATTCCATTCCATTCCATTCCTTTCTATCTATCTATCTTTCTATTTTACCCAGTTCAATCCAAATTTCGAGCCCTGGACAAGCGTCTGCTCCCACTCACAGCTCTGACTACCGACCATGAGATGGGAGCTCAAGTCCGGAATCGGGAGAAAAAAAACTGCAGGACTTCCAGCAAGGTTTCGTCACTTCCACGATCCAATTAACATAGATCAACTCAGAGATTTATAATAAGGGATTAGCGCCGAACACTTCGCCCTTCTGAAACCGCGCAACTTTATCTGTTATGGGGACATAGTTCCAATCCTCAAAAAACGCCATGATTCATATCCGGACGACATTTCCAAAGAAATCAAAGTATATAAACGATATACCTGCCAAGGCCCCCGTTAACCTCTGCAAACATCACAAATCGTCTTTTGTTTAAGCTGCAAAATGCGGGTTCATTACTTCCGCCGAATACCCATCAAAACCTTGCTGGAATACCCATCCAAGATGCCAGAGTCCAACCATCACTGGAGGTCTAGGTCGAAGCAAAGCGTGTCTGAAAGATCTTCATCCACGATCGTGTTCAACTCCTGTCAGGAGTTTCCCTGCAGATTTTCCCAACAAATTATGGGAATTTCCATGTTTAACTCCTGACCGCCCCTTTAAATCAACGAATGTTGTACCCTGATTAGTGCATTACCCCGCATCAAAGCATTGTTCGGTAGGCAAGAATCAGGAAGCATTCAGGAGGGAAAAGGGTCAGGAGCCTAGGTACTGTGCAGCAGAGAAGGCTGAAAGGTTCATCTTCTGTGAAAACTCTCCCAATTGTTCAATCAGTGGGATTGACGGAGAGCACTGTTTTAAGTCTCAGAATTTAAGTTAGCATTGGAAATGTAAGTAATCATTATTTTGTTATCCTTGTTTCTGTTCAATGAAACGTTATTTCCGTTCTGGTCTTTTCCTTCTCCCAGAGAAGATGAACAGCAAACCAATTTTTCGTAGTCGTGCCCAATCGAGTTTTTGAACACACCTTAGAAGTAATTTCACAACTCAGTACAGTTCTTGTGTGGTTCATGGGCTTCCCTCTTCAACTTCACAAAGTATTTGGATGTTGCTTTTCAGACAAAATTCAGCAAAGAAGTAGATCCTTTTAGAAAGCTTAGAATGTGTAGAAAGAACATATGTTGTTGGAACTTGGAATGCATTGGAAACGAAGATGCAAAACTGGCTTGGAGGTTTGAGTTTCCACGAGGGCCTTGGTGCCTTTTTCTGTGTACAACATTGGTCAAACACCACTTACTATTCAGAGAATAGTACGTATCAATACTAAGAAACTATCACAGGCAACTGATTGAGCAACTATCACTATCACTATTTATCATGTATCAACTGTTCACAATGGTCACATAAATATTAACACTAGCGTCACTAGCACTTGGCAGTTGAAACACTGTTTTCATATTGGGATCATCATCCCAGCCAGGCTTGGTGAACTATACCCGTTATATCCTGATTTATATCCCCACTACAAAAACCCCATTATATCCCTCAACAAAAACACTTGTTAGTCATCATGCTGTTAAAATCGAGCCAACCACCGGATCATCATTCGTGATATTCCCCAAAAAAATGTCGTGTTAGATGCTTAAAACATAAATCCCGTGTTGTTCTTGCTTATTAAATCCCATATTGTTCTTGGTTATTGCCATTGTCTTTTTCTCTGCTTTCCGTGCTATCCTAAGTGGTGACAGCATAAATATGGGCAATCCTAATTGGGATCGAGTCGAGATGCAGGTCCTCATCCAATTTGAGATGTAGCTCCAAGCTGATTCATGACATGGATTGAATTCAATCAAAATAGACAGTCAGTCAATCAACTTGTTCCTATGCAAATAATATATGGGTGTGTGTCTTTTAATCATTTTCTCCTATGCAAAACAAGCAGAAGCGTGTACCAGGAAAAGAACTATACTCATCTGAACCTATTCTGGGCTGCAATGTCTCACTTTAAAGTCCAAGCTGTTTGTGACCACTTTGTTGCATTGAAAGCCATGCTCCTTGACGACCATATGAGCATAGATAGCCTCGGTTTGAGGCAGAAAACTATAACTCGCTGGTTGCAACAGGTAAAAAGGGCTTGGTGATTTTAGCATATTTTCATGGCATTCCGAACATCTTTTGTCTATTTACCATCCCCAATTAGTGGAACACCATATTAATATGTATATCACTGTGTGTGTATATATATATACACATTAATCATCATTAACCATCATTAACCAAAACATATCAATGGAGAACCGTCCCTAATTCATGGGTTAATCTTCAGTGCCATGTTCGTCGGACGTTCCGAATTCTCTCATGGCCAGCTGGGTGGTTGGTATCATCCGTCCGACCTGGCCTGGCTTGTTTGATGTACAGTGAAGCTGAAAAAAAAAGCAACAACCGTGACCCAGCATTCTCAAAATGTATACAGTACATTACAGTATACACCCTGCATCAATAAGCTCACATTGCAATTGTCAGTATATGAAATATAGAACTGGGATTTGAGCTCCGGTGTCATCAAAGGAGGTTTGCTGGAAACTTCCCCAGCGATATTTGGAAACTGCAGTGGCGACAACCCCTATCATTTGTGTGGTTAAGAAACCACCAACTAACCCATGGGTCTATCACTATTCCCTGTCATATTGACATCTATAATTTCAGCTACCTATCTATCTACCAACCCATCTATCATCTACCTGCTCATCTATCTATCTACCTATCTATCCATCTATCCATCCATCCATCCATCTATCCATCTATCCATTTATCCATCTACCCATCTATCCATCTATCTATCCATCTATCCATCTATCCATCTATCCATCTATCCATCTATCCATCTATCCATCTATCCATCTATCCATCTATCCATCCATCCATCCATCTATCTATCTATATATCTATTATCTAATCTCTAAGCTAATCTAATCTCATCTCTATACATATATACTTGTATGATCTGGTATATTTTTGATTATACCTGTGCCTGGTAGACTGGTTGATACCTTGCAAGATCATGTTCCAGAATCCATCTGATTCTCATAGGCAAAAATTCCATAATCCATGACTTTGGATCATTTATAAACAATGAGATAGAATGTCATCATAGATTATCTGAAACATGGGATAAATGCATTACATAGCATATTGATAGAATGTCATTGATTATTGATAGAATGTCATTTCAATGATACTTACAGTAGATCTAATGAAAACCATAGCCATAGTCATTTCATGATACTCAAATCTGGGTAAATGTTCATGTAAATTAATGCAAATTAATGAACATTTCAGCAAAACCTGAATAGTTCCGCCATGTGGGGATGATTTCCCTCAAATAAACCATGATTCCGTTCGGGAGAACAGGCTTCGCTCGTGATGAAATTTCCCCTCTGGTTATGACTAACAGTTCGCCATGGAAAATAGCCCATAGAAATAGATGGTTTGCCTATTAATAGCATGGTGATTTTCCATGGCGAACTGTCAAAAAACCAAGAGGGTACCATGGATCCCAATCTGATCCACGACCCCCACTTGCCGCACGGGACCATCTCGGTGGCGGCTTCCTTGTGCCCTGCCACCGTCTCCAGCAATCTCTCGGGCTTCAAGGCCAGCAGGGTACCACCCTTGCTGCCTCGAAACAGATATGGGGAGCACCCATAAAACAAGGCTATGGCTGCAAAAAACACCATCCTATGTCGGCAACTTAGATCAAATTACATTACTAACATTACTAACATTACTAACCTTACTAACATTACTATTATGATGTTGTTGGTTAGGATTATTGTTATTGTTTACTTGTGTGATGTTGTATGTACTGTAGGACTTTCGAACGACCTGCGTTTCTAGCTCCCCAAAAAAATCTGGAACTAAACAAAAAAGAAACGCGCATCTTCTTGCGTCCGAACTGGACGCAATAAGGGATCGGAACTCAACGCTGCTCCTTTCTTTTTTACACAAACAATATGTGTATATATATATACACATACTTAGGCAAAAACAAGAAGGGTCTTGCGTGACTCTAGGTACGTATGTCAGTGTGTGCGTGTGTGTGATGTGCGGCATAGATATCATAGATATTGATATGTATATATAATTTATATATATATATATATCAACTATATAAGATATTTATTTATTTATTTATCTATTTTTTTTATCAGGAATATATATATATAATGATATGCAGAAATGTATAATCTACAACCAGTCAGACACGCTATTGGATTCTGGATCAGATACAATAGACCTAAGCTGATTTGACATGATTTAAGGGCATCAATGGTATTCCAAACCAAAACTGACAGTCACCCTGAAAATGCCGCTTTGAGACTCAGGAGCTTGGATGGCTCAATGCTCAGGAAGGGCATGAATTTTACCAACGTTATTACAAGTAAGTCCAATTTATCACTATAGATTGGTATACCAAGTTATCACATGAATCACCAACTTTGGGGTATACAGCTGTTTTCCCCTTCTATGTTCAAACCTAACTCGTGTAACTCGTCCAAAAACACGTGGAAAAAATCGTCCCGGGATCCGATCAAAATGCGCAAGGCCTGCCACAGCCTTGCCACAGTAGGTCCATGACGTCCATAGACATGGTTCACAGATCCAGTCCTCGGGAGCCAATTTTCCATATGTTTTTTTGGGGTGGAGGGGATGAAACACCATACTGGGACCGGGGACCGTGAAGAGCATGTTTCCATGTGACAGAAAATGAACGGGGGATGGGTTGAATGGCTATCTGAGGCCCTTTCTCTAGTGGGGATGAGCATCTCCTTGGGAATATCTCTACCCGACCAACTCCCGGATCTGGCAGACGTCCCAAGAAACCTTCAGATTTGACCCTAGTGCCAGACCTAACCTTGACAGCTTAGATTCCAAGGAATTTTGTTGGACCGCAAGTGGCGGTTCCCAAGCTCAAACAGGTTCCGATGTTCCTTTCGATGTTCCGCAAATGTCGCCTCTCCTAAAAATTGCACCAGCTCCTTTTTGTGACAAGCCTTGCCCATTGGACCTAGGACCTTGCAATGATTTGCCCACTATAGCAAACTGACTTATTTTACAAAGCAGACAATAGCCAGTCTTGGGATTATTCTCCCCTACGAAGCATCAGCATAATTTACCCAAACTGATTGAAGTGGAGTTGTCTCAAAATTAGCAACCCATTCTATTTTCTGGTGTTTAACTTATAACCTAAAATTTTCCCCATATCAACATTGCTACAACATAGAGTATATAAATGCCCTTTAGGGACAAACCAGTATAATATTGGTGCTTTTCCCAGTATATCCACATGATACTCCCATGATGATTGCTTTTACACCCTTACATTGTTGTTTAAATGCCCACCCGGGGTCAAACATCTGATTGAAAATCCCCAACAGAGTAGATTTGTAAAATCGGCCATATCCATCAACCAACAAGAGAATTTGATATTTTTGGTTTTATATCCCTATTGAGTATACCCATAAAAAGCCCTAAAAATGGCTAAGTGCCAAAATTTTCTCGATCCAACCTCCAACAGCGCTGACAAGACCCCCGACTGACTTTATGCCGAAGCGCGCCAACTGCCAGACGTTCCCCACTGCCGCACAGCGTCCCAGCGGGCGCTCCGAAACTGGGACCGTGGATATGAGACGACGAAAAAACGACAAGGTGGCGCCACAGGTTGTTAGCTGAGTGGGTTTAGAACCATAACCTGGGTGCCTATCTATCTCTACACATGATGTATGTGCTTATCAATCCATTTCTCACTGGGGGAGTTTATAGACCGATTCTATGAACATCTAGGAACTATAAATTGCGGTTAACGGTTAAGTGACAAAGTTGTGGGGGTAGAACACCAACCCTGTCATGGGATCATTGTGGCGATGTTGACCAACAATAATGGTCCGAGAAGGGGTGCCCAGAACAGGGTACTCCTGGTAGATATAACTACAAGAACTGTTGGGTTGTCTCCTCCATAAACCGGGTAGAACACCAGCAATAGTCTGGCTATCACTACATAAGTCTAACTATAGATGTGTATACTGTATATATATATATATATTATATTCTGACTATAACATACTATAACTATATAAGGTTTGTAAATGTTTGTCGTGGGGGGTATATCTATACTTCTGGTCAATGATTAGTAGACGTGTTGTATAAATGGATGATTTTACCATGAAAAACATGTTACACTAAGAAATAAGACCATATGCAATGAAATTCATAGGAAACCATGAAATGTACCATCAACCACTGCTGGTTTCCTGATTATATACATGTTCCCTTTACCCATTTCTGGAAAGACGGCCTCCAAAATAGGATTCTGTTGGTTATTTCTTTTACCGCCTGTAGAATCTGTAGAAAGTGTACTTGTTGTTTATGAAAATTATATTAATGATATAATGTATATATATACACACGCTATACATGGAAGTATCATCCATAAGTTGGGCTATCCCGGCTCAGCTGCCAGGCAGCTATGGTGAAATCCCAGGGCTACAATCCCAAGGAATAAATTGAATAAATGGTGGCAAATGGTTGCTAGATACTTTAGTCATGTCCGGTATGTCCTAGTCCTGGTTGATCTCATAGATTCATAGATCTGGGCAGATTGTTGTCATTTCAAAACTGGGAATCATCCATTGTCAGGTCATTTTTAGGACAATAGCCCCTACTGCTAACGTCTTGGCATCACAGCGACAGCACTGCAAGGCGGTGCCCCCCCAGTGATGTTTGTTGGTTTATTCGATATATCTACCCTAAACCATAGTTCTTGGAGTTATAAACCGACTTAGCAAATCTTTACTTTATGTGTATATATTATATATGTATATATATATTATTATTATATATTTCAAGGACAGTTGCAAGTCACAATTCCGAGTCCTCGAACTCCCAAAAAAGACCCCTCTTTTGCAACCACTGTGGCGCAGCATCCTGAAAACCAGATTTGAGGCGATTCTTAATGCATTCTCCCAGCAATGTGTACCTTCCGGGTAACCTCCCGTGTCATCAAACGTGGCTTGCTGGCAAATCCACCTGTAAACCTCGATTTAGTTGAGGATGTTCAGAGATGTTCAGAGATTCTCCAGCCAACCACGTTTGATAACCTCCGTGGTATCCGGATTGCGTGTGATTTTCCCCGATCAAATCACCGTTTATGCCTGGTTCAACAAACGCGAATGCTGGCCAATTTCTTCATAAGCCCAGCAGGATCAGAATTTGATCAACTACCAGTTGCGGCTTACAAGTTAAAGCCCTATTTTTGCTTGTCAAAACCGATCTCATGTGTGCCAACATGTGCCAACATAGAATCATCAGTTTATTGGTTGCGAAAGTCGATATGACCGGCAACAAATTAAATGAACGTTGCTTCCGAACAAGAAACGTTTACAGGGCACATCCCGTTTGTTGGTTTCAACTTCCCCTTAGAGTCGTGTTTGTCACAAGGGGGTCATCATTTCAAATGTGACTGAAAATCATGTTGACAGCACCAACCATTTGTATCTCTGCATATCCGCAACAGAGTTAGTTGAACATAATTAAGTTGCATATAAATCGAATATAAACTGAACATAAATCGAAAACAATGAAGTTCAATACAATCATAATATGTTGGATATGTTCCCATTCTCCCCATGTTCAGTGTCATCCCAAAGCTGTCCAGCAGCTTGTCAGGGATCACCGAGAAGTTCTGGCGCAGCCTGGGCTCCTCTGAAGCTTCGTCCTCCAAGTCTGCAGCGTCCGTCAGCTTTTTGTACCTGCGCCAGCGGCAGGGCACAGCATGCTGAGCCTGGGAAAGGTATGGCGACCCTGGTACCATCCTCAAAACATCTCAAAATTCACACTGTAACCCTGATAATTAGTTGATTTTTTCATAAGTCGTGATAAGTCAGTGACTTACAACCTTCCAAAAATGGCATGGTCATGCATGGTCGGCATATTTGTTGGGGGGACAAGTTTGGCCTTAAGCAAATCCATATTTTTTCTTCCAGGTCTACTGAGACAACCAAATCCGTGTATCAGTTTTTTTTTTTCAAATCAACTTATCAGACACGAATATCACAACACGTACAGTATATGCTTATATAATGATTAATATACGGTTAATATATGGTTAATATATGGTTATATAATGATGGTTTTATCTAATGATGGTTATATAATGATGATTAGTAATAATACTGCTTGGTGGTTTTAACCCTCTTGAAATATATGAGTTCGTCAATGGGAAAGATGAAATCCCATATATGAAATGGAAAATAAAACATGTTCCAAACCACCAACCAGTAATCAATTATAAATAAACGATGGCATTATCACCATGGTTCAACCATGTTCAATCATACGATTGACCATATTGTGAGACAATTGACCTCTATGATTGTTGGTTTATAAACCAACTTAGCTGTGGGTACACCTAGCAAAAAAAAAACGAGTTCAACCAGATAGCTAAGGATTCGGGGCACCACTGTGACAAAAAAAAACCATTTAGAATTTAACAAGTTTATTTATCAGTGATATCACCATTCCTTGCTGGAAAAACTCAGTCAAAACCCTTTTTTTTGATGGTTAAACAGTGAAAAAACCCACATAATTCATGATTGAACCAGTCGAACATCCAACGCCCAGGACCGACCTGATCGAGCCGTGTACCACGAAAAGCATCGAGTCACACGCGGGACCCGCGTGGAAAAGGACCTCCCCAGGCACCACGTACCAGTCGACCAAGCAGCGCGTGCAGAGGTCGTACCTCGCTGAAATTTGTTTGTTTTTTAGGTGTGTCGCTGTATACACACATCGGGTATGTAGGTGTTTACATGTGTACATATATATAAATATATGTGTGTTATTATATCATATGATATGTCATTATCATTAAATATTGACAATAGGAATAGTGCTAATTAATATGCATTGTCGAAATAATGAGTGAATACTGCAGCCCTAAAATTTGCAAATCTTTTATTAATCATTACACTGGCGATTTAGTAGCCAGTAGGTTAATTAATATTATCCTAGGCCAGCCAATATGTCAATATGTTCAATATCGGTTGTTGTTGGTTGATGATGTCCAGTTACCCCCCTGAAATGTTTGGTTTTATATTCCCATATCTTTGTTGGTTGAATAGGCAAACCCACCATCTATGCTCACGGTGCCCTATACCTTGTTCAGTTGGTGTATAACTGGCTTAAGCGTTGGGTTTTTGGTAGATTTGCAGAGTTAGATCGGTAACAAAATCAAGTTAGCACAGGGAAGCAACACAGTGTAGCCCCATTTTCTCCCACTGATCAAGGTTAATGTATGTTAATGTTATACCAACCTAACCTTATTGTTAAGCCCCATTTTAGGCTTTGTTGAAGCCCCATTTTCTCCCACTTCCAACAGCCGAAAGACTGAAAACCCTGGTGTCGATGGCTGATCACTTGGAACAAGCGATGGCTTTTCCTGAGCTCAGGTTGAGAGAAGATCCCTAGGCCGTGTGTTTTTGGGGAAAAGAAACTATTGGTTTCTGTTGGATTCTACTATATAACTACAAAAACTACTGGGTTTATCAAGGGCGTATGTATGTATGTATATATATATATGTGTGTGTGTGTAACACAAACTATATCGTACAGAAATATGCAGCACATATTCTCATGTGGTAACAACCAATTGCATATGTTGCTTTTGTTTACAATGGTTGGGTTGGATAAAGGGACATTCTGCAGGAAACCAGGGGTCTATTCAATAGGAATCCCAGTAAAAAGGAGGTACTGTACCATATAAGGCCATATTTTGCTGGGATATTCCCTTACATAGGCCTTATATATGGTAGGTACCTCCAATCGTTCCTGAAATGCCCTTGATCTATGGTAGTTTGTGCGGGAAATATGACCATCTGTAAAGTTAGATGGGGTTACCAACTGGGTATTTTATGTTGTTTTTCCCCACCTGCCAGGTGAGGGTTGTTAGATTTTATCAGAGCTGTTGTCCTCCTCCTCGTCCTCCTCCTCCTCCGCCTCCGCCTCCGCCTCCTCCTCCTCCTCCGCCTCCTCCGCCTCCTCCGCCTCCTCCTCCAGTTTCTCCAGTGTGCACTGCTGGACCTCAAGCTGGGACCTTCCCAGCTCAGTGTGCACCGCTGGACCTCAACCTGGGACCTGCCCAGCTCAGTGTGCACCGCTGGACCTCAACCTGGGACCTGCCCAGCTCAGTTTGCACCGCTGGACCTCAACGGCCAGATAGAATGCCAGAAGATATGCCAGATAGAAAGCTATAAGATATGCCAGATAGAATGCCAGAAGATATGCCAGATAGAATGCCAGAAGGTATGCCAGATAGAATGCCAGATAAAATGCCAGATAGAATGCCAGAAGATATGCCAGATAAAGTGCCAGAATGTGTGCCAGATAGAATGCCAGAAGATTTGCCAGATAATATGCCAGAAGATCTGCCAGATAGAATGCCAGATAGAATGCCGGAAGATATGCCAGAACATATGCCAGAAGATATGCCAGGTAGAATGCCAGAAGGTATGCCAGAAGATTTGCCAGATAATATGCCAGAAGATCTGCCAGATAGAATGCCAGATAGAATGCCGGAAGATATGCCAGAACATATGCCAGAAGATATGCCAGGTAGAATGCCAGAAGGTATGCCAGATAGAATGCCAGATAGAATGCCAGAAGGTATGCCAGATAAAGTGCCAGAATGTGTGCCAGATAGAATGCCAGAAGATTTGCCGGATAGAATGCCAGAAGATATGCCGGATAGAATGCCAGATAAAATGTCAGATAGAATGCCAGAAGACTTGCCAGTAACAAAATGTATAAATGTCATGGTGGGGATCACACGAAGTAAAGTAATTCGATCGATGTTTTTTGGGGCAAAGTATAAGCTTACTTCGGTTAAAGCCATTGTTTCACACCTAGGGATGATGTTCTCATAAAATCCAGCAGTTCAGTGTGAAACTATCCATGACTATCCATGGATAAACCATAAAGTATCAAATGGATCCGAAATAGGGAAATCCCGACTGCTCAATCCACCGTCAACCAGAACCGCCAGAATCATTTCACATTGACCTGGTCGAAAACCAGAACCGCCAAGCGTCACTGTGGGGCTGAACGCTTCCCGACAGAGCTCTCCAAAGAGATATTCGGGCAGAAAGGCCTGTGGTTCTGTGCTGGGAGCACGTGCACGACAAAAGACTATGGTTAACCATGGTTAACTATGGTTAACTTTTAAACTATGGTTAACTTTGGTGAAGACTCCCCTACACAATCCTCTCTGAAATAGTACCTGGACCCTCTGGTAATGCAACAATGTAAAAATCCGGTTCGTTCGGGGATTTCCAATTTCCAATTGCTATTTTTCCCCTATAAATAGAGCGGGGTTCTAGCTGGGAAAATGATCGAACGAAATGATGTATTTTCAATCCAGCAAACCATGTGACTGCTGACCAAAGGATACACGGCTAAATCATGGTTAAATCATGTCAAATGGTTGTTAAATCATATCTAAATCATGGTTAGCTTGCATGGCTAAATAATATTAAATCATTGTAAAATCGCATTAAATCAACATAAAATCTGATGAACAACACATTTTTCCATCGCAAAATTACATGGATCATCACCATACACATGAAATCACCGCAAAGTCCTCATTTTGTCTCGGCCTTGATATCGTTTTTCCCAGGCTTGTGAACTTTCGCCACACTCTTGCGAAGGTACCCAAGCACCTCCAGGGAGTGTTTCGTCATCTTTAAGTGGTAATCGCACAGAATTGATGATCTAAGTTGGTGCAAATAATTTAAGCTTAACCAGGGTTGTAATCATATGAAATAAATATTTCCCCACATTGACGTGTGGGGTTTTTGTTTTTAGTTCTGTATCCGCTCCTCCTCCTCCTCGTCCTCCTTCCTTCCTTCCCGTCCTCCCTCCCTCCCTCCCTCCATCACTCACTCTCACTCACTCACTCACACTCACTCACTCACACACACACACAAACGCACTCACTCTCTCTCACTCACTCACTCACTCACTCACTCACTCACACACACACACACGCACTCACTCTCACTCACTCACTCACTCACCCCGTCCTCCCTCCCTCCCAACATCACTCACTCTCACTCACTCACTCACACTCACTCACTCACACACACACACCCACGCACTCACTCTCACTCACTCACTCACTCACTCACACGCACGCACGCACGCACGCACGCACGCACGCACGCACTCACTCACTCACTCACTCACTCACTCACTCACTCACACACTCACACACACACACGCACTCACTCTCACTCACTCACTCACTCACTCACTCACTCACACACACACACTCACTCACTCACTCACTCACTCACACACACACACTCACTCACTCTCACTCACTCACTCACACTCACTCATTCACAATGTGCACTGCCAAGGGGTCGGATGTACGCCCCGGGGTTCCGCTGGCGTCCCTGGGTCTCCGCCGCTTTTGCGTGGCAGGCGTGGGACAATGTGCACTGCCAAGGGGTCGGATGTACGCTCCGGGGTTCCGCTGGCGTCCCTGGGTCTCCGCCGCTTTTGCGTGGCAGGCGTGGGACAATGTGCACTGCCAAGGGGTCGGATGTACGCCCCGGGGTTCCGCTGGCGTCCCTGGGTCTCCGCCTCTTTTGCGTGGCAGGCGTGGGACAATGTGCACTGCCAGGGGGTCGGATGTACGCCCCGGGGTTCCGCTGGCGTCCCTGGGTCTCCGCCGCTTTTGCGTGGCAGGCGTGGGACAATGTGCACTGCCAAGGGGTCGGATGTACGCCCTGGCGTCCCTCCGGTGTCCCTTGGTCTCCGCCGCTTTTGCGTGGCAGGCGTGGGACAACGTGCACTGCCAAGGGGTCGGATGTACGCCCTGGCGTCCCTCCGGTGTCCCTTGGGCTCCGCCGCTTTTGCGTGGCAGGCGTGGGACAATGTGCACTGCCAAGGGGTCGGATGTACGCCCTGGCGTCCCTCCGGTGTCCCTTGGTCTCCGCCGCTTTTGCGTGGCAGGCGTGGGACAATGTGCACTGCCAAGGGGTCGGATGTGCGCCCTGGCGTCCCTCCGGTGTCCCTCCGGTGTCCCTTGGTCTCCGCCGCTTTTGCGTGGCAGGCGTGGGACAATGTGCACTGCCAAGGGGTCGGATGTACGCCCCGGGGTTCCGCTGGCGTCCCTGGGGCTCCGCCTCTTTTGCGTGGCAGGCGTGGGACAATGTGCACTGCCAAGGGGTCGGATGTACGCCCCGGGGTTCCGCTGGCGTCCCTGGGTCTCCGCCGCTTTTGCGTGGCAGGCGTGGGACAATGTGCACTGCCAAGGGGTTGGATGTGCGCCCTCACTCACTGACTGACTGACTGACTGAGTGACTGACTCACTGACTCACTGACTCACTCACTCACTCACTGACTGACTGACCGACTGACTCACTGACGCACTCACTCACTCACTCACTCACTCACCCACTCACTCACTCACTCACTCACTCACTCACTCACTCAAACTGGCTGTGCCGAAGTTCTGGATGGGCCCAAACTCCTCTGAGTCCTGTTGTTCCTGCTCTTCATCCGCATTCTCCTGCCGTGCATCCTCCTTGGATTGTCTGGGGTCTGGATTTGGGACAAACTGGCTGTGCCGAAGTTCTGGATGGGCCCAAACTCCTCTGAGTCCTGTTGTTCCTGCTTTTCATCCGCATTCTCCTGCCGTGCATCCTCCTTGGATTGTCTGGGGTCTGGATTTGGGACCGGTGTGTTCCCGGTCAAGATGCTAGATTGTTTCTTCTCAGCAAATAGCCCATGCAGTATGGCCGCTGAAATTCTCTGAGCAGATTTTTGTACTGCTTCGACTGCGTGCAACGCTTTGACTCCTCTCTGGCAAACCACTGTTTTCGACTGGATGTGCCATCCATCCACAACATTATGCGCCTCACAAACTGCAGGGATCCAAGTCGCATCTGAGACAACCGCCTTCATATACTCGACTGCAAGCGCCATCTTGAACATGTCTTTGGTGGTGTTCATGTTTTTCCCCACATTGACGTGTGGGGTTTTTGTTTTTAGTTCTGTATCCGCTCCTCCTCCTCCTCCTCGTCCTCCTTCCTTCCTTCCCGTCCTCCCTCCCTCCCTCCATCACTCACTCTCACTCACTCACTCCCACTCACTCACTCACACACACACACACGCACTCACTCTCACTCACTCACTCACTCACTCACTCACTCACTCACTCACTCACACACTAGACAAGAATGGATCATTATATGATCCGGCAGGAACTGAATCCTGAAACATGCAGATTAGAAGCGAAACAATGAAAAGCAGGTACAAGTGGTTGATCAGACCACTCATCCACCGAAATGCCATAGCTTCGTTGGACTGGATAGGCAAATCGGCTCCAGTCCCCCTGCATTAACTTTGATTTAGGATTAGAAAGGGAGAGGACAAAGGAAGAAAAAGAGAGAGAAGAAGTTTTACATCTATTTAGATGTTACACACACACACCCGGCCGGAGCCGGGTCAACCCTGAAAGGCAAGAGGAAGAAAAAAGCGGACACACGACGGGCAGACGGCCAAAACAGCGCAGGGGGGGAGGGGAACAGACGGACCTCCAGAACCAACCTACACGGCGAAACGGACCTGACAAAAACAGCGCACACACCTAAACCCAACAACACGTTACGGAGAGGCACGCGGGGAAAGATTAGGGACCAATGGGGAACTAGTTGATGCCAGACAAAACCAAAACAAGTAATTAAAACCAGGATTCAGTCCCTAACTGCCTAAAATGTCGTGCGATTATTCCCTGCACCGGGACCGTGGTCAAGTCGTGCCGCAATGGCATAAAACAGCTTCCAAGTTCCAACGAATTAGATGCACAATATGTTTCACCTCACCAAATACCAAAGAGACCACACCTGCAGGAAAAGGACATGCCTGTTGCCTTTTGTCGTGAATGTCATGTTGAACTTCAAATGCGCAAGCTGCAGTGCTAAAAGGAAGTTTCTGGTAGTTCGAAGCAGCTTCACTTGAAAGAGCAGATCACTGGGAGCCCTGGGACATCCGGAGCAGCAGGAGATCTCAAGATGGCTGACAAACCGCAAGGCTGATTGTTGCCCTTTACTTAAACGAATTACTAAGTTAAAATGTGTGAATTCAGAATTCAAGACTGTCGACACTCACCCTGAAGAGGGTTGCCTCAAATGGCTCCATGGCACCATGTCGGAGCCACCATGGAAATCACACTAGACAAGAATGGATCATTATATGATCCGGCAGGAACTGAATCCTGAAACATGCAGATTAGAAGCGAAACAATGAAAAGCAGGTACAAGTGGTTGATCAGACCACTCATCCACCGAAATGCCATAGCTTCGTTGGACTGGATAGGCAAATCGGCTCCAGTCCCCCTGCATTAACTTTGATTTAGGATTAGAAAGGGAGAGGACAAAGGAAGAAAAAGAGAGAGAAGAAGTTTTACATCTATTTAGATGTTACACACACACACTCACTCTCACTCACTCACTCACTCACTCACTCACTCGCTCCCTCGCTCCCTCGCTCCCTCGCTCCCTCGCTCCCTCGCTCCCTCGCTCACCCACTCACTCACTTCACTTCACTTCACTTCACTTCACTTCACTTCACTTTACTTCACTTCACTTCACTTCACTTCACTTCACTTCACTCACTTCACTCACTCTCACATCCCTCACTCACACACACCACACTGGCATCACTCACTCACACTCTCACTCATTCACTGTACATGAACATACATACATACACACAAACTCACCCACCATCACCGCTCCATCACTCTTATACTTCCTCTTCCCTTCTTGCTCTTCTATGGTCAGTCTAAGTCTAAAGAAGTTGGTAACATGTGGGGTTATCCGGTCCTTTAATTTAAATATTCATATTATTATCTATATTCACTGACCATCTCAGGAACCTGAACTGGAAGTACCTACCATATATAAGGTATGTAAGGCCTATATAAGGGAGTATCCCCAAAAAATATGGCCTTATATGGTACAGTACCTCCATTTTAGGATCCTAAAATTCCCATTGATATATCTATATTTGGGTGGTGTCGTGAGCCACTTGATGTTTGTTGATTTATGTTCACCAATCATATGAGAAATGTCCAGCTGTCACAAAGTTAGCAAACCTATTTCGCAATTTGGGACCCCCACATTGAGGGCAGTGGAAAGCGACAAAATACATGTAGGAAGGAACAGATAACAACAACTAGAATCATGGCACGTTGAAGTATCACAAAATGATACAACATGTAAGAATAATACATCCGAACTAGGTGATATATAAATGGCTTAGGACACCAAAGATACAACATAAATGGTTTAGAACTACACCCAGCATGACCAAAAATTCTCCCAGTTCAGCGACAGGTGGCCCCGCATGGGAAAATGGATACAAGGTGGCACCCCTCCCAGTTATGTGTGTTTGGTTGTAAACTATTCAACTACTGATTTTCATACATATAGATAAAAAATATATATATATATATATACCAATATCAAATATATATAATATTATACATATTTAAAAAAAAATACACGCAGACCCTGAGGTTTGCCCAAGCCCGGAATATCGTAAATACCAGGGAATTTTGTACGACTTCAAACAACGGGAAGGGTTTTATGTTCAATTATGTTGCTAGGGTGTTAACCAGAACATGTTGCTTCTACATATCATAGAACCAGAACGCGTCCCTTCTACACATCATATGGAATTAACCATACAGTCATTAAGGCTTCTTATAGGGTTTCAAGAAGATATCAAGGTCCCCCAGCCCCTTGAAACAAGTAACCATACAGCCATTAGGGTTTCTTGTAGGGTTTCAAGAAGATATCAAAGTCCCCCGGCCCCATGGAACAATTAACCATACAGTCATTAGGGTTTCTTATAGGGGTTCAAGAAGATATCATCCATCATCATCATCATCATCATCATCATCATCATCATCATCTTCGTCCTCATCCTCATCCTCATCCTTATCCTGTTCCTGTTCCTCATTGTCATCGTCATCTTGGCTTGCCCGGACGCTCGTTGCGAGTCCGGGCAAACCTCAGGGTCTTGCCGTAATTATATATGTACATATATATATATATACATGTATATATATATATATACATATATATATACATATATATATATATACATATATATATATGTACATATATATATATATACATATACATATACATATATATATAAATATATATATATACATATATATATATGTTTATACACTACAACATAATCTACATATACATTATCTCTAGCTATGCAGTATCTGGCGCCACACTTCACCCAGCAGGCGCCAACAAAAAATGCCTTGTCCTGCAGCTCCAGCGTCACTGAAAAGTTCACGAAGAAGTCGGCCACCTGGAACTGTGCCTGCGTTTGGCCGTGCTCCCGAACGGCCAAACGGCCAGGCGTGAAACTTGGGCCTGATCCAACTGGGTGAACTGTTGGTTTTATGGTGAAAAAAAGGTGTAGAACCCTAGAGTTATGTTTGTTGGTTGATAACCCTTCAACACATATAGACCATAAACCATATCAACCCTAGTTTTTGCAGTTCTGTTGAGGAGCCACCATGAACCACCTTGGTAGCTGAGGCACCTGAGGTATCCAACATATCCTACCAGATGTTTCTAAGGCAATCTGGTAAACCGAATAATGACCGACCCAAATGTGACTTGATTATTTGCTCTACCTATTTGGGATAGTCTTAAAGCACACTTATTGGCTATGTCTTTGCATTTGGCTGCCACATTCAGGGAATGTGAACTCTCCACTTTTTGGCCTTAGTGTTCATCCCCCAGTATACGAAGCAAAGCCATTGAATAGAGAGCTGCCTCTGTCCCATTTTTTTCGAATCTGTTACCCGTTCAAGTGGGAGTCTCAAATGGCCAGTGATGGCGGTGTTATGTGTGTAGTTCTGGGTAAATTAAAAAAAATCACTCATCTGAAACAAGGCCTATTCAATCATTTACTTGAAGAAAAAGTGCACCCCTGATGCGGAGCGAGTTCGAGGTCTTTCTGGGGCTTTTACGAGCCTTTGTGTTTTCATCGACGTGCCAGATCTACCCTTCTCAACCACGTTCACCAATCCCTTCTTGATGTAAGGCCAGGCTTTGGGATTATTCCCTTTCCTAATCATCATTATGCATTATTCCAGGATCGCAGTGCGGTCGTTATTCAATTTACCCAGATATCTGGTGTCTGTTAAACTGCCAGCTACTTCTGTTTTTTGGTGAAGAGCTCCATATTTTTGTTGCTGAATTCTTGGTGAAAAAATCTGAAAAAACCGAGGAACCCTTGTTTTTGATGGACCATTCCTGTCACGATGATTTTTTGATGTTTTTTGGCACTTGAAGCTCTACATCTTTTTGTTCTCCTCTTGAGGCTGATGTCGACTCCGATGAATAAAATCTCTTGATTGATTTGGTGCTTCCCTCTGGTACCCCCTACTAGAAAACTGCTAGTAAACAGGGTGGGTGAACTCAGCGCCTCCCAGATCAACAAACATAACAGCTTAGTCATAAGCCACCATTCATGTACCATCGATGGTTGATATCATTTAAAAAAATCATCTCCATGTTGACGGTTGAGCAGCGCCCACAGTGAAATCACATCATGTCCCCCATCCCATTCAATCAACCACACTATTCAATGAACATTCCAGGAACATTCAGAAAACATTATCATTGTTATCATGGAATCATGTTCAGAACACTCAATGATATACATTCCATCATAACAATGATATGACCATGTCCGAACATCATAATTCCATTAGAATGATGGACCATGATGGACCATTAAACCATCGAAAACGCGGCCCTCCGCTCGATCGATCTCCCGCGATCGGAAACCACCTCCTTCTGCGTCCGTCGCACGCGGCGGATGTCGGACAAGTCGTTCGTCACGATGGAGGTAAACATGGCACCGAAGGGCATCATGCCCCCCGTGGCGCCCATGGCCAGCCATCGTTCCGTGCGCGCCCTGCTTGCGCAGATTGGAGATGGGGAATTTTACCCGACTGGGAACGACACATTGGAAAAAAAAGGGGAAAGATGGGAAAACAAACAAACCGAGTGAGTTTCAGTGTTAGGAAATGAGCATGTTCCCTATTCTTGAATATAGCCCTTCTGGGGGGCAATTGCCCAATTACCGCACTCAACTAACTCAAAGTTTTGGTAAGTCATATCACATTACATCCCCTGTGGTTGGTTTCCCCGGTTGTTTTCATCATATGCTCATGATCTCGCCAGGCAAATGCCACATTCGGAGGATGGATGGATGCAGGGCAGCTATCATTTCACAAAGCGTAGCCATTCGTAGCGGTGCGATCTTCAGTCGGACGAACCCTGCTGAGCAGTAAGAGAAATGGTGGTGAAAACCCTACCCAAAGGGCACTCTAAGTCATAGCTGGGATTTAGGGATTGTTATTCCCCCATGGTACTGTCATATGTTTTGACCCATCCCCAAATGGTCCAATTATTTTATAGGATCTGTGGATGATCTACTTTGATCCCAGCGCAAACGTCCGTGGACATTCCGGTTTTTTACGGTAACAAATGCTGCGAGATAAATAGATATTGCAGATCTTATGGCCAAGCTAAATTTATATGAGGGTCATGAGAGAACTGTTCTGGTGGATTTCAGACGAGCTGTGTTCAAAACCGGCAAAGTCATTCCATCATACAATTATACTGGATGGTTAAGCACCGGATCCGAGTTCAAGAATGATGATGATTCATGATAATTCGCAAGATATCGGATGGCATAACAACATATGTGCGACCGTCAAAACTCAATTCATGTGGTGAGGTCATGGCATCGCTTCACAAGGCCCCCTATCGCTACACACAGTCCCAGCACCCTTTTCACCAACTAGGCAGAATTGCTGCTAGAAGAGGAGGATCCAGATGAGGAATCGGATTCTTATTCCTCTTGCGATGGTACCTCCAGGGAAATTCAAACTTTTACGTGATCACCAAGGCTGACGTCGACAGCTTCAGCTAGACACCAGCCGGACTCACTGCAGGTCATCTGACCTCGGAGGCTGCCCTTGGCTTGTGTTGGCTTGTCTTGGCTTGTCTTGCCTGTGCTGCCTTGTTTCCGGCGCCTTTTTTTCTTCACCCCGCCTCCTTTGCAACCTAATACCACGCCAACAAAACCCTGACCAAATGAACCCTTTAAGAACAAACCCATTAAGAACTTGAGGGTACCCTTGTTCATACTTCCCATAATTTTCCAACCTATAGCACAAGTTGTATAGTTTCAAGTGACCATGTGGGGTACTCCCTAATTTCATGGATTTCAGGTATCGCTCTGGGTATCGAGGGGTATCGCTTCGGGCATCGCTACGGGGACCAGAAAATGTGTGATCTCAGGGGTATGTTTCAAGTGACACGAAATTCTGACAAGCTCCATGTTGCAATTCTACTCCTGGACAGTGGCTTTGGAGAAGCGTCCGTGACCGCACAAGGATGCTTTTTCAACATATCTCAGCACGGCCACTATCTCAATCCACATCATCACCATCACCATGATCATCAGCATCATCAGCATCATCAAGCTCATGATGCGTTATGAATTAGTTTCTTGCATATCTTATAGATCAACATACCACGATATATCAACATTGTTTAATGTATCTCATATATACTTGACGACAGGCCATCTTGCAACTACCCAGGAAGACCAGCACACTGCGACTGCTCCAGCGTCGCACTCTGACATCAAAAGATTGGAAAGTCATGCGCCCAACAGGAAGGTTCAATCATAAACAAAGTCTAAAAAGAGGTATCGCTACATAAGGCCCCCTATCGCTACACACAGCAAATCACATGTTTTGAGTAGTGATGGCGGATCGTAATGGAAGCCTTTCATAGCGTCTTTTGATCATTGCACATATATTCACATATATATATACACACCCTCTGGGTATTTAACATAGCCATGGAAAATGGCCCATTTACAGATGGTTTACCTGGGTTTACCTATTTATAGCATGGTGATTTTCCATGGCCAACTGTCATAACCAGAGGGTGTACATACATAAATATATATATACATATATATATATTATCAGAATGGACTAGATTTCCCAGAGATTTTCCCATGCCAAGTATAACTAACCCCCGTTCCAATCAACCAGTCGAAGGTCGCCACGTTAACCACATCCCACTGAAACCGGATTATTACAAAAAATATTAATGGGATTATAATGGGATAATCATCTTTATAATGGGATTATATCATAATAGTGGTTATAATACCTATAATACCTATACTATATAGATATCTGGTTGGTGGTTGACCTATCTGAAAAATATTGAAAAATGATGGACTTCGTCAGTTGGGATGATGATGACATTCCCAACTGAGTGGAAAATAAAATTCATGTTCCAAACCACCAACCAGAAATGCTTATCCCTCACTACTTGTTTTTAATTTTTATTAGCCGTGCACATGTTGTGTGTTATGTCCATGTGTCCATGTGTCTGTTCAGTTGTTTCCGGACCGTTGAGTTTCTGTTTGTTTCCTTTGTTGCTTGCACGTTCTTGCAATTGTTGCATGTTGTTTGCATTTGCATTTGTTCGCATTATTTTGCATGTTATTTCATTTTGGCTCATTCCGCCTCTCTTTTTATTTCTTGTGCCTAAACTCAGCTGATGACCCCTTGGATCAAAACCTGGATTTTTGCTCAATGAATTTTCAAAAAAATGATCCATGATTGCCATGATCACAACCTGACGACCTGGACTGATGACTGCAGGTCCTCAAGTTCATATTCTCAGGCAGATGCGACGGAGGCAGCCGCGATACAGCCCATTCAAAACTCTTGATGTATTGGTTCAGCCAGCTCCTCTCTTGATCCAGCTTGATTTCCTGATTTGCAGAAGTCATTTTGTTTTTTTTTCAAATCATGTTCAGTATTCATCTATGATCAACACCTTATGAAACAAACTGTGACCCTCAAAGTCAGCCAATGATCAACATACATACAATATCTGTATCATTCTATGTCTACTTGTAATATCTATATCATATCCTTAAACTAAAAATAAAACAAATAGAAACAAGTACTACACTTATGGGGTAATTCACGGCATTTTCATGGCTACGAACGGGACATAACCGTCATATGTCAGCAGAGAAAAATCGTCGCCAGGACTCTCGAACCCAGCCATCCACATTTACCACACCCACGTAGAACCACAAACAGGTCAGGACATGGAGCATCAAAGCACCTGGGAAAAGTGGAGAAGATCCAGAAAAAAAGCGACAGTTTTTTGCACCATCCAAAATGATCCATTCTTGGTGATTTTTGGTTGGAAAATGTCATGGGAATATTTCATGGAACATCACCTATGACTGGGGGTGCAGAGCCATTGGACCTTCCCATACGGAATAGGGGTCCCTGTACTGAGCCATTTGAGCGATAACTAGTGATAGTACGGAGATATAACTGATGTAAATTGATGTAATAGGATATTCATAGAAGGATCATGGGGATATGCCATGGAATATCAGAGTACTGAGCCAGAAAAACTTGAGACATCGAAATTACACCGTTTTCAAATCTGATTGATAGGTAGGGGGTAGGTTGATTGATATGTCCTATGGGTTTGAGAATCCACAATAACATCCAATAACCACAGGTAGTAGAAGTCCCTATAACCAATCGACAAAGGTACAGTACAAAATGTGGCCCCCATTCAGAAACAGGGTTGATAGGTCGAGCTGTTGCCCATTCAGTGTGAAAGGAACGTTATAGGGATACAAAATTGAATAGTAATGGGAATATCTCATGGGATACAACCAACCATTTCGGCAAATGAAATACTGTATGGGTTTGCCTGAAAATAGGGGGTCGAACACCATGCCATTCTATGGGATTGTTATAGGAACATTGACCATCACTCATGCTACAACAAGGGGTGCCCAAGATAGGCGTCTCCGCACAAGAAACGTTGGTTGATGGTGAGTTTTGTTTTACGGGCCATGCTCAGTGATTTTTTCTGTGAGTTCAAAGGAAAAGGAAGGCAGTAGTGAGCAAGATAAAGCTCTGGATGGTCTGAACTGCGCAAAATGAGAAGCTGACGGGCGAGGGGAAAAAATATGATCAATGTGTCGTGTCATCCTGACAGTTTAAAGCACATTAAAATACAATTTGCACCGTTTTTGGGCTGTATTTTGAGGTAAAGATGATGGCACCAGGAATGGTTTACGCGTCTCTCAGCTCTAAATCAGCTGGTCGACTGGTCGAGTGATGGTTTTAGAATGTTTTAGATGTTTTAGATGTTTTAGAAGAAAAACCTGCATATACCCTCCGATAATCAACCATGGCAATTGAAAATCCTCTATGAATGGTCCTGTTTTAATGGGAAAGTCACCTCATTGGAGATTTTCCTTTGCCATGTGTGATTACTGGAGGCTAATCATGTCCCATTTCCACGTAACCATCTGAACTGGCAACCCAACCGTTTCAAATACATGCAGTAGTTAAATAGTACCTGAATGTGTCTGAGAGATTCGAAACAGCTCGAGTGGTGTCTGTTTGTTTGCCTTTGGATTTCTGAACTCTTCGGAGTCAAAGAAAACGTCCCTGGCCCTGACCCTTTCTGATCGGCGATCCTATCCCGAAGTTTTGTCATGTTTTGTAAGCCATCGATTTTGCGCCGTTCACATACACCTATTATCATAATTCGATCATAGTTAAGAGCAGTGTACAAATTCCTTGATCATTGTATTGAATGGTTGGTTAGGAACAGGATTCCAATGCTGGACTATGATCATCCCCAGTATATTGGGTGGTACAACCACGAACCATCATTTATCACTTACACATCCCAATATTAATGCTTAAACCTATCATTGATGGGTTTCATCCCAGATTACCATGAACAAAACAGTGGGTCAAAATTTAAGCCGCCTCAGCCGCACTCACCTCAACATCCTCAACATCCTCAATATCCTCAACATCTTCAACATCCTCAACATCCTCAACATCCTCAACATCCTCACATTCTTGGGAAATACCAAGGAGCCGATCAAGAATATCCAGGTGAGATTCCAAAAAGCTCGGAATTCCCGACTGCGGAATCCTTGGATCAGTGAAGACCACAGATCTGCACTTCTTTTTTTTTGGCACGTACGTAAAAACCTCCCCCGATAAACATGGTCTACGTTCATCATATTGATCGAAGATTATAACATTGAACGGGAAGTCAACAAACTCAGACAAGATTAGTTGGGAAACAAACTGATTTTTACAACAAAAAAGGAACATATCATGCTATGAAACAGGAAGATCAATCATAAGTCACATATTTTTGTTCGCTTTGTCATGTGGGATTGTCCAAACAACCATCGGCTACTCATCATTTTAACATCATTGTCCCTATTCAACCGGCCATACTCAGTATCATTGTTCCATTATTTTCCCATCATTTATTTTTATTTTCCCTATAATTTTCCCATCATTATCCAAATTTCTTTGAACAAATCCCCATGTATTTTGCCAAGCATCTCAACCATTCTCTCACTCGCCCCGAGAGGCCAGTGATGTTATACCAATGAGGGACTTGCAGCAAGCGACCCAATTGAAGGCCTCGAAGTGGCCCACCGGAAGCAATGTTGAATACTGGTGAGCTTCACAACTACACTAAAAAACAATATAAATCGTATACGGTATAGATATAGATAGTACATACAAACTGTAAGTAAGTCTATATATATATAAACATATAATCATATATATATATACATATATACACATATTGGCTGTATATATATATAGTGTCTAATGTGTATATATATATACATTGTCTGTAAATATGTGTATATACATATATATATTGTCTGCATATATATATATATGTATGTATATATGCATATATATATATATGTCTATATATAGTATTGTCTATATATATATACATATACAGTGTCTGTAAATACATATATATATATAGCCTGTATATCTATATATATATATATATAGTGTTTGTCTATATACATATATACATATTGACTGTATGTATATATTCTTAAAAAAACACATACATATGTATATTATATATATATATATATTTCTATATAAATGTACACATAAATATACACGTATATATATAGTATATATATAGTATATATATAGTATATATATAGTGTATATAAATATATAGTATATATGTATATAGTGTATATAAATATATAGTATATATGTATATAGAATATATATATAGAGTATATAGTATATATATATATATTCATAAATGTGTATGTCACCAAAAGAAAGCATCAGAAACTCACCAACCCCCGCCGCCAGCGCCTCTCAAAACCACTTGTCCCGCATAAGGTTGGCCCGCAAAGAAAAGATCGATGACGGTGGGCGCTATGAGCAACACATCCTCGGTGTCAGGCAGCAGCCTACAGGATGGGGCCCCCAGTCGAGCTCGCGTTCAGTTGCCTTATGGTTGTGACTGAATGCTATGGTTTATTGTAGATATAACATATATAACTACGTATAGTTAATGGGGTTTTCAAACCCAATTATGACATATTATAACTGGGGGGCACCATCCTGTGGTTCATGGGGTTTGCCTCACCTGATAGGTATCTTAACCAACCAACATGGGGATTGAACCATAAGAAACACATGGATTTAGCCGCTATGAATAATGGATATTAATATTTGTACAAAACGAGTCAAACTGTGGATTTTTGCGGAACATGATGTTTTGACCCATGGATTCTACGGTTTCCCTTAGAAATTCAAACAAACGTGGGTGTAAACCACCATCCGTGTCTACTCATCCTGGATCGCATTTCAGTTTTTTCTTTGGCCCCTCAAATTGAAGTTGCAAGAAAATAAACGAAATGCAAGCAGTATTTACAAGGTGGGGCCCCCATAGATAGCCGACTGCGTTTATAAGTAAATTAACACCTCGATTTGCCCGTGCTGAAAACACTGTAAACGGTGCGTCATGTTGGCATTCCTGATCAACTCGGGTAGGGGACTCGTGCATAATCGCACAAGTCATCCTGCACCCTGACACCCTAAAACCTAAAACCTCAAAAGCGGCAAAACCCTAGATTGGAAAAAACAGAAGGTAAAACTATGATAAAACTGAAACCTAAACACCAAAAAAATGATGTTGGGCAAAATTTTGAGGGTTTATGGTAATGAAATAAAGATACTTAGTTTATGATGGCATTTGAAATTATATAATGAAAACCCACATTGATGCCTAAATCTGGTTTGTGGCGGTTTCAGTCACATGGGAACGGCTTCCCGACTAGCTACCTAGCATCACCATTGTTGGTGTAATGTCCATCCTTGAAAACACCAAACGTCAATCCCAACGTAAACGTCATCGCATTCGCATATCATACCGACTGTCTAGCTGCAACTGCATCTTCGAAAGTAGCCTCTGGTAAACTAACATAGCTATGGAAAATGGCCCATTTATAGATGGTTTACCTATTAAAAATGGTGATTTTCCATGGGATATCTCCAGTTGCATGGTATCCACTTGGCAATTTTTTGTCGACGCGTCCCCTTTTATAATTGGCCCAGCATCCACACATGTTTGCGCCCAAAAAAGGGACCGAAGTGTGGTCTTGGAGCGACTTGCCTGATGGAGGATCTCCCTGGCGATTTTTTTACCCTTGTTGAACCACAAAAAGCTCATTATATATTGGGAATATGCACAGATATGTGTATCTGTATATATAATTAAATGTATATATATATAATATATATTATATAATATATATATATACCTGCCTCTTCCAAAGTGGGCTTAATTTCTGCCTTTTGCCCAATAAATAGGTTTCTCACAAGAACGACCTTTTTGGGCAAACCAGAGTTTCTTCTGATATATTGCTGCCAAGCCCGTTTTTCAGCGGCGAAAATGCCCGACCAAACGGCGAAAATACCCGACCAAAAGGCGAAAATACCCGACCACGTGGGCTGACAATTTCTCACAACGGCATTTATTTTCAGGAACGGCGTTTTTCCGCAAGAACGGCGACAATTCTACTGTTTTTGAGCAACGGCAGAAATAAGCACCATATGGAAGATCCAGGTATATATATATATATGATCCCGTATCCCGCCCACGAGACCCCCACTGTATGCTACGTATATTCTGTACTGTATTTCTACTACCTATCTTATATCTGTACTTTTTTTTGGCATATTTAATATATATATATTTATTTATACATTATACAGTATATACCTACACATACCTATAGTATCTTTTACTATCTTGTGTCAATATAGCCCTCACACACCGGACCGCACCCACCCACAGGGAGTGGACGGAGGAGGAGGAGGGAGAGAGAGAATTCCCACTACATATACCCACTTATATACCTACTGTATATGTAATCATGATTAATATAATATAATGTCCTTAAAGTAAAACCACTTCCAAAGCATTGTCCCTTTTTTGTTTCTGTGTGTGACGACACATCTGGTGGGATCCATCTGTTGGAACATATTGCAAGTATCACCCATAAATGATATATATATATATATGATGTGTATATTTATAAAGTTATATGTGTATAAATATATATATATGTATGTGTATAATTATTAATATTAATGTAAAGTAACCAAATATATAGATATAACTATAAAACATATATTATACATACTATAATTTAATGTATATTCGATTATATTCACGGATATCTACTCATACTATGAGATACTATGTATGTTTTTGGCCAGTATCAAAAAAAAATAAAACACCGATTTGCATTGAGGTCGAACTTCAAAAGCATCAACTAGGTGAATTGAAGAAAATGGTGCTCAAGATTCTTGGACACGAGGCATGACCCGAAACCACAACTTTTTGTAGGGCATTGCTTTAGAGGTCTCACAATCTTCAATTATTATTTTTCTTGGGGCCGATAGTGCCTTGAGACCCCACCCGACGCGATGTTCGTAGCACCGAGACGCAATCCACCAGGAAATTGGAATGTTCGCAATCCAAAAGCAAGCAGCAAAGATTTCCACCATCCAAAAAGATGAATCTGTGCCAAAAATCATGAAAGGAACCTGAGGACTCAAGTGTCAAGTCGAATTCAGCAACTTCAAGACCCCCCAAAAAATAAGGTGATCTTCACAGCTGGAAACAGTTGGCTTGTTTCAATCGCTAGCAAAACAGAATGATTTTTGGACTTCATGTGTTCAGGTTCCATCTTGCGCAGGTCAATCGCCAATCCTCCGGATCTTGGGATCTTATGCAGTAACATGCAGTAACCGAAAAGATGAGGCCCCCCCAGTTATATGTTGGTTTGTAAACTCCATGAAGCATTTTTGTTTCCCCCATAAACATCATAAACCATTGTTAAGCACGTTATTTGTGTCAACTTGGCTATCGTTCGTGGGCATCACCCTGTATAGATGACCAGTTTTTGGCCACACCCAGGAGGCTAGCTTAAGGCACTGAACATACGTAGCAAACACAAATTGGTGCCATGGGTTTAACCAACAACTATAATGGGATTTAATCGACATGTAATGTGACTAAAATAGGTTTATAACATTGTAAAACTGTATAACTAACAATATGATGATATACATATTATAATCATAGCTAGTAAATTTGTTGAACATTGGATATCCAATAATATCAATTCCCTTCTTCTCTATAACCCCGGTTTCACTGCGCCAAGACACAAATGCGCAATCCCGAAAAATAAGACAGACAGCAATCACAGCCCATATTTGCCGGAAGCGATCCTGGGCTATTCAGATGGCACAATTTTCGAGGATCATCCAAGTTGGAAGATCAACTGCCACCAAATCTTGGAACCAACACTGACAAACGCATTTGGCCAGTGGCAAGATATTACGCTGGTTCCTACGATCTTCGCCATCCAAAAAAGTTTCACACAGGGCAGGATATGGGCACTGACGGACAGTATACACCCATGAGCCAACCTTAGGTACATGGCTCTGCATATCTCCACATCATCCATGAAGGAGGGTGTATGTGGCCTTTTGGCCTTGAGAGTCATTCCAAAATCTTCGGGCAATTTGTTTGGAGCAATCCTTCCCATGCCATTGTCGCTATCTTATGCTTCCCAAGTAGGGATGGACACGTTGTGGAATAGAAACCTTGACTATCAAACTACCACCCCAATGAATTAAAGCGCATAATTTCATCATATCATAAACGTGACTTTGAGGAGGCTTCGCTGATCTGGATATGCTCTTACAAACCCTGAACCATTTTTAAAAAAACACACATCCTATTGTTTTATTTGCACAAAATTACAGCTCCGAAATACAGATTTTTGCTTCAACATTCGCAAGGTAATTTCCAAGGTGCACAACCAAGTCATGGGTGATCTCACGCACTCTAGGTTGGTGCAATCGTCAAAATCTGAGATTTTGCTGCGCTTTAAGGTTCTTTAAGGACCCCGACCCCGATTCCAAAATTCCCTGGCTGCTGGCATTTAAAAAGTTATTAAAAAAACACAACTGATGTCAGCACATATATATATACTATATATATATATACGTATCATGGAGCGCCATGGCCGTTTACGCTTTCGTGAACTTGCGGATCGTCAAAGGAACATCTATGCGGGTGGTTGCGAAATCGGTTCAAAGTCCGAACGAAATATTTCTAAGATGTTCCAACCAGCACATCTACAATGTGCCGCCCCCAATCTTTTCTTTTTATCGACCCGTCTGGCTGTATGGAGGTGACTAAAATGGGGGACGCCTAAATCATCCATGTTAAAAGGATTTTCCATTATAAACCCTTCATTTTGTGGTATCTCCATTTATGGAAACCCCCATATATGTGCAATGATCAAGAGTTGGATTGGATACTCGATACCCATATTGAGTCTTTTTTGGGGATGGCAATCAATCATAATCAATCCATTATGAGGGATTTATATATATATACTATAATGTAAGGATTTCCCCATTCTGCGATGGATGACCGCAAACCATATACCACATCCTGACCCAAACACATATGTATATACTAGTGATTATTATACCATGAAAAAAAAAACATCGTCTGCGCGGCCCAGATTCTATAGGATTTTCCAGGGCTTCCCTCCCTTACCCCCAAAAAAACCAGGCATCGAAGCGAACCCATGGATTGGTTTCTCCTGCGGACTCAAAGGTATAGAAGGCCCGGGGACTCTTCACGAAGAAGGATCCGTTCAGTGTGTCCCATCCGTCTCGCAAGCCAAATCCTGAGGCTGCAAACGGGGAGCATCCAAATACCGCTACAAATCCCTGGAATAAGCTAAGATAGATGTGGACAACCCATGGTTTTCCGAGGAAAGAAGGAAAGAATGAACCCCTAGGCCCTAGGCTGTATCAGATTGAGGGGAGTATCATTTTAGTATCAAATGAAATCCCTATTTGGGCAGTATCCTATGCTAGTCAATAATGGATTCTATTCATCCAGGGTTGATCTTATTGATATTCAGGGATACCCTCTGAGAATGAAACGTGACAATGGAAAATCATGTAGTTTTCAGAGGGCTTTGGGAAAACCATCAGATTCAATGGTAGATGACCTAATCTGCTCATACCTTGCGGTCGAAACCACAAAAATTGAGGGAGACATACCTGAGTATCACTGCATGGAGCATTCTAGCAACAGTGTCTGGCGACTGCGGAGCTCTTTGAGTTGAACCCCATCAAATTCATTCAAATTCCCGATGTTCAACAGCTACAAGCCATCATACCAGCACCAAACATCTCTTTAAACAAACCTGCACAAACATGTGACTTCCCCTTTTTTGGGAACAGAAATAAAAGCCGAAGCACCCAAAAAATGATGGGGTGCTATGTTTGAAGATTCGCATTAATGCACACATTATTCAGCCCATCTGTGAAGCAAAATCTTGATCTAAGAACCAGGGAACCGATTAATCTAATGATGATTTCATTGTCACAATTCCCTAACATGGCCAGAAATTGGGATGTTTGCCATTGTCAAACAAACATATCTGGCATGGTGATATCTCTTGGTACATCTTCACAATATTCCTATTCCTCGTTGATTAATGTGATCCCCACCAATCTCCATTACTTAAAAATATCGAGCCAATTTAAAACCCCATGATATCCTAATCGTCCTAATCAGATCTCCTCTATATCCCAATGAAATCACCCCCAAATCCCATCAAATCCGAAGCAATCACCATTTACATCCATTTACCATAATATTCTTCCACTCAACAAAGCCCAGTTCTACCTTGAAGTTCCTGAAGGCTACCCTCTGGTTATGTCAAAATAGCTATTGAAAATGGCCCAGTCGAAATAGTGGATTTTCCCATTAATAGCATGGTGGATCTTTCCATAGCAAACTGTTAGTTTACCAGAGGGTAAAACCTATTAAACCCCATTAAACGACCATAAATTCCCATGAAATCACCATTTTGTCATGGGAAATCACCATTTTGTCATAGTTATGTTAAATTACCAGAGGCTAACGTGGCCTTTCATCAACATCAACCAGCGCCGAATCCCCAAGGATTCGGCCAGTTCATCAAGCCACGTGGGGCTTCGCTGCACTCGGAGACCGACAGTGCCTTGCTGCCCTTGCTATTGCGCGTGCCGCTGCGCTGCGGCCGGCGAAGATCCTCCACGACCTGGCCATGGAGATATCCCAGCTGGATGGTTTATTTCATGGAAAATCCTAAAGTATGTTAACATGATCTAAACTGATTTAAAATGGATGATTTAGGGGTACCCCCATGGATTGCAAACCTGCACATGGGAATAGAGATATATGGGAAATATATGAGATAAATGTGGATATCATGGGATATTTATGGCATATTCATGGGCCAATAATCCCTTCCCCAACAGTCCAAAAAATAATGGTTTACATTTATATAAGCGGAGATGAGTTTATCTGGAAAAGGTGGTTTCAATGGGATTTTTTCATGGTGCCTTAATGGACTATAATGGGATATAGTGGGATAATAATCCCTTCCCTTTTTCATTTTGAACCCAAAAAATCATGGTGGATGCAGGGTACAATGGATGTAGGCTATAAAAACACCTTTTTAAGGGACCTTTTTATGTGGTGTGGAAAATATGCACAGGGGATGGGTTTTCAGGGAGAATTCAAGATGAAAGTTTTTTTTCAGATGGGATCCTCATCCGAAGTTATTTGGAATGCAGCTGGAATATTCCTTAAATTCATGGTGAAACCATGTGTCATGTTTAACCGGGATGGGATTCCTATGGTTTCACCATGAATTTTTGCAGCTTCCCATGGCTTCCCGGCTTTCAGGACTTGAAAACTTGGTCCCGTTGAAAAGGGCCTAGACAAAAAACGAAGAATCCTCCCATGTGGGGTAAACAATGTCATAAACCACCCATGACTGGGAAGGTTTTTTTCCACTACCTATAAATTTCTGGAGATTTGAGGGATAGTCCGTTAATTTCCAAACAAACCCATACTTAATGCTGCTACTCAGTAGAAACAAGTTGCAAACGTCACATCCAGAGGGGGGGGACACATCCAAATCCCTTTCCCTTCATCACTCAACGATGCTGTTCCTACCTTTGTAGTGATACAAGTTGGCAATCCCATATTCCAAAAAACTATACCCAACAAGGGACCCCAAATTAAATAATGTCAACTCCGGATTAATAAACCATGGTTTATTAATTGTGGGGGTACCCTCCAAATAGTCACAATATGATACATAAATGGTACCCCCCAATTCAACAGCCTAGGGGTTTATTGATCCAGGGTTGACAGTGTAGTAAAACCATGATTTCTGGGGTTATTCGGAATACTTTCGGATGGGACACCTCACAGCTCTGAGTAATTCACTGACCGGCTTGTGCCCGCCAGATATTAATGTTTCTTGGTTCATAATCCCTCGAACTACAACTGGTTGGGTTTCAACCCATCTGAAAAATATTAGTCAGTTGGGATTATTATTCCCAATATATGGAACAATAAAAAAATGTTCCAAACCACCAACCAGATAAGATCTATAAATCATAATCTTACTTGTATGACCCCTATGTCAGCAGGATCCATCATCCATAGTAGTATAGTTGCTTCACAGTCAAAGACTATAAGGACGGACTATAAGTTTATAAGTTGGTACAACCACCATGAAACCTACCAGCCCTAGTTATAAACCAGCTTGACTAAGCACCACCAGCACCTAAAATCAAGCCGTCAGACAACAAACATACTTTGCCCAGATCATTGTTAGATGGTCATTAACTGGCTGCAACGCTTCCACCAGCAACGCTTCCACCAGCAACAATATATATACATTCCGACCTCGCCATGGGAGGTGGTATTTTATTCAGAGTATCCAGATTGGGGAAGGCAAGGCATGGAAGGTGCCCCATATATAGTTGGCTAAGGTGGTAGATGTGAACTTTTCTAGTGGTTCTAACTATTTTTGGGCCTTATAAAGCAACAAAACATTTCACATCAACGTTACCTCATTTCTTCTTCACCACATCCCACCTGCAAACCGCCAGTACTGACGCGTCGTTTGGTGTCTAGACCATCGCGCGACACACGCGAAACACGCGAACCACCGCTGCGGTTGGATCTCTGAGACTTGAGAGACTTCTCAGTTTGAGACCTCTCCACCTGCAACGAAGATTTGAGGAAAAAAACCTGCGTTTGGGGGATGGATCAAAACCAAAAAAAATGAGGGGATTGACATCCATTTACGACAAATCTATACAAATCTAAGGGTTTACCAACTATTTTCAGGAAACAAGTAAAAAAATGTTTTTTTTGCCATGAACTCTTGGGAATTTCCCGTATTGTACTTTTTTGCGTTAAACCAATCCCAATTGAATTCGGATAATTTTGGAAAAACCAAAATACCCCAAAGGATACGTTTTATTTTTTACCATCAAATCATCCCATTGCGATAATTAACATTGCAGATATTTGGGGTTCATGATTTCTTCATGGTTTTGCATGTTGGATCGTTTCTAATTGCACCGCAAACCTAAAATGAAACCCGCCTGTAGAAAGGTCAACACAAAACATGTTTTCTGTATGACGTCATGTGAAAAATATATGCAAATTTTGTTTTCATATCAATGGCACATTCAAGGTGGTACCCATCGTCAGCTAATGTGGTTTTTAACTATAGCATGGGATAACTAGGGTTTGTGATATAACCATAGTTAGAGGGGGTTTAAAACCAACATTTAATCATGGGTATATGGCGCTCTACTTTGTATATCCATTCAAAAACAACAACATTTACCCGAAAAAAATCCAAGATTCTCTGAATGGTGACTGTGGTACGAGCCTACAATCTCTGAGCAATAAAGGATTTCTCCACATTTCTCCGCCACTCTACCATCCCAAGGTCTATAAAACGTGTATAAGTGTACATACATGATATATATATATATATAATTATATATATATTATATATAAAAGAAAAACAAGGAAGTTTGAAAGTCGAATTTCCGTGGCATGGATCCTTTGAATGTCACAGCAGAGGGATGTCACGGCGTCAAAGCAATGGGATGTCAAAGCAAAGGAATGTCACAGCAAAGGAATGTCAAAGTAAAGGGATGCCACAGCCAAGGAATGTCAAAGCAAAGAAATATCAAAGCAAAGGGGTGTCACAGCCAAGGGATGTCAAAGCAAACAGCTGTCACATGCTGTCACAGCAAATGGCTGTCAAAGTTTCAACTGTCACTTTTTGAGGGATGTCTGCACGAAAGCTTCGTTTTAACATCTTCCGCTTTCACTTTTTGAGGGATGTCTCGCACGAAAGCTTCGTTTTCACATCTTCCACTTTCAGTTTTTGAGGGATGTCTCACACGAAAGCTTCGTTTTCACATTCCACTTTCAGTTTTTGAGGGATATCTCGCATGAAAGCTTTGTTTTCGCACCTTCCACTTTCACTTTTTGAGGGATGTCTCGCACCAAAGCTTCGTTTTCACTCTTCCACTTTCAGAATTTGAGGGATGTCTTGCACGAAAGCGTCGTTTTCACATCTCTCACTTGCACTTTTTCAGGGAAGTCTCGCACGAAAGCTTCGCTTTTGGAGAGATAGCGGATGCACGAAGTGCTGTGTTTTGCAGGACAAAAGGTGTCCCGGAAGATGGATGGGAAAGGCCTTCGTTTTGCCGACGTTCTTGCGCGTAGTTCTATTGTGTTTTGCAACTCAGTCTTTGCAGATCGCACTGTAATGGCTGCATCAAGGTTGCTTGGTGCCACGGCTGCGTGCGTAATACTATGTGTTTTGCAGCTGGACATCGTAAGGCTTGCTGTGTGAAAAAGCTGTGTAAAGACTTGCTGTGTCTCTGTGTATCTCTGTGCGCGTGTATGTGTAAAAGCTGTGTAAAGGCTTCTCTGTGTAGAAGCTTCTGTGTGTAAAAGCTTTCTGTGTGTAAAAGCTTTTCTGTGTACAAACTTTTCTGTGTAGGAGCTTCTCTGTGTGAAGGCTTGCTGTGTTTCAAAGCTGTGTAGAGGCTTGCTGTGTGTAAAAGCTGTGCAAAAGCTTCTCTGTGTAGGAGATTCTCTGTGTGAAAGCTTGTGCTGTGTGTAAGAGCTTCTCTGCGTAAAGGCTTCTCTGTGTAAAAGCTTCTGAGTGTAAAAGCTCGCTGTGTGTAAATGCTTCGCTGTGTAAAGGCTTGTCCGTGTAAAAGCTTCTGTGTGTAAAAGCTTCTGTGTGTAAAAGTTTGCTGCGTGTAAAAGCTTCTCTGTAAAGGTTTCTGTGTCAAAGCTTGCTATGTGTAAAAGCTTCCCTGTGCACAAGCTTCTCTGTGGAAAAGCTTGCTGTGTGGAAAAGCTTCTCTGTGTCAAATCTTCTCTGTGGAAAGTGTAGGGGTCGCTTGCTTTGGCGCCGAGATCCGTTTTTTGGAGCAGGTCTTGGGCTAGAGAAGAGCTGAGATGATTTGAGAGTGCGCTGAGAAGAGCTGAGATGAGGTGAGACGAGCTGACAAGAGCTGAGATCAGCTCAGGAGATGTGAGAAGAACTTAGAAGATGTGAGAAAAGGAGAGAAGAGATGAGAAGACATAACATGAGCTGACATGAGCTGCGGAGAGCTGAGAAGAGTTGAGAAGAAGCTGTGAAAATCTGAGAAAAGCTGAGATAAGCTGAGATGAGATGAGAAGAGATGAGAAAGCTCAGGTGACATGAGAAGAGCTGAGAACAGGTGTGATCAGCTGAGAAGAGCTGAGAAAGGGAGAAAAGACATGAGATGGGATGAGAAGAGATGAGGTGAAAAAAGCTGAGAAGACATGAGATGAGATGAATTGAGATGAGGTGGGGTGACACAGACTGCGGTGACAGTGGGATGTAATAAGCAATTTCCAAGAGAACCTGCGATGCGATGAGATCAGATGAAATGAGAAAAGATTCAACATTCAAAAGACCTGGCATCAGATTGACAAGTCAAGAGCTTGTTGCTGTGAAGCGCAGGAGGCTTGTCTGTCACCTATAGGCACAGCCTTTGCTCCGCTCTATAAGCTATAAGCGTTTCAATATTGAAACTTCCGCTCCCAGCTTGGCTGGAAACTACTTGTATATGCTTGTAATTATGATATACATCTAATCGAGTATGTAGAAGTATGTAGAAGTCATATTCCTATATTTTTTAGTAGTCTATACTCTACACCCACAAGCTAACCGGCAAAAGGCTCCAAATTGCCAGTCATGCCTCATGTCAATCACCAATAATTATTCCGCATGTTAAATTGCATTGCTTGGTCAAAGGCCAATCTTACAGCTTTGTATCCCCGATTGATATTCCATTTTTTTCCAGACAACTCATCATTATTCATTGTGAAATCCAATCTATTTGCATCGATAAATTCCCAATCCAATTTGCATGGTGAAATTTCAATTCTGGATGGTTGTCCAATTCTTTCATTGGTGAAATCCTCATTGTTCCAGTAAAGAAAAACATTTTTTCCCCACCTGCCAGGTGAGGGTTGTTAGATTTTATGTCAGTTGCCTGCTCCTCCTCTCCTCCTCTCCTCATCTCCTCCTCCTCTCCTCCTCCTCCTCCTCGTCGTCCTCCTCCTCGTCGTCCTCCTCGTCGTCCTCCTCGTCCTCCTCGTCCTCCTCGTCCAACTGCGACCCGCGATCCACAGTGTTCTCTGTCGGACCTCAACCACGACCATCCATGCTCAGTGTTCCCTGCCGGACCTCAACCACGACCATCCACGCCCAGTGTTCCCTGCCGGACCTCAACCACGACCATCCCCGCTCAGTGTTCCCTGCCGGACCTCAACCACGACCATCCACGCCCAGTGTTCCCTGCCGGACCTCAACCACGACCATCCACGCCCAGTGTTCCCTGCCGGACCTCAACCACGACTATCCACGCCCAGTGTTCCCTGCCGGACCTCAACCGCGAGTATCCACGCCAAAAGATATGCCACATAGAGTGCCAGAAGATCCAGATAGAATATTAGAAGATATGCCAGATAGAATGCCGGAAGGTATGCCAGATAGAATGCCAGATAGAATGTCAGCTAGAATGCCAGAAGATATGCCAGATAAAGTGCCAGAATGTTTGCCAGATAGAATGCCAGCAGATTTGCCAGATAATATGCCAGAAGATATGCTAGATCGAATGCCAGATGGAATGCCAGAAGATTTGCCAGATAATATGCCAGATAGAATGCCAGATGGAATGCCAGAAGATATGCCAGAACATATGCCAGAAGATATGCCAGAAGATATGCCAGAACATCTGCCAGAAGATATGCCAGGTAGAATGCCAGAAGATATGCCAGATAGAATGCCAGATCGAATGCCAGAAAATATGTCAGATAGAATGCCAGAAGATTTGCCAGTAACAAAATGTATAAATGTCATGGTGGGGATCACACGAAGTAAAGTAATTTTATTCTCAAATGTCATTTCAGGCTTTCATCACTTTCATCTACCCTCTGGTAAACTAACATAACTATGGAAAATCACCATGTTCAATGGAAAAATCCACTATTTCTATGGCCATTTTCAATAGTTATTTTGACATAACCAGAGGGTACATTTTTCACTGTGATCTCCTCAATTTTCAAGGTGAAGTTCCCAAAGTTTCCCATGTTTTCCCACCTGCGGCGGCTGCGGCTCCGCGGGTGGTGCCGAGACCTTGGGCGTCTCGGGCGGCGAAAGCTCCGGGGGCGGCTCCAGCGGGACAACCAGCGGCGCGTGGGGCAAGGAGAACAACGAGTCCACCGGAAGATCCACACCTGCCAGTAGCTATTATCATAGACATATACTATATAGTATAAATGATTGATTTTATATATTCATTTTATTGGTAACATTAAACTAGACATATATACCATTGATATTACATTGATATAAATATGTCTAGATTATCAAAGGCATATAGATGGAATATTATTGACATTAAAATGAATGATCATTGGCTTACAACTAATATAAAAACCCACTTCAGCAGGAATCGGGCCCGGCCATGGTCAAGTGGAATCTGGCCCTGCCTTTCTGATTTCACCAGCAACAAATGTGTGGCAGTTTGTCGCGCACAGGGTGATTGAACCATGGTGATTTTACCATGGATTTTACCATCACAAAATTGGGATAAATTGGGATGTCAGAAGCCAAACTTCAGAAAATTGCTCAAGTTGACTTGGATCCAAGTACTGAAAAATGAGCGTGTTTCGCAGATTGCTTCGTAGATTCCTGCTATCCCAAAATACACGTTTTCGTTTCACTCCAGTTTTCACGGTGGGATGCAACCATCGGATTTCACCCATGGGATCTCACCACGGAGATATGCAACACACCAGGTGGGAATAGAGCTTTTGAGTAACCACGGATTCAACCATAGAATGGTTGCCACATTGAACCATGGGATTTTTTAAGAATAGACAATTATAGACAAATATGGATCATGGGTTTAGGATCTATAGAAATTGAATCTGTATGATATCCCGATATATTGAGAAGAATGGGATAATCATAGTAATTAACCATCAACAACAGGGATTATTTGATCGGGATATATAATGGACCTCGATCATCAGCAGGACTAAACATGAGCTCAGTGCTGAATTTAATGGTACAATAAACACAGAAATGCTGGATTCAGACAACAAATATGATCAATATTGGACTATAAATGGATGAATCAAACATAGTTGCATAATTGTGTAAATCATACTCCAAATAAATTAGAAAGATAAAGAGAGAGAGAGAGTACTTTATAACTTAATGTTCACAATATTCTTGCCCCCGGTTTGTTTGAAGGGTTGTCACTGAAAACTTTATGACATCTAGATGAACTTCCGCAAGACGCCGCATTTCCAAAATGTTCCAACCATTGAAGCAACATCTACAATGTGGTACCAATCCTTCGCCAAATTCGTTTATAACCCGTATCTAGCTGTGCATGATGGATCTCAGCCATAAGTTGGACTATAAAACAATGGATGAATCGCCAAACTCGACATTTTAGCGATGGGGAGTTTGATACGCTTTCAGCTGCAAAACGTCAGAAGAGTTTCCAATCATACCTAAATGGTGACTGTGCTCAACCACAGATATTGATATTCAGAGAAACATGCGGCAACTCGAACAGAAGCACAAAATCGGACACATGAGTTTCCACCATAAAAGACGAGATTTTACCAGCAAAAAGGTTGATTCCGACGTCCCACTCATGTGGGGTTTTAGTTGACCCAAACTAGGATTGTTTCAGTACAGGTATTTTTTTAGCGGTCCAAACGCTGGGTACCCAGCATCCAAGATACAGATTAATCAAGCCATTCTATATCTATTTAGAGCAAATACATTGTATAGTTCCAATAACTACCGAAATACATATCATTAGAATCAATACAACATATAGATTAGCAAAAGAGTAACAAACTATTTAAACAATGTGACATCAACATGTATTTCAATTTCCCTCTGGCAGTCACACATGGCACTGGACAATTTCCTTTTTAGATTACTGGCCATTTACCCTCTGGTTATTTGACTTATCTATGGAAAATCACCAGTTTTAAAAGGTAAATAATCATAAATCATCTACTGTATAACCGGGCCGTTTTCCTTAGCGATATCAAAAAACCAGAGGCTATATACATCTATATTTATATACATCTATAATGTTGGCTCCTGATTAGTAGCTCAGCTAGGCTCGCTATTATTGTGGCAAATTTTCTCCAAATTATTCTGAAACCCATGTATTGTTTGGAGGGTTCACTTTTGTGGCAAAAAAAGTGGGAGAGTTTTTTTTTTGGAAAAAACAACCTGTAATTGCTGAGAGGAAGACTTTTTTTCCAAAAGCAATTGCCAAATTCAAACTCCAAGCCTTTCCCAAAGGAGCAAATGCATTATTAAACCCTTATTAAAGAACAGCTTTTCCACAATTTTCCAAGGCCCTGGACCAGGAGAGGCTCCATTTCACTTTAGTAGGTTTGTTTGCTGGGTTCACTATTGTAGCAAGCTGTGCCAGAGCAGCTCCTGGAAGCCCAAAAGAGAAGCAAGCCTTTTCCAAAAGCAATTGCCAAATTCAAACTCCAAGCCTTTCCCAAAGGGGCCAATCCCTTATTAAACCCTTATTGAAGAACAGCTTTTCCACAATTTTCCAAGGCCCTGGACCAGGAGAGGCTCCATTTCACTTTAGTAGGTTTGTTTGCTGGGCTCACTATTGTAGCAAGCTGTGCAAGCTGTGGGTACTACAAGTACTACAAGTACTACAAGTACTACAGGTACTACAAGTACTACAAGTACTACAGGTACTACAGGTACTACAAGTACTACAAGTACTACAAGTACTACAAGTACTACAGGTACTACAAGTACTACAGGTACTGCAAATACTACAAGTACTACAAGTACTACACGTACTACAAGTACTACAAGTACTACAGGTACTACAAGTACTACAAGTACTACAGGTACTACAGGTACTACAAGTACTACAAGTACTACAAGTACTACAGGTACTACAAGTACAACAAGTACTACAGGTACTACAACTGCAAGTACTACAAGTGCTACCAGTACTACAAGTACTACAAGTACTACAGGTACTACAAGTACTACAGGTACTACAAGTACTACAAGTACTACAGGTACTACAAGTACTACAGGTACTGCAAATACTACAGGTACTGCAAATACTACAAGTACTACAAGTACTACACGTACTACAAGTACTACAAGTACTACAAGTACCACAAGTTCATCGGCGAAAAACAGTTTTAATTAGATTTCAATTGTAGCCAATTGAAATCCTTACTTAAGTGAGGATTTGCTTTTCTCTTGGGAAGATTTTTTTTGACTTTCCACCTTAAAGAGAGTCCAAATATTGTTTGGGGGGAGGGGGGCCTCACACTAATCAGGAACCAACATGAATCAAACCATAGATTTCCAAACCAGTGGCTATATACATCTATATTTAAATACATCTATATACGGTATATAGATGGGATTTCCATAGATTTCCCATTGCCACACGGCCAGAACTGGTCAAGGAACTCACAGTCAACTCATCCGGAGGCTTTCGCTTCAAAGAGCGCAGCTCCGAGTCCTCACATCCGAGGCGGCCATGGGGCCATGGCAACAAAAAACATCAAGGGGGTATCAAAAAACTGTGAATTCACTAGGAATATCATATACTATCATACGATATTCCCATAAATGATGATGTTTTAAGAATAAATACTGTTTAATTAGTATTCAAAATTACTTTACTTCGTGTGATCCCCACCATGACATTTATACATTTTGTTACTGGCAAATCTTTTGGCATTCTATCTGACATAGTTTCTGGCATTCGATCTGGCATATCTTCTGGCATTCTACCTGGCATATCTTCTGGCAGATGTTCTGGCATATCTTCTGGCAGATGTTCTGGCATATCTTCTGGCATATCTTCTGGCATATGTTCTGGCATATCATCTGGCATTCCATCTGGCATTCTATCTGGCATATCTTCTGGCATATTATCTGGCAAATCTTCTGGCATTCCATCTGGCATTCTATCTAGCATATCTTCTGGCATATTATCTGGCAAATCTGCTGGCATTCTATCTGGCAAACATTCTGGCACTTTATCTGGCATATCTTCTGGCATTCTAGCTGACATTCTATCTGGCATTCTATCTGGCATACCTTCTGGCATTCTATCTGGCATATCTTCTAACATTCTATCTGGCATATCTTCTGGCACTCTATGTGGCATATCTTTTGGCGTGGATACTCGCGGTTGAGGTCTGGCAGGGAACACTGGGCGTGGATGGTCGTGGTTGAGGTCCGGCAGGGAACACTTGGCATGGATACTCGCAGATGAGGCCCGGCAGGGAACACTGGGCGTGGCTGGTCGTGGTTGAGGTCCGGCAGGGAACACTGGGCGTGGCTGGTCGTGGTTGAGGTCCGGCAGGGAACACTGGGCGTGGATGGTCGTGGTTGAGGAGAGAACACTGACGAGGACGACGAGGACGACGAGGACGACAAGGACGACAAGGATGACAAGGAGGACGAGGAGGACGAGGAGGAGAGGAGGAGGAGGAGGAGGACGAGGCAGGAGGAGGCAACTGACATAAAATCTAACAACCCTCACCTGGCAGGTGGGGAAAAATGAAATACTATTTAAAATGTTAATGACTCAAATATTGCCTTCCTAAGGTGTGTGATTTAATGGCTTGGTTGAAGTAAACATGATGTAAAATACCGGAAAGCACGAGCTTTTTTTGGCTCCAGTACAGTTGAAGGAGCTTTCTGAAATTCTGGGTGAAATGGAAGTTAACGAAAATAATCCAGAGGTAGTGATCGGTCTGGACTGAGGAAAACGATGAAAAATGTCATTTTGATGCCTTCAGCCTTCGCTTTTTTGTTGCAGAAGTCATCATGCCAATCATGAGTTTGGTGTGCGGTTGCAATGCGTTCCAAACTACATGTTCTATATTTTCCTTAAAATAGCATCATGCCTGTAGTGCTATTGGTTGACTGCTGGTTCACCTTCTGAGAATGCAACAACCCTTTGACCACTTGGTTCTCGGTGTTAGTACCATCCGGATCGACATTTCTGGAAGTGTTCAAAACAGATCCACGGTTTTAACCCATCTGCCAAAAGAACGTCAATTAGAATCATCATTCCATCTATGACAGGAAGAGATACATATGTCAAACCACCAGAAAACAACCACATGCTGGTGATACACCCATGGTGGTAATGCCCCAGATTGTGATGGCAATGCAGCAAACCTAATGCCATAAAACCTCCTATATTTAATTGATAGTTCAAGAAACACGTATATGCATACTTACCTCTTGGAAAACGTTGGGGATGGTTTACTACTAGTTGGGTCTACCACATTGGGGTAATATCCTTGAAAGTAACATCTAAGTATAATAATTATTATAATATTATTATAATGTATGATATTGATAACATCTCTACCATTGACATCATTTCTGCCATTGATATCACCATATCAAATGTCTCATAGTAATAGTTGATAATTTACCATCATTGGTAATTCATAGACACATCTCTACAGTATATATCTAGATCATTTCCGAACAGCAAACCTGCCACTAGCAAGTGGCTAGCGGCTAGTGCAATCAATGCTCACCAGTATAGAAATGAGTTTTTTTTGCTTTTTTCCCACTGCTAAGCCATCCACAATTTTGACCTATGAAAATGGCTGTGGTCGTCTACTGGGATTACAAGCCATTCCATCTACCACATTGGTCCGGCTTCATATGCCCTCCTTGGTCAAATATATCTCATTATATCTTATATAATCTTATATATATATAAGTTCCATTATCCTCATTCTCATTATATCCCCAATCACATGGACAACCAAGAACAAGTTCAATCCATGAAATAAACCAATGGTTTGTTTTTCAAACATGCTAGCGTTTTTTCCCCATTCAACCACCATGTGGACCATGGTCTCAAAGGTGTCCTTACAAAGGTTGTGGGGGGTTCCTGAGCTCTGAAAAAAAAAACCAGACATTAGTGCGGGAGGTCACCTCAGGGATAGGATTCTGCCACGAAAAATCACATTTCTACGATGAAAAGTGATTTTGTGAACACTGCCAATACCCTCCGGTGAACTAACATAACAATGGAAAATCACCACCATGCTATTTTCATGGGAAAATCGACTATTTCTATTGCCATGGCTTCAAATAGCTTCTTGTGGTAGTTTACCAGGCCGGGTAATGTGTGGTGCCCCGATTCTGTTGAAGTCACACTGTAGTGGCTCATGTGGAGCATTAGGGCTACAAAAGCACATCCAAGTCGTGACCACGACTTAGTATTGAAACAACCGTGGTGACGACTGGGGATGTTCCATTTTAAGAAGCCCCATGTATTAAGGTATATAATCATTAATGGATGAAAAAAAAAAAATATATATATATATGCATACTTATTCATAGATTGTTTATACACCCAATTTTGTGGTATGTTTCATACTCATAGCAATTTCTCATAACCAACATGTTTCTGAAAGGTGTGTTTGTATACTTATTTATACACCCAAATTTAAAGTATGCATACTCTATGGCTAGTTACCCTCTGGTAAACTAACATAACTATGGAAAATCACCATTTTTCACGGGAAAACTCACTATAAATGGCCATGTTCAATAGCTTTTTGTGTATGTTTACCAGGCCGCGTAAAAATCCCTATGAATTTTCATCTGCCTGTCCTTGGGCGAGGAGATTTGGATCTTTGGCGCAGGCATCTCCGCATCGGCACTGATGGCACTGCGCATACTTCCTGTGGCATCTGCTCGCGGCTGCTCCTGGCAAGGCACTGGATGACTGGGTGTGAACATTCACAAGGCAAAAGAAGGATTTCAGCAGCATTTTTTTTTACTCTCTTGGTGGATACCACTTGCCACCACTCAAGAATAGATTTCACCTGACAAAATGATACAAGACTGCTGAAACAATCAAAGTTCAGCAAAAATCAACGAACAACGGAGATTCCCCAGGAATGAGAAGTTAGCAAAAACTAAATCTAACTGTACGGAACAACAACGGGTACTTGGTACTTAGGGGTTGTGTTAAGTCCCTCGATGAATGCTTCTCCTACAGATTCATCAGTTTGACCATAGATTTCTGTGGAATAAAAACTGAACCACATCCATGAGCCCCTCATCGGGCTATAGAACATATTTTACAAGGGTAGATGTTGTTTTATTCATCTATTTATTCACTTATTTACTTACCCTCTGGTAAACTAACATAGCTATTGAAGCCATGGCCATAGAAATAGTGGATTTACCCATGAAAATAGCATGGTGATTTTCCATAGTTACGTTAGTTTACCAGAGGGTATGTGTTGATTAATTAACATACATACGTAGAGTAGTTCCTCGCCGCAGTTGGTGTCCATCTTCCGCCCCTGAAACGACCCAAACGAGCGTGTCCACTGCTATGGAGATCCTATGTGTCTCGAAGTAGCTCTGATTGCTGTAATTTCATAAAGCTACATATACATGCAATATAATGAACATATAAAATTAATAATAAGTATGTGTGTATAATGGTATATATATATATAATAATCTTTAAACAACGAGTATTATTCTTTATATATATACATTATTTATATTATTCATATTATTATTATTAGTAGTATATTTAGTATTTATTAGTTTGATATAGTTTTATGGTGTTCTCTTGTCCCATCATCCCGCGGCGTCGAAACGCTGCCGTGCTTCAGCTTGCTGCAGGAGTTGCTGAATCAACTCCCGAATCTGCTGCACCACCATCTCCAAATCGTCAGGTGGAGCCTGAATTAGGATGCCATGGAACAACCAACATCTGTGGATGTATATAATTATATATATATATTATACGTATATAATTATAAAATACAGTATATGTTTGAACATAATATATAACTAAAACATATTATAACAATTTATAACATAGATTATGTATGCGACATACGCACTAATCATTCTATTTAGAGCATGGCGGCCGAGGTGTACCCTCTGGTAGTCATTTACACACCTGCTCGGAACAAAAACTGCATTTCTGGTAGGTGAAACCCCCAGCTGTGTCAGGGGTTGCTCGCCACAGCTCACAATCTAACCTTTCCTGCAGGCTGCCATGCAGCCATGCAACCCGCAAGAGTGTTGGGAGGCAAAATCACTCATCATTTGCTATAGTTATAACATGTTATAACCCCTTTATGAACCGGTTTAACCATTCAAACTTGGTTTTTAGCCAAGACGTTCAGTAAATTTTGCCATTCAACCATTGGTGAACTGTACCAACAACCATCTTTTTATAGAAGGCAGGGCTCCATAGATACTCATAGCAAAGTGGATTTAGAACCAAGCTAGGACGTATGCTTGATATTCTATACTTAATGACTTAATGGGGACTTAGTGGGATAAACATGATAAACCAACTGTAGCAGCTGTAAAACTGACCGTGTTCACCATCAATGGGCTCAATTCTGCATTGCTGTTCTGAAAAAAAAGCCCAGTGACCTGCACTTTTGTCGCAGAGAAGTCCATCAAGTCATCCTCTGAAGGCATCATCTCAAAATCATCCGCGCCCACATCCATCACCAGAAGGCGGCACCGTCGGGTGCCAAAGCGTGCTGGATGTCCAGCTTTCGATCTATCAGTCGGATGATATTGGATGGTACCATGCAGCACTTAAGATTCTCATACTGCGTTGTTTTTTCCCTTTTTTCCAGGGGATTGTTTGGATGTGGGGATGTGGGGCGCAAGGACTTGTACTCTCATCCGGTTGTGGATTAAGACTACTTTCAAGTTTAATTTGTCGGATGTTTATTCAGCCCACACCATTGTAGCTTATGATTGCTATCATTACTTGATTTTCGGCCAGCAACATGACATGAGATGGGGTGACCCACGAAACCCCAATCGGTACACACTACTGTACTGTGTATTCTGTTCACAACAAGAATCATGTTCTCATACCTCCATATGTATATATATATAATATATGTATTCTGGTCAACATATTCTGTACCAAAACCAATGATATACCAGAATTTGGACCCATATCATGGAGTTTTGATTTCATCACTGACCGTCATGCGCTTGGTCAAACGGCTTAGCCAATAGCCTGCGGAGACAGAGACATTGGTGACATGGCTGCTGTGAGCCCTTCCTGACATCTATGGCAGAGACAAGATGTAAAGATTGGCCTATGATATCTTCCCCATATGCGAACCATGGTGCTGGGATATGCACACCAACATTTGCCATAAAAATCTATAAACAATCACCCAAATGTGTAGGTAAATATACCAGCACCATGGTTCGCATATAGAACGCATATGGCTTATTACAACTACAAGAACTCCGATGTTTCTGCGAGATATATCGAGTTGACAGGGCTTTATTAAGTACACCAACTTGTGGAGAGTCGACGAGAGAAAACATGCCATCCCATGGATCGCCCGGGATTTCATAGTGGTTAGGCTGCCACTGGACACTGATTTATATGTTGATTATGGTTGATCCACAAAATTGCAGGATTAACATGGATTAACATGGATTAACATGGATTGACATGGATTGAAATGGATTATGTTGATCATTGCAGGATCAACAAGATTGAGCTGACGCAAATGACAAGTACAGGGGATCGTCTTGGGCTCTTGTTGATCTTTTTGGCAGGCCCACAAGCTCTCTGAGCATGTCTCTCTTTTCACGAATGGCCACCTCAGCGAAACGCGAAACACAGACCAGTTGAGTTCCTGTGGAACACAGCTGTTCACATACCAATGTTGAGGTTGTAAACGGATATATTATATAATAAGAATTCATAAGATTACATAAGTTTGAACCACGTGCAAATCACAACATGTATCATCAACTGCTGAAAAAAACTGGTTCTCCCAACAGAAATCTGCCCATTTAGGCCATCTGTTCGTCTTTACATGGATTGAACAGTTTTTTCAAAATCGTAAAAAAAGTGGATATTAATCCCATAACAATCCCCAACCATACAAGACGCGGGATTTGACAGGCAAATAGCAATGGCGCCATTGGTCAAAAGGGCGGTGAGGGGATGGTTGAACTCATCAGCTCATATTGATCCAGGTCCCAGTTAGATCATTATACTATATATACATATATACATACATATATATAACATACTATAATAATTATATTATACTATATTATATCATGTTATGTTATGTTATATAATATTAGACTATATTATACTATATTATATTATATTATATTTTATTATATATTATTATGTTATGTTATATTATATCATGTTATATTATATATACACATAATATATATATATATGTATATCTATATAAATATATATAATATTAAATCTACATATATATATATATACACACACTTTATTATACTATTAGACATGCCCCAACTGTTCCAAGTTTGCCGTTTCGAATCCAACAAATACAAAACCTGTCTTCAACTCTGGCTGATTTCATCGCCCAGGCGCCACAAATTCATGGTCTTCACCAAACAACGCTTGCAGCGCTTCAGTGGAGGACTCGTAAATGGCACAGACTTCCTCGGCCAGCTTCAGATCACCTGCTTCGATGCGGCCCCCAGTCGAGCGATAGCGTTCAGTTGCCTTCTAATTAAGTGACTTAACTATTGTTTTATGGTAGATATAACGAACTAGTATTCATGGGGTGTATAAAGCAAATGATAACTGGGGGGGGGACCATCCTGTGATACACGTGTCAAAGTAGCAGTTTTGGGCCGGCCCAGTTGGTTTCCTGAGCAGCGCTTGAAGCCGCTTGGAGACATGGCTGTTTCTCAACATTGGAACATGTCCTATGCAGATTCTCAAGCTGGTGCCCCAAAAGACCCCCGCAATCACCCCTAAATGTCAGTCAACATGTGTGAAAGTCACAAATTCGCTATCCCACCCGACAATGTGATATAGCAACAATTCAACTCTTGTCGCCAAAACACATGGAACACAAAACTCGGTTCAACTTCATGTTTCCAGATTTTCCAGAGTGTTTCAACGCTAATTTTATCTGAAAATAGGGTACCCAAACAATCTAGTGCTTGGTCATCATTTCCTCACAAGAACTATCCATCAGTTGAGCTTGCAAATCCTTCATTTTCAGACAGATCCAAAAATCATCATCACATCGTATGCCCAGTGAATGCCTCTTTAACTCCCCTATGAATTCCCAAACTTTCAGCTCACTGATAAATCCTCATTTTTGCCGATGAAGATCATTTTTATGGCCTTTTCACTGGGTCTGTGGGCCCCTCCCCCGTCATAAAGATACAATATTTATAGCCATAAGATGGCCATGATATGACCATAAAATGGCCATGATATGACCATAAAATAGCCACAAAATGACCATACAATGGCCATAAATCCTCATTTTTGCCGATGAACATACCATTTTTATGGCCATAGCATGGCCTCACTTGGCAACGGCACGGCCTGAGGCCGAACTCTGCCCGCCTTGACCTTCCACGGAATCGGGTCCCACTTGAAAGCCGTTGAGGCGCAGCTGCAGATCGCCCTGGAACCCGAAACAATTCGTGGGTTGAAAATGATGGGACTATGATGATGGGTTAAAACCTCAACTTATAATGGATTTTCCATGGCTATGTTAAATGACCAGAAGGTATATATGGGATCTATATATATATATATATTGACAATTAATATGGACAATCATTGGAAAACCTGGGAACATCGAATATCAATGAGTATATCATTTTACATCATGTTACCTAAAATATGTGGTTAAAACAATGTCATAAACGAGCCATTTTCCTGGGAATGGTAAACATACCAATATTGTTGCTTTATACATGTTTCTACACCAGCTATTTATGGTCACTTGGGGTATGGTTTATGGCATTGTTTTACCCACAAAAAAATAGGACTATGAATCAATATGAAGGGACAAATCCATTGGAAAACAATAGGAAACCGGAAAATCCAATATCAATGGGGATTTTTTCATGAAGGACATAATGATTAATGGGGATATTGCTCATGTTCTTTTCTGGGTTAGAACACCTAAGGTAATTATCCTAAAATTGGGTATTGCCAACAACTATTCTGACCTACCCAACCCAAAAACTGGAACACGTGGGGGATCACTTGAAACGAGCAATCTTGAACTTGGTATGTTCATATATGTTCCGTGAGATTACTATATGGTATACCAGGGAATGACATGCAATTGCTATAACCTCATTGCAACTGGTCATCAGGTCCGGTTCCTAGCAACCATATGAGACAAGCTCTTCCCAACATCTCAAGCATCAAGCACCTGAAGTCGGAAAGTCGAAGTGAATCACCAGAATATGTCAACCCTGGAAATAGGGAAGTCTCAAACTGGTTGGTGGTTTCAACCCCTCTGAAAAATATGAAAGTCAATGGGAAGGATCATCCCATATATTATGGAAAAAAAAATGTTTGAAACCACCAACCAGCAAATGATTGGCCGATCATTTTGCCCCGTCAAAAATCGGGGTGCACCTGTGTCTCCATAGACCATGCTTGTAGAGCACTGAAGCCAGGGTAGACCTGCGGGAAATTCCGGGAGAACGAAATCTGGCTCATCCGGCTCAGATTTTTGTTGCTGATAACCCGATCGTCAGCCAAGTCACCTGGCGAAAAAGAAACCACTTTTCCCGGGAGTCTGATAGCAATGAGCCACAGAAAAACCTCCGAGTAGTACCCGGCCTGGTAAACTGCTCCATAACTATGGAAAATCACCATGTTTAATGGGACTGCAGACAAAGCTCCGCTGTGCTTCGCTGCAAAACGTGCGTAACAGTAGCCGCAGTGTGACAGAGGGTAATACTGGGCCTAACTGTTGAGCAGATCGATTCCCAAGACACACGTTCTGAAAGCCAGAACAACCCAAGGAATGGGACAATCCACTATTTCTATGGACATGTTCAATAGCTATGTTAGTTTACCAGAGGGTACTTCCCATGGAGCAGACATGCTTTGCAAAGAGCATCCTTCTTGAAACTTACGTACATGAAGCAGACTAGTGTATCCGTTTGTCTTGATTTGTTCTGTCCAACCTTGACAAAAGTGACTGAAAATGCATGCAGATCATTTTTGATATCATGTGCAAAATGCACCAAGATTTCTCACTTGTTGTTGTTCAGTATCAATTGGATGCCAGGAGGATTATTCGTTGCACCGTTTAGCTCTCCATCCCCGTTAAGGATGGGCAAGAAAAAAACTGAAAAAAAAAGACTGTTCAACTGAAGTAGATCATTGCAAGCTGATTAGTATAAACCCAGTGTGTCTATAGACCGAGTGTGTGAATTGATCCTCTGGTCATCAAACGTGGCAATTGAAAATCCCTAAGAACTTGGAAAACTTGTTGGCATTGTATTTTGGTTACGCAGCAGATCCCCATTCTTGGGAAAAATTACCAACATATCCCAAGTGGTAATGTTGAAAATCCAGAACTCAAGGGTGAAAAATACACTGCCATGGTATCTGCAATATACTGGCAATATTGGGGTACACTCAAATCAACATAAATCAACTGTACTACATCAACTATTGGGTCATGGGGATTTCTTGTTGATAAGATCATTAATTACTCTACAGTTGATATATCAACAAATCGTTCTATAATTGCTTACTATATCAACTGTACTATTGTTGGTAAATATTACTATATTACTATAATCACCAATTGGTTACTATATCAACTGTTGGTCATGCACTATTCTTGGTTGAGAACCTGCCCCTTGAAGCATCACTCTTTCGCGTCGTGGCCTCCGCAGTGAACTCTGAGCATCGATTGGCGAAGCTGAGCGCCGTCTTCGCGTCTCCAGCGGCCTGCTGGAGAAGTCTCCGTTCGGTTGGGTTGAAATGATACCTGGCCATGGTATGGTATAACAAATACCTAGTCTAGCAATATGTACACTCTGGTAAACAAACATAGCTATTGAAAATCACCATTTATAGTGGATTCTCCCATGGAAAATGGTGGGTCTTTCCATAGCAAACTGTTAGTTTACCAGAGGGTATAACAAATATAATGAGTGTCACTAGGTTTGGTATTGTTTGATGTGTATGTTGTAAAATGATGTCGGGTTGTCGCCCAAAATAACATGACAACCCTGCCATTTTTGGAGGGTTCGAAGACAACTCTTTTCTCTAGTAGTGATTCGAAGGGTCTATCGTAACTTAGTTGGGGGAATGGTATGTTTGGTTGTCATCACCTAGCTAAGCCTTGAACACTGGAATTTCATATCATGCACAAACAAAATCACTGCTGGGCCAGAATGCATTTTTTGCATGTTTTCATTTTTTGTTTGGGGGACTTGGAGCGTCTAAATCTGGCTGATCGTCAAACATCGTCCAGTTTGGAGTTGTCTTGAGCCTTGATACCAAGCACACAATGAACAGTGATCTCCATTTTCTTTGTGGCTCATACAGTTATAAACTATAATTCATCAATTATTACTGCAGTTCATAATCGTAATAATCTTAAAAATATTGACAGTTATAATTTATTTAGACCACATTTGAGTTATAGTTTATTTATGTTTATTTAATATAACTGTAATCCTAGTTGTGTTTAAACTACGTATACCATCTTGTTATTTAACATAGCCATGGAAAATCACAATTTTTAATAGGTAAACCCAGGTAAACCATCTATAAATGGGCCATTTTCCATGGCTATGTTAAATTACCAAAGGGTATATAATTTGACCCAGTCTTTGGTGATCAAATCCCCATGATGGCCTCGTAGTAGGCCACCAAGTGCCTGGTGGCGGGAAATGCTCCATGCTACCCTATGACCCGAACCAAAAACCACCAGAAAAAAAATGTAAAAAGGTGTAAACATACTAAAAATCTGGATGAAATATGGTTAGACCGTCATCTTTAGATTTATATATATTTAGTAGGTATAATAGTAATGCCCAATGTTAGATCGCAGTGTATAAAATCACACTTAAAATAGTGGTAATTTATTTGATATCAATTGTAACGTGTCTGCATCTTTTTTGGGGTTGCTACCATAAGCATACCATAAATATTGTTTTATACATGAAATATACGAGAAGATGTCTGCGAATTAACAAAATGAACAGAAATGTAAAGTAATTCTGTGTATTTGAAGATGTTCCAAGCCTGAACCATGGTCTATTTAGATGTTGAACCATTTAAACCACAAAGTGGAACCCAGCGTCGATGCAAAGTCCATCGCCAACTTGGTTGGTCTCCCCAAATTCAATGGTGGTTCTCCTCTGGTCATTTGTGACATAGCGAACTGGAACATCATCCTTTTTGATAGGTATATTCAAAAAAAATGTTTATCATCATGTTTATCATCTATCAATCGGCCATTTCCAGCATTTCATCATTCTTATCATTATGTTTACCCTCTGGTTATTTAACATAGCCATGGAAAATAGCCCATTTATAGATGATTTTCCCAGCTAGAAACCTCCATTTACAAGGGATTTTCCATGGCTATGTTAGTCATAACCAGATGGTAAATCATCTATTATTTATGGGCCATGGCTTCCATAGCTCTCGATTTTCGGAGGGGAAATAGGGGAAATCCTGACAATTTAAAGCATGGGCCATCATGGGCCTCGCCACCCGATCACGCAGCCAATGTTTGTCCGAAAACAGCTGCGACATGTTTTCTTCCAGCCGCTGCGCTTGCTCCTGCGAAACATGCGAAAGAAGTATTGGAGACCCTGCACCTTCGTCATCAAACGTAGCTGGACAATTCCCCATGCAGTTAACATGATTTTCCCTAGAAAGCTCCATTATGCCATTGAGTTGGGGAGTTTTTCAGCCATGTTTGATGACACAGGATCGGGAGTTCAGGTTACACAGCTTGAGGCAATGATCGAGGGTGTCCTCGGTGAGATAGGCTGCCGCACTTCCTTCTTTTCGATCCCATTCTTGAACTAACCTGGGCGAAGTCGGAGAGGGATACTGCGTGCCAACCTGGGCTGGATGTTATCAAGAAGGTTCCAAGTAATTCATTTAAAGGTAGGACATGTGTGTAGAGTATGAGGTGACCAGATTGAACAGCTGGAACACTCGAAATGAGCGTCAAATCCTCACAGCATCAAGCTTTGAAGCATCTCACACCGCAAAAAACTTGGCCAGTTTCACCATGTTGTGCCCCTTCAATCCCATATGATCGATACATGATAGACATAGTGTAGATATATTACAGATATATTATGGATAGATATCAAACCAAATCCCCAACCTCCACCCCACCATTATCCTGTTGGCAATGAAACTCGCCAATTCCATCCAATTCCCGTGTAATAGATTGCCCCTCACCAACCTCCCCAAGCCTACCCAAGCCAGAAATGGCCATCATATATTCCAAGTACTCATACATACCAATGCTCAATATCGCATTACACATACATACATACATACATACATACATATATATATATATATTATTACCATCATTTGTAGGAATTGCTCCAAACACCCCAGATAGGCTTGGGGGAGAAACTGCCTACAGTAATTATAGAGGTAAAATCACCAATTGTCCTCCCTTGTAGTGATGATTTACCTAAATAAGTTGGAGCAACCCTGATAAAAGTGGCAATTCCGAGGTATACCCCGTATTTAGACAGACCTAAAAACTAATATACCCATCGTGAGTCGTGAGTAATATGTTTCACCACCAGTTTACTACTGTCGATGCTTAAATCATGTTAAATCCCCTTTTCAATGTCTATAATCCCAATCATCTCCCCATTTACAGATGCATTTTCCATTGAAAATTCCAAATTTAGGTTTCCAATCCATGGGGGTAAATACCCCCAAATCCAAGTCATTAGACAATGACTTAGTAACATTAAGGCAACCATGGTGACTTGGGGACCTTCCATATTAAAAACATATATATATATATATTATATGGGCTAATATATATATATAATATATATAATATATATATAATATATATATATATACATAAGCATACATATATCATATAGTTATATACATATATAATCATTTATGGAATATATATATATATATGGGGATATAATACCCCTTTGAAGATGGATTTCCATCTACCATTTCCACTATTTCCATTAAAATGGATCCAAATGGCTGATACTTAAAACCTCGAACGCCTCGAAGCTCGAACTTTTCGCGCCCAAGCAGCTCCTCCACTTTGGCCTCCTGCAGCACCAGCTCGTTGGCTTGCGCCGCGGTGGCTAAGAAGCCGCAGCGTCGACATGCGCCAAGGGCGCAGGGCCTCAGCGTGGCGAAGGCGCTAGGAATTCTGATTCAATTTTGGGAACCCATATGCTCCATGGTGCTGGTATAATTACCTACAAGACTGGGTGATTTTGTTCGGGCAAATGTTGGTATTGATACATGAAGCATATGGGGAAGTCTGACAAAAACATACAAAAACCAAATTTTGCTATCTTCATATTTTGGACTAACAAACCAAATTCAAGATACCCAGCGATGTTTTTATTGTTACTGACACTCAGCCAAACTCAGCCCATTGGGCTCCATGGAACCACGCCCAACTCAGGAGGACTAAAGGCAGACAGTGGCTTCCATAACGTGGGCTGTCTGAAAATGGTGTTTTTTCCCAAGTGCTTATTTTAACCGTGGAAAATAAACCATAAAAATTCGGGGGTACCCTCTGGTAAACTAACATAGCAATGGAAAATCACCATTTTCAATGGGTAAATCCACTGTAAATGGCCATGTTCAATAGCTATGTTAAATTACCAGAGGGTATCCCATTTTCAGACAAACCCAGATCATGAAGTCCCTGTTCAAATATTCAAATGGCCATATGCCATATGGGGTTTTAGTTCCCATTTTCAGAGCGACCAACGAAAAATTTCACTGATGACTCTCTGAGAAGCAACAAACATGTTATAAAATGTTTGATTGGCATGTTCCAGAGGCAACGAAAACAACAGTAGAAGAGCAAAATGAATTGGGTTTGTCCGTGGACAAACACAGCCTATCTGGGTTTGTCTACCCCTAGATCCAATGATGAATCACCATTTCTTTCTAGACAAAGCCAGCTTTTTTGAACCAACGGTCTCGACCCCTGATCTTTGATCGTTGCAGGTAGCATTTTGATCCAGTTGCTTGATCGTGTCTCCACATTCGAAGAAGATCTCGCCCTTTTGGCAACCTCCAGCGATCCGGAGTTCCAGCGGGGGATCCCTATTCCACTAGAGAAGTTGGGAACTATTCCAAGCTGAGATCACTAAAGCTGCGATGGTGAATAGATGCTATGGTATATGGATGGTTTATGGTCATCCATCCCACAGTTTACTCTAAATCCTTCCAATCTATATACTGGAGATAATATATATATATATATAGAGTAATGTATAGATCGATATGGATTGACGACCAGCCCCTAATATGGGTATATAATCCAAGTTTTGAGACGGGCAACGTCTGTCTTGCCGGATTGTTGAATGATCAACTTGAGTAAACGGGGGAAACAAAACGTCCGTTATTCCAGTAGTTCATGTATGTTCATGTCAAGTCTGTGCATGCAAAGACTTTAATGGAAACATGTGAAGTTTTGGGGCCCCAAGAAATTGAGATAAGACCAGAAATTGGGATGATTGAGATCCAAATACTGGATAATTTGGTAGCATAGGCATAGCTGTTTAATACGCTTTAAGATGCTGCTTCGCTATGTCTGGGATATCCTGCCCACTGACTATAACAATCTGCAATCTGTTGGCCACGGATCGCCGGTGGATCATTGACATTTGCACATACTGATCCCAAGCAGGTTTGCCAAACCACATCATCATGGCTATTGATTGAATGTTCCTCACGGGAAAAGGAACAAGTATTGTACATGTCAGTTCATTTCAGCTGGGCACGAAGGATTTTACCCAATGATTGGGGGAACACATTGCCATGCACATTGCCATGACTTGTGACCTAGTTGAAATCAATGAACCCAATGAACTACTAGTAACCATTCCCTGGGGTGTTCGAGATTACATCCCCCCATTTACATGTTGAAAAACAAACAATCCAGGTTTCACCAAAAGCCCTATATCTCGTTGATAGATATCCTTCTACAGTAAACAAGCACGATTCCCCAATGCAGCTCCCAGAAATTTATCACACATAGTCAGTGTAATCCCAGAAAATCACATGAAATCCCCATCCAAATTCCATTAGAATCCCAGTTTTTAAATGGTTTACCCTCTGGTAATTTAACTAGTGAATTTTCCCATGGAAAATGGTGGATCTTTCTATAGCAAACTGTTAGTTTACCAGAGGGTAATCCCATTAATATCCCATTGAATCACTATAAAATTCCATTGAATCATTCTAAATCCCATGATTTTCCATCTTTTTTGTAGGTTTTCCCATATAGAACCCCCCCACAAAAATCTGACTCCAACAGCCTCGCCTAGACATCTGAAGCCACGCACCGGATCCAAAGCCACTCGGCAGGTGCTGCAGTTGCACAGGAAATGCTTCGTGGCCTGAACACATCGAGGATTCACCAGTCGAAAAGTATTGTGAAAATGGACTTGTTTAAGGGATTTAACAGTTTTTCAAAGGGATTTAAAAGCTTTTCATAGGGATTTAACCGTTTTTAATGTGGATTTAACAGCTTTGTTTTGGGATTTTAGAGCTTTTCATAGGGATTTAACAGTTTTTTATAAAGACTTAAGAGATTTTAATAGGAATTTAACAGCTTTGTTTAGGGATTTAACAGCTTTTCATAGGGATTTAACAGTTTTTAATGGGGATTTAACAGCTTTGTTCAGGGATTTGAAAGCTTTTCATAGGGATTTAACAGTTTTTTATAAAGACTTAAGAGATTTTAATAGGGATTTAACAGCTTTGTTTAGGGATTTAAAAGCTTTTCATAGGGATTTAACAGTTTTTAATGGTGGTTTAACAGCTTTGTTCAGGGATTTAACAGCTTTTCATAGGAATTTAACATTTTTTTATAAAGACTTAAGAGATTTTAATAGGGATTTAACAGCTTTGTTTAGGGATTTAACAGCTTTTCAAAGGGGTTTAACAGTTTTTAATGGTGATTTAACAGCTTTGTTCAGGGATTTAAGAGCTTTTCATAGGGATTTAACAGTTTTTTATAAAGACTTAAGATATTTTAATAGGGATTTAACAGCTTTGTTTAGGGATTTAACAGCTTTTCATAGGGATTTAAAAGCTTTTTAATGGAGATTTAACAGCTTTGTTCAGGGATTTAAGAGCTTTTCATGGGATTGGACAGCTTTTTATAAAGACTTAAGAGATTTTAATAGGGATTTAACAGCTTTGTTTAGGGATTCAACAGCTTTTTGTAGAGACTTAACAGTTTTTAATAGGAATTGAACGCCTTTGTTCAGGGATTTACCAGCTTTTCATGGGATTGGACAGCTTGTTATAAAGACTTAAGAGATTCTAATAGGAATTTAACAGCTTTTCATAGGGATTTAAAAGCTTTTTATAAGGATTTAACAGTTTTTAATGGGAATTTAACAGCTCTGCTTAGGGATTTGACAGCTTTTTATAAAGACTTAACAGTTTTTAATAGGAATTGAACGGCTTTGTTCAGGGACTTAACAGCTTTTCATGGGATTGGACAGCTTTTTATAAAGACTTAAGATATTTTAATAGGAATTTAACAGCTTTTCATAGGGATTTAAAAGCTTGTTATAAGGATTTAGCATTTGTTAATGGGGATTTAACAGCTTTGTTTAGGGATTCAACAGCTTTTTATAAAGACTTAACAGTATTTAATAGGAATTGAACGGCTTTGTTCAGGGATTTAACAGCTTTTCATGGGATTGGACAGCTTTTTATAAAGACTTAAGAATTTTTAATAGGGATTTAACAGCTTTGTTTAGGGATTTAACATCTTTTCGTAGGGATTTAAAAGCTTTTTGTAGCGATTTAACAGCTTTTTGTAGTGATTTAATAACTTTTTGTAAGGATTTAACAGCTTTTTATAAAGACTTAGCAGTTGTTTATAGGGATTTAACAGCTTTGTTTAGGGATTTGACAGCTTTTTATATGGATTTAATAGCTTTTTATAGGGATTTAACAGGGACCCAAGAATTGCTTCATATCCACTATTTCATTCGAACAAATGCTTATAAAAATTGATTACATTATATAAGTGTTGTTACTGTAGATCTATAAATATATATAGATTTATTTGTGAATAAACTATACCGCAGAACGTTCTCTCCACATGGATGCCACGATCTCTCCACATCTCGTCATGGGTCATCCCGCTCATCTCTACAAGTTGTTTACACCACTCGCAAGCACCGGAGTTCGTGGACAAATACACCTATCAACTTACATTCAGCCATCTTGGTTTTATAAAATTGTATTAGTTAACACAAATGTAATATTTAAATCACAAATACAGTATTATATTATATATATACATACAGTATATAACTATCCACTGCTGCCCTCCTGTCCCAAACACGCCTCCAGTTGAGATCTTCGACTGGCGATAGATTCCAACAACGACTCCTCTGCCAGGTACGACCTCGGTCCAAAAGTTTGCGAACTTGAAACCATGGCCCATTTAGTTTGTATGATTTACGGAATCAAAATGCTAATGTGCCATCTGTTCACTTACCAAATAATTTGGATTTATGAATTATCCATTACCACTACATATCAGGTCTCCCAACACCCCAAAAGGGCCCTTGTGGCTGTGATTCACACCCTGGGAAAATGCTTGGGAAACTTGTCGATAGTGCGCTATGAATCATGGATAATCATGGTTGGTACCAATAAAATTATTGGTACAGTTATAATGGTTACTGGGACAAAACATCTGGTTGGTACAGGGATGTAATCTGGTGTAATCTGGTGCCCAGGATAGGCAAGTTGCTTCGTAAATATAGCTTTACTATGGTTTATGGTATGTCTATAGCTAATGGGTGAACGCAAACCAACTTCTAACTGGGGGGTCCACATCGTGGGGGCGATGTGGAAACCTTTGGACACGTGGTTTCATAGATGAAAAACCCTCGGTGTTTCGGTGACCCTTCTTCTTCCCATATTTAGGTTTGCTTTGCCTCCCGGTGAGAATTTTAAAATCATGACCTGGTCAGAAACACATGTTGAGCCAGAAGCACGTGTTGATTGTTTCATATTGTTTCGGTATCGATGTTCTTTCTACACATGAATGGGTTTGTCTAAAAATGGTGTACCCTGTTCCATCCACTTGTTAATCAGCATTTTCCCCATTAAAGTTACCATGTGTTGGGTACCTGATTTTCAGACACACCCAAATCTATGTACGGTTGATCATATATCCATGATTCCATGTATATTCCCATTATATACCCATTCAATTCCATGAATTTCGTATCAGGTCACCTGTTGGGTGGACTCTGAAAAAATATATGAGTTCGTCAGTTGGGATGATGAAATTCCCAATATATGGAAAGTCATAAAATTCCATGGTTCCAAACCACCAACCAGTAACAAATAACATAGCTATAATGGCCGTTTGTATTTGATTTACCCATTAATAGCATGGTGATTTCCCATAGTAAAAAATGTTCCAGTCACCACCAACCAGTGATTATTAACCATCATTAACCATCATTAACCATCATTAACCATCATTAACCATCATTATCCCATACTAAACCAATGTTCCAGTCACCAGTTCCCCAGGTTCCCCAGGTTCCCCAGGTTCCCCAGGTTCCCATGATATCCTCATTATTTGTGCCGATACATCATCCCTGTAGTGCCAGGGCTGCCAGGTGGCACAGTAATCTCCTCTCCCACCGGGATGTTGCGCCTGTTGAAAAGCTGGATGATTTTTTTTCTGGGGTTATCATATCTACCATCTATAACTACTATAGCTGAGGTTACCTAAGAATCACTATAACTACTATAATAGATTCTACTACTATGATTGGAATAACTACTATGAACGATTATGACTAATTACTATTAACTAAGAGATGTGGTGCTAGAACTGAGGTTAAAGTATTATATCACTGAAGTTTGGGTCTGGTTGTAACATCTCGTGACATGGTAAACCCAAAGCCCATACTCGGGCGAAATTTGGCAAAATCCCCAATATGCTGGCATTTGATTGATAGTAAATTGTGTAATTCCTCTAGATATAAGGTACAAGTAAATCATCTATATATATATAAATGGCTAAATGTTCCATGGTTATGATAAATTACCGGAGAAATGTGGATGAATCAGAAACTCACTTGGCGTAGGATAGCATGTTGAGATAGTCTCAGTGACTTGCTGACAAGCAGCCTAAAATTGTGGTGTGCACAACCATGTCATGTTTGAACACGCGAGGCGGCAACTGCATCTCCTACATTCCTTCATGATGAAGCTTCAACATATGGAGGTTTCCTAAAATAGGGGTACCCCCAAATCATCCATTTTAATAGGATTTTCCATTATAAATCATCCATTTTGTGGTACCCTCATTTATGGAAACCACCATATGGGTTAATGGTGATTAATGGTTATGTTTACTGTTAATAATGGGTTGATGGTTAATAAATGGTTGAACCATGATTAACAATGGTAATTGGAGTACCCCCATTTATTTAAACCTCCGGATCACCGACCTGGAGACACCCGCAAAAAGTCGCCCTACCTGGCGCGCAGGGTGAAGCAATCCCCCTCGTAGTGCCACATGCAGTTGGGCCGGCAGTCGTGTGAGATGAAGGCGGGCAGAAAGAAGGTGCTGAAACCCACAGGCTCCTGCTGCTGTCATTGGATTGGTTTAAGAGAAAATTGGAGCCGGACACCCCCATATTTACTGGTAAAAAACAATGGTTTCCGATTGTTTCCGGTAGATTTTCCCTTAAACCAATCCAATGATGCTGAGCTTAGATCTATTTATGTATGTATGTGTATATATATATATATGTAAAAATTCATGAATTGGTGGCCCAAATGGCGAGGATTTTCCATCCCTCGACTTGATACTGCGGCCGATAAAAAGTGCTGCTCCTCGCTGTGTTCGAAGCAGTTCAAAAGCCACCTGATGTCATCAGCCCATTTCGGGAAACCGATTGATTGAAGGTACCTACCCTCTGGTTATGACTAATATAGCCATGGTATAGATGGCCCATAGAAATAGATGATTTTCCCAGCTATAAACCCTCATGTATAAGGGATTTTCCGTGGCTATGTTAAATAAGCAAAGGGTACTATATATAAGGCCTATTTCAAGGCCTAAATTTCAGGGAATATCCCCCACAAAGTATGGTCAAAAGTACGAGTACCGAGCTAGCTCCATTTTAGGATCCTGAAATTCCCATTGATGAAGTGCCAATGGCAGCTTCAAATGTCAGCGGGGCATACCTGGGATGGGAAAATGAGATGAATGCAACAACCATCATGGTGACATAATGGGACATGTATATATATATAATATGTAATTATCATCATTATTACTAAGTCACATGTGCTTTTTTTTTTTGTAATTATTGTTGGTATTCATTGTTTGTTTTGTGTTTAAATGTTATAATTATAGTCAGCATTATCATTGTTGTTATTATTATGTTTATTATCATGGTTGTTTATTCGTAATCATTATTGTTATCAGTGATATTATTACATACTATTACTTACTATTATTTTATGATTACTGCTTAGCGGTTGAGCCACCCATCAACAAGATTGCAAAGTCATTGGGGATCATCATCCATCATCATCCCATGTCTATGGTAATACAACATCTTTGAACCCACCCACCAGCGTGTATCAGGTACACCCAGAACCCCCGATGTTCAGTATTGGATCGGGTTAATCACCACCCGGCATGCGAAAAAAAGGATTTTGGGGGCCAGTGAAAAGGGGGTGTTTGATGTAAGGAAGAAGGGGTTGAGAAAAAGCAATGGAGATGGCAGGAATGTGGATACCCTCTGGTGATGACTAACATAGCCATGGTATAGATGGCCCATTTATAAATGGTTTACCTATTATAAATGGTGGATCTTTCCATGGCTATGTTAGTCATAACCAGAGGGTAGCTCTTACTGCGCGACCACAAACTGAAGATTGATTTAGCCTCCGGCAATCAACGGTGGCTTTTCCAGCCGGGAAAGTCATCCATCGGTTATCTTCCACTAACGGTTTGATTACCGGAGGGTAACTCAAAATGTGTTTTTTTTTTTTAATGGGAGAAACATACAATAACAACAAAGAAAAGACTTCTAGAGGAATACAAGTGGAATCAAGTCTAGACATATCATGAAATATCCATACGTGCCACGGGCAGAACATGCAATCTTGGTTGTGGTTATCCATCTCATGATGGAATTAATAGATTCATCACCATCCGCCAACATGACGAATTCACCCAAGTTTTGATGATGGCAAATGTAAAAGATCATCTCATGCTGACGACATCTCACAACAATACATGGCCAAGGAATTAAGGGCAAAATGAACGGGGACAACATTCAGAAGGCTTATTGTGGGTGCTGAATGCTCACATCATCATTTTGTGTGTGGGGGTAAATTTGGAAAAATGCCATGAATATGTCCGTTTCAAATCCTTTCAATCCAATCCTTGTGTGTTTTTTCCGACCATCCACCAACATTCTTGAACAGCCAGGTCACCGCAAGTCCAGTTTATACAGTAGGCATTCCAGGGTTTTCCCAAGCCAAAGCTTCAAGTTGACACGCCAAGACACACTGCCAGAAGACTCTCGAGTTTCAAGGCTAAGGAACTTGCAGCATTGCGTCCCCAAAACTCATGGACGATGTGGAGTGAATCCTGAAAAAGGCGAGGATGGGCTCCAGGATGGGCTCAACCCGGGCAAGGAAGAGTTCCGTCATCCTGATAACTATGGTGAAACAAACATTGATGTGTTTGGGCACCTGCAGGAGCTACACCTCCGGAGTTAGAAGCAATCCTCTAGCTCATGTTTGGTGGTTCCATTTCAGTTTTGAGGCTTGGATTGGGTTCCATGACAACCGCTTTTTGGACTCTCCATCCCCGTGGGCCTCCGAAGGTACTTGCGGCTCCGGGTGGTAGAACATCAGCAGCTGTTGCTGTTGCTCCATCGTCACGGATGGAAAACTCGCATTGCAGCCCTCGTAGTCTTCGCCTGGTGGTGATGGACATCCACCATTTTTTTGGATTTCCAATGTGTGGCTGGCTAAAATTGTCATAAATCCACCATTTTTAATGGGAAGGCGAAAACCTCTCACGTTGTCAGAGTTTTGTCCGGTGTTCATGTTCCCCAACATGGCGGTCAATGGGAATGATATTCTACATGTCTTTCTCGTTTCAGCAACCGCCAACTATGGAATTGTATATTTGTGGGTCCCCAACTTGAACTAAAGCATCCGAAGTGTCTATGATTTGTGGCTAGACCTCGCATGCTCATCAAACAAACTCAAAAGTCGGGGGCTACACAGGAGGTTCCCATTTATCGACCAATTGGGGTGATAGAATCGACACCATTGCGGTGGATATTCATGGATTCCCATCGAAAATTGGTACTTCAGTCCCTGAGAAAACGTAGTCCCTCAACAGGTTTGAACCAGGTCTGTCTCAGGATACCTCAAACTCAGATGAAGATAGAAAAGTAAATTCGTGTAAATTCCAACTCAAATCATGAATTGTACTGTAAAATCTGTTTTCTATGGAGGTTACTACCCCAAACTAAATAATGTGGTTAAAACAATCATAAACCATCCCCCAGTCATCACCATAAATAATAGGTGATATGGTTACCATTCCCAGTCATGGGTGGTTTATTGTCTTATATTTTTTAACAGAATGTTATATCCCATCATATCATGAAATAATATCACCATAATGTGCATCCCCATATTATTATTGTTTTACCCACAGTATTTGGTATCTTCCGCCTGTCAGTGAGCTCAAAGCTGCCCAGTACCACAGCGGTGCATGGGCGAAGGATTTCCTCAGACCCACCCAATGGGCCAAGCATCGGCTTCAGAGGTCCCTTTAAAACGGGAGGTTAACCAACAAAATTGGCGATCTATAGCTGAATTATGATAGGTAAGAAACGGTTTATCTCACTAAGTTTACTATGGTCGTTGTAGTCGTTGTATGGCAAGTAGATAACATTTCAACAAATGGGATTATAAACCAAGTATAACTACCTCCCCTGATTGAATTGAATAGAAAAAAAACAACACATCTGTGGTGGTACTGTATCCTGACCTTCACTTCTGTGTTCAACATCGTTCAACAACCACCCTTGGGCGACGTTGGGTACCTCAGCAAAAGGGATGACGTTGACTACGAGTGAATCTGGTGTGAAAGTGTTGCATCTTTTTACTACAAAGACTTGAACTTGTGAATAGATGTGAATAGTGCATTTAATGGAGAACAAAAACATGTTGGGTCAAAGTGCCTCCCGGGTTGAACTATGGCAACTATGGCCTGTCTATTTCGCTCAAATTTGCTTCAGTTCCCAATTTGAATCGTAGCACTATCTGAAGCATAGCTTGGCTTTTTAATGGGCCATGGGTCATGGGTATCGATCCCGTGGCGAAGCATGGCCAGCAACTGGACCTCGAGTCCAGTTCTTGCTGCCACTTGAGCTACATCATCCCAAAATAAGGCAGTAAGCTTTTCGAGAAGTGCCCTATACCTGAAACTTGAAATGCAGGGTAGGGCAACCATGAAATCATCCCAGATACCATCAGATACCCACAATAGCAACAGGAATGGTATCCATCTCAAAACGGGATGTGAACCACTGGAATTTCAGGATTACCACCCAACAACCTCGATCCAGGGCAGTTCTGGTTGCCCTACCCTGCAGTAAACATAGCCATAGCCGTGAAACATGGCCTTTCTATCTATGATTTAATTACCTATTAAAAATGCTGGTTTTCCATAGCTATGTTAGTTTACCAGAGTGTAATCAACATTTGCAGTGTGGTCGGTCAGTTCCATCTCCCATCCATTCCATCCAGTTTCACTTTGCAGAGACGTTTCAATCGTATGAAGGCGGGGTCCTTGAGTTGTCTGTTGCTGGCAGCTAAAAGGCAGCTTAACCTAGTGGAAAATCACCAGTTTAGGTGAATCATCATGGCCATCATGTTCCATAGCTATGGTCAACAACGCAGGGTATATATATATATAATAGCTACAGCACCATATAATTACCAGGACCAGAATTGCATGGAACATTGGGAATTGGCATCCACCAAGTTCAATATCGAAAAAAAAAAACATTTGAAGCGCCATACATTGTTAACAGCTACACAGCTACACCACTATATGTATCATTTACCATAGAGTATCCCCAAATCCACTGCTATGTCATCCTTTTTTCCCATGAAACTGCCATGAATTGGGGGTATACCCTGTGTTCAGACACACCGAGAGCCTAGAGCCATGAATGGTTGATTGTATATCCCATCATATCCCGTTAAATGAATGTATATAAATCCTATTATATTCTCATTTACTAATCAAATAGATAATACATCTATAGATGATATATAATCCATCTATAGATGATTTTCAAATACCATCCCAATACAATCGCAACAATATTAACAATTGTGGCCTTTGGATCAGTAGCATCTTACCAATATGACAATATTTTTTTCATTCATCCAAAGCCACCCAGCGGCAGCCAGTTCCTTAAGATGTCCTTGGGAGCCTCCGCCACCAGGTGCAAGGGAGCTTCGGCAAAAAGCCTTCGCGGCCGGCGGTGATCTTTGGCGCTACCCTCTGGTAATTTAACATAGCTATTGAAAATGGCTATTTATAGTTGATTTACCCATTAAAAATGGTGATTTTCCATAGCTATGTTAGTTTACCAGGACATGGCCAGTTTTTTTTATGTTTCAGTCATCGAAACCAGCGAGAAAACACGAGATGAAATAGAAGTTCCAAGTAGAACAGGGAAATTGACATATTTCAATTAGCCATGATCATGATGATTTTATGAATTCCAAACATCATATTCTGGCTGGTTAAAATAACGATTCCACTTATGGATACTTTACAATCCCTAATGAGCCAGGTAGTTTAAGAAATCCGCATGTTCTCAAAGCTTGAAGTTTCTATTAATGGTCCATGGTCGTGTTTTTTGTTCAGGATATCTTTACAAACCTGTCATGGTTGATGAATGTTGGTGGTGTTCAACAGCGACATTTGGCAGTGTGTCAAAACCTTGTACCCCTGTAGTTCACATCAAAATAGCTGGGATTTATGGATGTGAATAACCCCCTAAAAATGGTATTAATAGGTATTGACCCATCCCCATTTATGTTTTAACAAACAGCAGGCTGCAAGTGGCACTGAAGTTCTTCTCCCGTGTTTGACCTGGCTATTAACTCCAGATATCTCGGTTGAAAATTGTCAATCAAACAACATCATGAAGCGACCCTTCACTTGACCCAAGACCAAACTCAACCGTCACTCTTATGTCTGGATAATCAAATTCCGACATGTGATCAGCTAAAGCCCCGTGTCTTCTACGTACCTTGGGGTTGTTTAATCATCAAAATGGTTACAAATCCCAATCAGGAGTGCTGGTATACACCAATCTCAGCCTTATTACATCATAGTGGATTGTGATCATTACATGATGCAAAGAGATTACTACCCAAATCACAACATATACAAGTGATAAGATTCCATAAAATAATGTCTATCACGGTGTTTGTATTCATTATTGTGTATAATGTATACGTGTACATACCACAATGATTATTGCACCATACCCATCATATTTCACCCCAACCAGGATACCACAATAGTACGATACATGAGTAGTATACGTACCAACATATCACTACAACTGGAAGCCTACCTACTAAACCGTCATAATCTTGTTTCCCGCATATTGTACTTAGTATAACATAGCACTAGTATCATAGCACTAGTATACAGTACCATTTTATTGTAAAACAAACAAACAAACAAACAATCAAACAAACAAACAAACAAACAAACACACAAACAAACAAACAAACAAACAAACAAACACACAAACAACTGTTCTTATATCAAACTATTGCCAACAATTAACCCATAATACCATATCATATTCTATATAATCTACATGGTGATAATTGTGAAAATCCATGATAATCCATGATAATCCTATGATGCTGGTTATAACTAACTATGACTATCCATTATAACTACCATATAGCAAACCTCAAAACGGCAGAACAGTTGAACACCAGTAAAATATCAAATTATGACAAAACAAACAATCAACAACATCATATGTATTAAAATGTATTCATATGTACTATCCTTATTAAATATAACTCCATCGGGAGCTAGCCGCTCGCTATCTGGGTCAATCTTCGCCAGTGCGATTTCCCCTATTATCAGTTCCGTGAAGTTCCGTGGATCCATATTGTTTGTTAATAAACACAGTGCCAGTGCCATTATCATTTCATGGGATATTAATGGATATTAAATGGATCTAGGATATTATATCCAATATATCTGGGATATTCATATTAATGGATATTAAATGGGATATTAATGGGATATCTGGGATATTAAATGGGATATTCATGGATAATATATCCAATTATCATTAATTGGATATCTCATGGACTCTAATATCCAGTTACATGTATCAAATTGTATCAATATGTTACAATCATCCTCCTATGTGAACAAAAAACGTCGAATCGTCTTGCCGTGGCTTTTTCCGGTGCCGAGATGCTTTGTACCGCACGCGAAGTTCTTCTCCGCCACTAAAATGCGTCCCTTCTGTGGATGCACGTCGCAAAGCAGGCTCCCCAAGACCTTTTCCTGACCTCGGGAGTCACCAATCAGGAGAAACGGCTGTGAAGCCAGCCATCAAAGAACAGGCTAAAAATGATGGAAACATCATGATGAACCATTCAAACTAGGGGTCAGTGAATTGATTTTTCTTGGGAAAATCTACAGAAAAAAACTGTGGTTGTTGCAGTTTTTTGTAGGAGTTTCTATCCCAATTCTTATGTTTATCCACTTATGGGGGTTTAAGCACCACAACAACGCTTTTCACACATGGGCCAATGGGAATTCAGAATCTACGGTGGAAAGTCTGGCTGCCGGGTAAAAAAAAAAGGGTTCTTGGACAGATCAGAATTGTAGTACCTGATGCCAAGGGAAAAGTATGGGTTTGTCTAAGAACATTTCTTGGTACCAAGAAATCCAATGGTTGCTTATCACTTTCCAAATAAACATGGAAATCTTATGGGTATCCTCATTTTCGGACCCATATATGTTTCAGTCCATGCAAACAAAAAAAACTCCGTGGAACCATCTCAGCAGAACATCACGGGCCAGAGTCCTAAGCTGAGGACAGTAGGAGTTGATGTATTTTACGGTGTCCATGGCTTCGCGGACGCTGAAAGCTGCTGCTGGATGCTGCTGGATGCTGCTGGATGCTGCTGGATTTTTGTTGGGATGGGATTGTAGGAACGAACCCCCCAAGTCCGCGATGTGAGGTGGTCGATGAATCGACTTTATTTCTTGGCTTTTCCGAGAGAAAGGCATCACTTGTCCATCCAATAAAAATAATAAACATGATCGATCAAGCCATATAGGAAATCATCTGACATCGCAAACCGACACGCAATAAATTCGAGCTCAGCAAGAAAAACAACATTATAGTTACTGAAACGACGTCGCAAGGAAACACCGTCGCTTTCAGTATCCAGTAGGCTGTGTCTATCATATTCTACAACACCCCCCCCCAAAAAAAAGGAAACCAGATAAATAGGGAAAACAACATCGAACTATCATCCTGGAAACACTTTTCGGATCTTTTCGGTATCTTTTTGGGAGAGGTGCTATATATATAGAGTAAAACCACACAAGTCGAGGATGGTCCTTGCTGGTACTGTCAGTGATTCATCTATCGGGTCAAGTTGTTGCATCGTTCGATTTCGTTGATCTTTCTTATCTCAGGTCCTAGAATCAGTTTTTGATTTTGGTTTTCGGGTTATTTTTGTAGCGCTAACCCCATATTGGGCTGATCAAACTGTGTGATTTCGTAACGTTTCCCCATAGATCAATCCATTGACTCTGTCGGCGAAGCTATGCCTGATATGACCTAATCTTTGGGCCATGCTGCCGTCCGAATCACAGAGTTCAATCTGTGGTGGCAAATTCACAAACTTTCTTAGGCCCAATGCCGTGATGACTTGAGGTCAGAAATATATTACATAACATATCATATCATATCATAAAATGAGAAGTTTCCTGGAAGATTGGAGTGGAAGATTGGAGACATGTCAGCATCGATTGTCACACTTTTTACAGAAATGCGGCAGTCGAAGCAAGACCATGCAAAGCTCCAGCTGGTGTTAAAAGGCACTGGATTAGTTCTGGAAACGCTGCTGAAGAGGAGTATGTCACGTAAACCCGATACAAAACCATCTCCAAAGTCGGGTTGATTTTTGGGTATCAGTTAAGTCTGGCTGTCAAGAAGCCAAACAGTTGTGCAGATAGTCTCATTGGGTCTGGTAAAATTATGTAATATACATACAATAGACATTACTGCGCTACCACTTTGTTCAGGTCAGGTAAGACTTACAAGGAACAGAGTGACTCGTCCCCAGCTGAAGCGCAATGGTCACATTATCAGCAATTCCAGGCCGCAGCTTCACCTGCGAAACGCTGGCTGTTGACGCTGTTGATGCACCGACGTTACGTTACACATGGGAAGAATATCGCACATTGAACATCGCAAAAGGACGCAAAACGTGCCGAGAAAATGCGAACATCACGGTTGTTCAAGAGGAAGACATATACATTTTTTCGAAGATTGGACACTTTAAACCACCCAAAAAAAAACGCATGGAAGGGGACGCACAAAACAGCAACCAGCAAAATGTGGCAACGCCGAATCTCTGGGTAGAACAAGCTGCCACTAGGCCATTTGGTTGACCGGCTGTGCCTACCATCCATGATGCCATATTTGCCTATTAAAAATAGATCCCAAATCACCCAAAACAAGACCCTACATGGATGGGGGGCTGGATTGAGTGATTGATATCGGGGATCCAACGCGGTACGCGGTCCAACTATGTCCAACGTGCGTTTAGGCCTTGTCCAACGGTCCATGTGCGAACATCAAATGAATGATTGAAACACGTGGAAACCCACCAAAGTGAGAAAGGAATCATGCCAACAAGATCCATGTGCGGAGTGCCCAGTCCAGCTTTATCATTGCAAATTGTTCACCACCAAATCTACCTACTTAGTACTGTAGTAGGTTACCAGCTACTGTAGGCTATACACGCCAGTAATCAAACTTGGCACTGGGTAAATCAGCCATTTAGTTCGATGGAAATTCCAGCTAAATTGTTATGTCACAAACCATTATATGATGGGAATATTCTTCATTGTATAGTCATTATAGTCATCGCATCCTGATATTTTCCCATATTAATCCCAAACCAGATATTCTTCAATTACATCGGGAAAATCTCAGAAATTTTCACACTGGTTTGGTGGTTTTAATCGTGGTGTTAATTTCCACCATCAATCCCATAAGATCCATGGTGCTGGTATATATGCTAACATTTGGAACCCCCTGTCAATTAAGGGTTGGGGCTGTGCAACCATTTTGTAGTGAAGAAACGGCCTGCATAGCCTCAAGCTCTACTAAATGGATGTGCATGCATGATCGAATTTCACTACTAAATGTGGGCCCCTGGTTCAGCTGAAGCGCAAAATTTGGATATATTTTCAGAGTGTCTTAAGACGCCAACATGACTCGACCAAACACCCTGTTCCATTTAGTAGAAGTACTCATTTGAGCACAAGTTGCGGGACCAACATCACTCGACCAAAACCCCAAAGCCATTTAGTAGAGAAATACACGGGGTCCATTTAGTAGAGAAAACAACATGAAACACATATGACTGATCCCATGACCATCCATTTAGATTTGGCATCGCCCCCAAAAAACGCAAAAAAAAAAACAAACACGAAAGGCAGCACCCGAAGAGCAAGAAACACCCAAGCGAGGGATTTGGCATCGCCCCCAAAAAAGGCAAGGCAGCACTTGGCTAGACAGGGGAAATCTTGATAGAATTTGGACATTTTGGGACTACAAAATGGTGTTGCATAGCGCGTAAGGGATTATAGGGCACACAAGGATGCAACAGGGCTTTGTTTGAAACAGTTCTAGATAGACTGATCCCATGACCATCCATTTAGTAAGCACCCGACGAGCAAGAAACACCCAAGCGAGGGATTTGGCCGCCCCCAAAAAAGGCAAAAAAAGAACCCAAACACGAAAGGCAGCACCCGACGAGCAAGAAACACCCAAGCGAGGGATTTGGCATCGCCCCCAAAAAAGGCAAGGCAGCACTTGGCTAGACAGGGGAAATCTTGATAGAATTTGGACATTTTGGGACTACAAAATGGTGTTGCATAGCGCGTAAGGGATTATAGGGCACACAAGGATGCAACAGGGCTTTGTTTGAAACAGTTCTAGATAGACTGATCCCATGACCATCCATTTAGTAGAGGCAGCACTTGGCTAGACTGGAGGCGGCATGGCAGGATACCGCAAGGATGCTATCTTTGTCCAACTTCTGTTGTTTCATATCGCGGTATACCCGATCATGTTGATTTACTTCAACCCAGGAATATCTTTGATATTCATTGGCATTATAGAATTTATATTTATTTTTCAAGCTTCTTATTTTTTTGAGCATCTATTATCATATACTATCTGGATTTACGTGATTCATCCTGATGGACATGGATTGGCCAAACGACTATCGGGGGCAACGGAATGGGAATCTCTACTAAATGGTTTTTCAGTTTTGTCTCGTGTCATTGTGACCGTTTTATGAACTCTACTTCGCAACCTCTACTAAATGGTTCCTGTGATTTTGCAACAATTTTTTGACATCTCTACTAAATGGTTTTACCCAAAAAACAACATTTGACATCATATGATTAACATATCATTTTTACCTCACTACTAAATGTGGATCATGGGTCTAGAGATGCTTACTTGATTTTTTTTGAAAAATCATGATTCTCTACTAAATGGTTTCTGGAAATTTCACACTAAATTTTTGGTTCACTTTCCGGGACCTAGGTCATAGCATTTAGTAGTGGAAATTGGCAGGAGGATACATTTGGGGTATATTGATGGTAAATCTTACCATATATATATATCATATATATATAGCAGCACCATGGATCCTATGGGAATGATATTAGGTGAACAAAATCCATAGAAACCATAGAAATGGTGGTTTTAATGGTGGGTTTCAATGATATTAGATGGAAAAAATCCATAGAAACCCACTGATTTTCCCATCAAAACCATCTGTCAGACCTGGTCAGAGGCGTCCACCTGATGTGGAGGATCGACCTCGGCACCAGCACGCAGTGCACGCAGGCTTGCTCGGGGCCGACTCGGGGCCCGCGTTGGCCACCACAAACAAAAAGCCGCCAGAAAGGGCCAAAAATAAGGGTGAAGAACTGATAAACATCAATCAGATTTTAAATAACTGATAAAAGTGCCAAAAAATGCAAACAGTATCAAACAGCTCAAAAATCAGGGCCAACCAATGCATAGTTGACGGCTAGCGCACTGTGCCAGGCTGAATCTTCCAGTCGCATTGGACGACAGTTTAGCACCATCTTTAACACCCAGATGCCTCAACTGATCCTTTCTTGTACAATGTGGTGCCCCGCAAAAAAGCAAACCTGTTGACTATAGTGACTATAGATATAAGTTATGATATAAGTTATAAGCTATAATTATGTGTATATATATACATATCTACATATCTATAGATCCTGTATCTAGCACGAACCATAGTTATTCTAGTCTTGTGCTAGGCATAAAGCAAGCTAAGGACAAGGGGCACCACCTTCTAGACGTTGCCTGTGCTTTGAAGACCCCGCCTTCGGCCAAGTAGTATTGCAGTTGAACAAACCTCAGCGGCTCCGACCGCACCATTTTTCTGGTTTACCTGCAAAGCCTTTTGAAACAAGGAAGGACAAAACCAGAGGATAGGGATGTAATATATATATATACTGTCAGTTGGGATTATTCTTCCCAATATATGGAAAAATGAAATTCATGTTCAGAACCACCAATCAGATATGCAACGAATCAAGTAAGGACTGAGTAAAAAATACCTCTGCATGGCATATGATTCAAGACTCCCTCATACTTTGGGGACAGGAGCGTCCAGCATGCAACCGTAAAATGACCCAACGTTGCCAATTCCCAGCAAGTTTAAATGCATGACCAAATGTGTGCGGAGTTGAATATGACTAAGGCAAGTATGGCTACTTTCCCTTTGAAATTGTTTAGTTTGTGAGATGTGACATTTTTTCCTTAAATCATGATTGAAACAAGACGCATTCACCTTAAAATCGGCATACCGGGACCCAGCCTACCCATTTGGCTGCAGATCGAAAACCAATAAGACCCTTAGGGCCGAGTCACTTCTCTTCGCAGAACATCATAAAGTCTACCTCCCAAGGATGTTTCAATGGGAGACCCTCCAACAGACGTGACATTGGAACATGGTGTGCCAACAAAAGTGTTTTTGTTTTTAGTCAAGAAGAAAAGGTACATCGTTGGTGTAGCGCCAACAGGACATGTGTTTTACATATGTTTTACATTGTTTTACCTTTCAAACGATTTCGTTGAATGCTTCCAGGGGGGTTACCCATATGTCAGCTGACATCTCGCCATGTTTGTGGGGATTGTGGGGCTTCAAATCTGCACTTTTTTGTCAGAAAATCAATCTGCTTCTGGCGCAAGGAACCACATGTTTGTTGCTCAAAACCCACTTTATCTAACTGTATATATTTATATACTATATAATATATATATACTATATAATATATATATATTGCTTGTGCTGCATTTCATATCAGTTGCACTTCACATGTCAGCATTTCATTTGACATTCAATGTTTGTGCATTTCATTTTGCGAAGGGCCACATCAATAGCTGTCCTTTGGATCAATCCCCAATCGAGCAGAAGGTAGAAAAACCTGAGGAGCTGCTGCGCTGCACGGGTCATAGCTTGGACGATATCATCGCCAGGTTATGAGCCCAAGACCCTGAGGCTCCAGCGCTATGGACATCCGAAGAAGGGCTACCCAAAGGGAAATGGAACAAGGGATGCAGGAGATGCAGTTAGCCCAAAAAAGAATGGAAGAAGAAAGTAAACAAAGGGGTGAAGAGGCCATAGAAGATGGAAGGATACAAGAAAGGGATGAAGCAGCTAGTAGTTTAGAGGATGAGGTGAAGAAAGGTGAAGGTGCTTTGGTTTTGAGTAGAGCCACTCCTGACCAACCACAGGGTCAGCCTGTCTCCCTCCGTCCAGCAGTTCCAGCCACTCCGCCGCCTTCACAGCCACCTCAGAGCTTTTCGAAGAGTGCATCGGCATCAGAAAGGCCGACTCCAGCTTTGAATTTGACGGCAAGGCAAAGTGAAGAGAAGAGGGCAGGAGAGGGTGGAAACCAGGGTTTAGAAGGGAAAGAAAGGGTTCAAGATCCTAGTGTGAGAGGCTCCGCCAATTCCTCTCCCAATGGCTTAGCTGCAACCCCTCAAGATGTGAAGAAATCAGAATTTGAAATGGCCTATACTCCTCTTTTTACTCCTGAACAAGTCCAGCAAATGACCCAGCTTCAGCAGCGAACTCCATGGCTGTATGGCATGACAGGGATGGGATTCACGCCGTCGATCCCGAGACCAGGGTTCTTGGAATCTGAAGAAAGAAGGTTCAACGAAGAGCTTTTGGAAAGGGATAGGCAGTTGGCGATGTTGCAGAATAGAATGGTTGTAGAGCAGAGTGAAAGAGAAGAGATCAAACGACTTTTGGTCTCTGTCCTGAATGAGAATCAGAAGTTGAAAGAGAGGATTCTAGTTGTAGAATCACAACCTGCAGAACCTGAGGCGCGTTTTGCAACTCCAGATAGCATCTCCAAGGACGGAAGTGGTCAAGCTGAGCGAAGTTTTGGCATAGAAACCACTCGTTTGCAAGGGATGAACCTGGAGAAGGTTTTCGGTAAGGAGGCTGCAAGACCCCCAAAAGAGGACGGGTCAGTTGGCCATCAAATTTTCTCTGAGGCTGCGAGACCCCCAAAAGAGGACGGGTCAGTTGGCCAGCAAGTTTTCCCTGAGGCTGCAAGACCCCCAAAAGAGGACGGGTCAGTTGGCCAGCAAGTTTTCCCTGAGGCTGCAAGACCCCCAAAAGAGGACGGGTCAGTTGGCCAGCAAGGTTTTCAGGAGGCTGCAAGACCCCCAAAAGAGGACGGGTCAGTTGGCCAGCAAGGTTTTCAGGAGGCTGTGAGACCCCCAAAGATCGAAAGTTCAAATGGTGATTGTGGCGAAGCTTGGAAGAAAGGTGAAAGATTTGTGGATGGGCCCAGAGGCCAACAAGAAAGAAGCCGAGAAGAAGACTTCAACTCAAAGACTATGGAATTCATGTTCCTGATGATGCAGTCGATGAGAGACTTGCAGCAGAAGATCAGCGATGGAAAGAATGATGAAGGAGCGGTGATGGGAGTGGAGGTGGTTCGCTCGGGTGCCCCAGATTTGCCCGATCTGATGCCTTGGACGTCTGGGACTGGGCCACTTCAACTTGGTGATTGGATGTTGCTCTTGAATCCCATCATCTCTGACCTCACCACCTCTTCTCAAGAGTGGTGGGAAATCATGACACAGGAGGTGGAAGCTTGGTATCAGCGGCATGTTTCATTGAGCCCCCTTGATCGACTGAATCATGGCTTTGCTGCCCCTGCTTCTCTACAACAACCTCGTTGGCAGCGATTGGAAAGGCGGGTTCCAACTATGATCATGAAGGCCATCCCAGAATCTTGTCGCGAAGAACTGGTGGCAGCGAGAAGAATGGATGTTTTTGGTGTGCTCACATACTTGTTCACAACTTACTCACCAGGAGGTGTAGCAGAGAAACAGACCCTGCTCAAAAGCTTGGAGGACCCGGCAGAAATCACTTCAGTTCAAGAAGCACCTGGAGCGATCCGCAAATGGATGAGATGGCGCCGTCGTGCCAAAGAAGTCGGCGCTGTGGAGCCGGACCCAGCTTTGTTGCTCAAGGGCCTCAACAAGATGACTCGTCGGGTGCTCGAATCGCATCGCGACATCCAGTTCCGTGTCTCTCTTGTCCGGAACACCCTGTCGGTGGACACAACTCCAACTTCATCTTCGGTGGACCAACTTGCAGCACATCTTCTTGCTGAACTTGAACAATGTGCGATGACTGACAAGAGATCAATAACCACAACGGCGAAGAAGGAGGTAGAACTTCCGAAGCTGAAGAACATGGAGGCAGAGGCAGGAGAGAAGGGCAAGGGAAAGGGAAGAGACAGAGAAAAGAATGATGAAGAGAAGTCCAAACAGAAATGCAGGTATTACCTGACTGAAGGTGGATGCAGAAAAGGCCGCGAGTGTACGTGGTCGCATGAACAGCGAGACGAATTGAGGAGATGCTACGTGTGCGGCAGCTCACAACACTTAGCACCAAGCTGCACACGACCGAAATCGTCTTCAACCTCCCCAGAAAAGTCTGCCCCAAAAGCGAAGCAGCTGAAGACTGAGGAAGAGAAGGTTGGAGGCAAGAAGGAATCTGAAGAAGCAGCGGCATCGACACAAGATTCCGCTATGAAAGACTTGATAGATGAGGCGAGTAAGGTGCTGAAAAGCATCTCAGGAGCTCCATCTTCATCGGCGTCTTCTGCCAGCTCTGGATCTGCCAAGGACTCAGAAGGAAAAGAAGATTTGATGGAAAGACTTCAACAGCAGTTGAACTCCCTGAGGCAGAAACAAAAAGTTCTCAGGCTTCAAAAGATGGCGACAGGAGATCAAGCTGGTCTCATTGACTCTGGTGCGACACATCCTCTTCGACCACAGAAAAACGGAGAGGTGACAGCTGGCTTCCCAGTCGTGGGAGTCTCTTGGGCAGATGGAAGAAGGATTCAATTGAAGATGTCACCTGGAGGAGCGATGATCTCTCCTGACCCAATGGTGGAACCGATAGTTCCGATGGGCCCCCTTGCAGAAGTTCTTGGGTGCGAGATTGCATGGAAGGATGGAAAGCTCTCCATACGACATCCACTACGAGGTGATTTGAAAGTTTCGCAGCACAATGGCTGCCCTCAAGTCAGTCGTCAACTGGCTTTGGACCTGATCTCAGAATTGGAAGATGCAAATCAAGGTTTGAAGAGAGGTCTTGAGATGAGCGATGAATTTGAGTGGCTGCAAGCCATGGTCAAAGCCCATCCTGTTCTCTCTCAACTACCTGATCACATCAAAGAGCGACTTGCAGTGCAACCAGGTGATTGGAATGGTCTTCCTTGCAATCGGAGATGGAGGAGGGCTATGCAAAGAGATGGACTGCTTTTACATCTCTACGCTGGAGAAGATTCAGGCTTCACGTTTGGAAAGGCCTGGAAACAGTGTGGGGGAGAAGAAAAAATTTTGTTGGAAGTAGATGTTAAAAAAGGGAGCCAACATGACATGATTCCTGACGACGGCATCTACGCGTCTTTGATCACTGCAGCCATCCAGGGCAAGATCTTGGGAATTGCGGGCGGGCCAAACTGCCGCTCTCGCAGTGTCTTGAGGCACTATGAGATTCCTGGATGTGATACTGCACCTCGGCCTGTCAGAGCATGGAAAGGAGAGGAGTATGGGAAGAAAGATTTGAGTGAAAAAGAGAAGAAAATGGTGGAAGAGGATGACATCCTTTTGTGGGGTCAAATTTTTCTTTTCATGATTGCATCATATGCTCGACGAGCTCGAGGGCATGATCATCCACTGGCTTTTGTGCTTGAGCAGCCATCTTCACCACGAGAGTACAAGCCTGAAGTTGTCTCATTTTGGGATCAATGGGAATGGCATGAAATCAAAAAGGAGTTTGAGTTGAAGGAGACGCACTTCACACAAAAGAGCTTGGGTGGGGAAGCCACGAAACCCACCACTTTGGGAACTTCACTTGATTTGGTTCCAGAAGATTTTCAAATCAAAGGTTCTGTTTGTCCTGGGGGAGTTCGATCGTCAAAAGATCTTGCTCGGTGGCCACCTGGTCTGATGCGGATGTTAGCTGTGGCCATCAAAGAACAGACCATGCAATCACATGCAAGGATTGCTCCTATGTCTTGGGAGGATCACATCAGATTTGGCCACGTTCCCTATCGCAAAGACTGCAAGACATGTCAGGAAACCCTTCAACAACAAGAACCTCATCGCCGAGCCCGGCATCTTCAAACTGGTACTTTGTCTCTGGATGTGGCTGGCCCTTTCACACCAGCATATGACCTTGGAGGACACATGGCACGTTGGTTTTTGACTGGCGTTTTGGTGTGGCGTGTTCCAAAAGACTCTGACAAAATGCGCCAGCCACCAGATGAAGAACTCCAAGGAGAAGAACCAGCTATAGAAGAAGCTAGAGAAGCAGGAGCGGAAGAAAAAGAGGAGGCAGAAGTGCAGGTCGAAGAAGGTCAGGGGGAGCAGAGAGATGAGGAAAGAAGGGAAGATTTAGAAGAAAAAACGGAAGTTCGAATTTTTCGTCTGGCACTTCCCATGACCACCAAAACTGCGAGGGAAGTTTCATCCACTACCATGGACATGCTCATGAAGTTGAAGGTCGATGGATTTACAGTTGCCAAGATCCACACCGACAGAGGCCACGAGTTTTCTGGATCGTTTAGAAGATGGGCATCATCAAGAGGCATCATTTTGAGTCGCACTGCTGGCGGTGACCCCAGAGCCAACGGCCGTGCAGAAGTGGCCGTCAAAGCCATCAAGACTCAGATCAGGCGAGTCTTGCACCATGCCAAGGTCCAAGCTGATTGGTGGCCTTGGGCTTTGCGATACATCAACGAAATCAACCGATGTGTTCGCCTCGACCAAGTTCCTTCTTTTCCACCCTTTTTGGAGGAGGTAAGAGTGAGGAAGAGGACATGGAGGAGGGGAAGTTTTGATCCGATGGTGGAACATGTCCGCTATCTGTGCCCATCAGTTGAAGAACATGGTCATTGGGTGTGGCAAGAAGGCGAGGCTCCAAGAATCGCCAAAGTTTTGATGAAACAGACTTCAGAGCCTGTACAACATGGTGTTTGGGTTGGTCTTGAAACCCAAATTTTGGATGATCTTTCAACACGAAGGAGGCTGAGGGAGAAAACAACAGTGAGAAGATTGGATGCGTCGATGGAAGCACAAGAAGAGGAGGAGACAGAGAAGTGGAAGGTCAAAGCTAGAATCAGAAGAATCATCGTAGAAGAGATGAGAGCGATGGTTGAAGATGATGAGGAAACAGCCATGGATGAGATGGCTGTGATTGGTAGACTGCGCAAAGCTGTGGAAAGCATGGAAGACTCCGAGGAGATCCTGCAGACCAAGATCATCTCACCCAAAGAAGTTTGGGAGCATTGGGAAGAATGGGAAGCCGCTGCAAAAAGCGAAATCAATTCTATGCTGGAAGAAAAAGAAGCATTGGAAGAAGTTGGAAAAGAAGAAGGAAGCGAGCCAAGCATTCAGTATGGCTTGGTCATGACCTATGTCGACGACATTTTCATCACTGGCCCCCCGAAGTCACCAGAGCGGTGGCACAGAAGTTCCAAGCGACTTGGACCACGTCAGAACCAGAAGTCGTGGGGGAGGAAGCCATTCGCTTCCTTGGCATGGAAGTGTCAACCTCAAAGAATGCCGAAGGTCGAGATGTTTGGCATGTCACCCAAGAATCCTTTGTCAAGGACCTGGTGAAACGGCAGGCCAAAGAAGTTCAGCCAAAGAAGATCCCAATCACTCGGGACCAAGCTCTGATGGCTTTGGACCCAAGTCCACCAACTTTGGAGAAGGTCAGAAAATGTCAGAAAGTAGTAGGTGAACTGCTTTGGGTTCTGACGCGAACTCGTCCGGACCTCATGTACAGCATCTCAAGGCTGGGCTCCAACGTCACAAAAGCCACCAGCTCAGTCCTTGAGGCAGCCAATCAAGTTCAAGGATACCTTCTGAAAACTTGTGCAGGAGGGCTCCGCTACCAAGATGATGGAAAGGAACCGATCAAGATCCAAGTTTTTTCAGATGTCAGCTATGCTCCCAGTGATGAAGAATCTTTTGGATGTTTCATCATCACCTTGAATCGGGCTCCGATTTTTTGGAGATCCGGCCGCCAACATCTAGTGACGTTGTCAACTGCAGAGGCCGAATTGGCCGAACTGGTGGAGGCCATGACCGCCGGTGAGTCTGTGGCAGCCATTGTGGATGAGCTGATTGGATATGTGCCACGTGGAGCCTTCACTGACTCCCAGTCTGCATTGGCGATCATCACGACGGGTGGAGGCAACTGGCGCACGAGACACCTTAGAACTCGGGCGTCTTACGCTCGACAGACTGTGCTGTCTGGGCGATGGGTGATACACCATTCCCCGGGCGAATTTTTGACCGCCGACATCGGCACCAAACCTTTGTCTTCGAAACGTTTGGAGACGCTTCGAGAGATGATGATGATGGGAAGTCCACCAAAGAAAGAGGAGATCAAACAGGAGGAGAAAGATGAAGAACAGAAAGAAAAAGGTGAGACGCTGGCCAAAGCCATCAAGGTCAGCGACGACATGATTCGTTTGGTCACCACAATTGCCATTTTGGCAGTGGCTAGAGGAGATTCAGAAGATGAAGAAGAAGAAGAAGGAGGGTATCAAGCCCTTCAATCTATGTTGGCAGTTTTTGCCATCTTCATGGTGCTGCTGACGCTCTTCGTCCAATGGCTTTGGAAGGTTGGAGTACAGATTGCAAGGCGTCAGAATCTTTCGCCTGAAGCGACTGGAAGTCGCCCTGAAGTCAGAGGAGAAAAAATGGGAAGAAGGGGTGGTGAGGACGGGTTGAGCTCAAGCTCAGTCCAGCTCCCATCCGTGGCCGTTGAGAAGGGGTTGGGCTTCGGCTCAGTCCGCCTCCGGTCACTGGCTGTTGAGAAGGGGTTGGGCTCAGGCCCAGTCGGCCTCCAGCCGCGGGAGAGAGGTGGTGAGTCAGACGATGTACCACCTCGACGACCCCGCCAAGGGCCCACCGAGATGGTGGAGCGCCCACAATTCCTTCCCAGTGAAGAAGGAATAGAAAATGAAAGAGAAGAAAATGAAAGAGAAGAAAATGACAGGGGAGAAGAAACAGAAGTTTCAAGCACTAGCAGCTCAGAAGAGTCCAGTGACAGCTTAGGAGAAAGAATCGAAAATGAGCTGCAGAACATCGAGGCCGAAGTCGCAGAGATTAGAGAAAGGTTGCGTATCACTCCACCAGAGGATGAACCAGATGCAGAAGGACCTGGCTTTGGGGTATTGACCACAAGATATGGGAAGGCATATCATCTTTCCCATCAGTGCCCCTACTTGACCAATCCCAGAGTTGGACCAGCGAGGCCATCAAGATGGTGCACCACTTGCAGGTTGGTGACTGCGCCTCGTGGGCGACCTCCTCCTGGTTTCCCTGTGCTGAATTCTCGATATGCTGGAAGATTTCATACGCATTTCCAGTGCCCTCACCGTGGAGAAGTCATCCAAATCAATCTGTGCGTTCGTTGCGCTGAAAGAATCGAAGAATGGGCAGTTTGAGCGTTTTGAGTTTTCCGGAAAAAGCATCCCTCCACCAGAGGATGAACCAGATGAAGAATGTCAGCTTCAAACTGACGTTAAAGCTGAGGGGGAGTGCTGCATTTCATATCAGTTGCACTTCACATGTCAGCATTTCATTTGACATTCAATTTTTGTGCATTTCATTTTGCAAAGGGCCACATCAATAGCTGCCCTTTGGATCAATCCACAATCGAGCAGAAGGTAGAAAAACCTGAGGAGCTGCTGCGCTGCACGGGTCATAGCTTGGACGATATCATCGCCAGCTTGGAACCCCACGTTTGTTAGTCAAGTTGAGCCCCTACTCTTGATGGCTTAAGATTCAAGTTTTCCGTGGCATTTTTGTTGGAACCCCCCCAGTGATTTTTGTTGGTGCACCAACCCATCCTACAGATATATCCACCATAAAAACCACGGATGATTTTTTTAATAAACCAACTTATATTCTATCCTCTTGTCAAACATGAATCCGCCAAACACTGCTGGTTAAATATCCCTTTTGAATGGTTCAATCCATGTTTTCTGCTTAATTGGTGAGAATCCGTGCCCTGTAGTTCAATGGACTCCTTATTTCTACGAAAATGGCATCAGAAAGGTCTTGATCCACCCCCAACATGTTTTTAATACTAGGTTCTGGCTGGTGGAAAATGATGGAGTTCGTCAGTTGGAATTACTATTCCCAACTGAATGGAAAGTCATAAAATTCCATGGTTCCAAACCACCAACCAGCAGGTTGTATGGTTGCTGAACACCGCTCACCGCACCTGTTGCTTCGCAAGCCTTGGGATTCCAGGATGATGAGTGCAACGCAACATTCGATGGAAAATCTGACACCCATGGATTTACCATCAAAAAATGAAGGAAACCATAGGAAACCCCAAGGCCCAAGATTTCTCGACATGTTCTGAACATTTCCTGATGTTTTTTTTCTCCGAATTGTACGCTTCTGAGAGAGATATCGCCATATATCGCCTGCTTCAGGATTCCAAAAACAATCCAAACACATCCAAAAACCTGTTGTGATCGTCCGTACAATTCCCGATAGATCCAAACATCTTTCCGGGTGACATTCCTATACATTCCCCATTCTTTTCGCACCCCTTTCACCATGTTGATATAAACTGCACACATCTCCAAATCTCTCCTAATATGAATCCTTAAATCATCCAAACATTTGCACACCGCGCTTTGAAAAAAGGTCACACATGTGACGGCAAAACATATTTTCCCAGCATTTCTATATGATAACCGGTACTCTCAGGTAATTTAACACTTCGCTATTGAAATCTATTGAACAATTTAAACATTTAACAAGTAAATCATCTATTTTCATGCGCCATCTAGACCAAAGTTGTTAAATTACCACAGGGCATGGGTTCTTACCATATCCAACAAACATATATCCCTTGGTTTTCACCGGTGATGGGACCCATCATCAAGGCCGAAGAAACCAGGCATGGGAATGCATTAACTTCGCCAGATCCAACGCTTTGGCTTCGCCGCGCAGACGCATGCAGCCGTATATGAACTCTTCCACGTCCTAAATCGGACAGCGATGATGGATTTCTAACATGTCACCAGCCTGGTAAGTAGGGGATGTTCCCACTAAGCCTTCATTTGACGAAAGGATTTCCCGGATACAAAATAGTTCATAAACAATATGTTGGGTAGACGGGGGGGTTTGCCCGAAGGGGAGCGCCTTCTTGATGAGCTCGACCATGTTCCCAATATGTTGTTTCTCAAACGTTCTGGTTTTTGAAAGTTTGAAAGGGAAAGGAAAATGAAGCGACGAATCGATTCATGTTAACACTTAACTTCAGAGATCTGAACAAGAAGCAAACATGGCATACCGCAAGCATTGCCACACTGGTTGATCGAGAGCGCTTTCTTCTGGCTGATCATGAACAAAATCACCGGAATGAATGTTGCAGAGCGGACCGGCCATTTCCTCTGGTGCCACATCCAGCCACTTATCCGTTGCCTCTTTTGGCAAACGGCGAACTCTATGCCCATCTGCAACATCTCGTGGATTGTACCGTATACCACTCATCTTGACAAATTCTACTCGGATGCGCATCTCAGTCAGTAAGTGGTTCTAATTCATGCACAAGTCAATTCTTTTTTGTCCATGTTATTTTTATCCGTGTCATACCTTGATTGTATGTATTGAACATAGGTACTTACACGATCTTACACTGAATAAAGAGCACCTCCAAGTATCATAATTAATCCCCAAAAAATAGAGACGTGATGTACCACTATCTCAACAGGATTTGATGTTTGAATCTGTTTGAAGCTTGCAACAAATGCTGCACCCAACAATCTTTGGAAGCCGCAACCCATGTCCAAGAGGCGATTTCCTGACCATCATCGCCATCCAGAAGGCGGAAGAACGTCCAAACCTTCCAGCAGCGCCAAAAAAAAAGGTGGGGGTTTTCGTCTGGCCCCGGGAAAATCATCGACATTTTGATGCTGGATCAATGGATCAAATCTATCCTTATCGATTGGGTGAATCAACATCAACCAGCTCTAAAAATTTGGGTACCTGGAGAAAACCTCACGGTTTTGGCTGCCAAAGCATTTTTACCATATAGATTCTAGATCCATATCGTCAATCTATAGTGAAATCCACCAAAATTTACGTGCTACCAGATGCTACCATCAACTCTACATCCCTAGCCTAATTTGTTTGGCTCATCCCCTCAGTTGAGCCGTGACAAATAGGTGGCTATCCCCCATGATCATGTGTATTTTATCCCATATAAATCCATATAATACTGGTTGGTGGTATACCTACCCCTCTGAAAAATGATGGAGTTCGTCAGTTGGGATGATGACATTCCCAACTGAATGGAAAGTCATAAAATTCCATGGTTCCAAACCACCAACCAGAATGTGTACCAACCAACCATATATCACTACATCCCATCCCATTATTTCATGGTTGGTTAGTACATGTTCCCAATCAGATGTGGGCTATCATGGTCCCAATCAGCAAGTTTGTTTTTCAGCCCTTCGGGTTTAACCCTTCAACAAAGGTACCCTTCAGAGAAAAGAAACATGGTTTGCTAGACATTCCCCCATGTATGGGATCATTTTCCCAGCTAGAAACCTCCATGTATAGAGGATTTCCATGGATTCTGTGTAAATTCCAATATTTCATTCATCTGAAATTTGCGGCCATAAAAGGGGATGATTCGCCTTACTATGATTCCAGGGTTCGGTCACGACAATTTACCCAAATGGATTGCCAGAGGGTAAATCCCATCTAGTGCCATTCTTAACCATTATTCACCCATTATTAGTCCATATTAGTCCACGTAATTATAGAGGATTTCCATGACTGATTGCATTAAGCACTATTGATCAATGGTTAACCAACATCAAGATGATTAGTCCATATTAAATAATCCGTGATGGCTGATTTCCATGAATGGTTTGTAACGGATTGCACTTACATCTCAAAAATATCTCCTATATCCCCCCAAAAAAACCTATGGCCAGCTTAGGTTAGCAGAGGGTAAATCCCATCTAGTCCCATCATTCACCACTATTCAACCATTATTCAGCCATTTTTAATCCAATATTTAACCGACCTCTATGTCTGGGGATCATTTTGATCCCATATCCCTTTACATCCATTATTAATCGCATATTTACAGCAAAAATGCATAACTTATATCCACATGTATCTATGCATATGTTCATATAATATCCATATTATATCCCACAATATGACCACTTGTGGATATTGATATATTATAAAACATTGGTATATATATATGTATATGTATCCACATATATTACCACAAAAAAACAATCTTAGATTTTCCATAGCTGGGTTTCCCCAACATCGTCGATACTCAACTCCAAGGCTTCGAAGTAGGTCTTCACATCCACGTCCTGCGACGATCAGCGGTGTCGAGGGTGGTGCTTCGGGACGCGCCACAACGTTTAAAGGGCCCCCGGTGGAAATGAACCATCAACAACTGAAAAATCGGGGATTAGCCATGGTTTAAACTAGAAATATGGGGGATCTATAGGTGGTTTTTGGTAAGTTGAAGTTCATCGCCGGAACGTACTGTAGGATTTGTGGTATATTGACATCAGTCAGATGGGTGATTTTTCGAACCAGCAACATCACTAAAAGGGGGCACGTTGTAATATAAGGTCATTGGTGGTTTCAATCCATCCAGTGATAGCTTGAGGGGTTATCATCCCAAAACGAAATGACAAAACTTCAACAAAACTGACAAAACTATTTATAAAATATAAATCAACCCATCCACCATTGGCTAAGTGAACTTTGCCTATACGAAGTCACCATAGTCATGAAGGACCTACATGGGTCTTTCTTGAAACGCTGGATCCTGGCAGTGTTAAGGGCATTTCCAATTCCGATTTGGGATGAATTTGGGGTCCTCTGTTTGATGAAAACCCCAGGTTTGTCTGGAATGGGGCACCACTAATTCCATGGATCATCTTGTTCCCATTAAACATGTGCGAAAATAAAACCCTTATATCGCATAAGAAATCCCCGTAGCATCGGGTATGTTTAGTGATTAAATCATATGAAGTCCCCAAGTGTTAAATCATATTAAGTTCCCAAGTGCTAAATCAGATTAAGTCCCCAAGTGTTACATCGCGTTAAGTCCCGAAGTGTTAAATCAAATTAAGTCCACACGTGTTAAATCATATCAAGTCCCCAAGTGTTAAATCATATTAAGTTCCCAAGTGCTAAATCATATAAGGTCCCCAAGTGTTAAATCGTATTAAGTACCCAAGTGTTAAATCATATTAAGTTCCCAAGTGCTAAATCATATTAAGTCCCCAAGTGTTAAATCATATTAAGTCCCCACGTGCTAAATCAGATTAAGTCCCCAAGTGTTAAATCATATTAAGTCCCCAAGTGTTAAATCATATTAAGTCTCCAAGTGTTAAACCATATTAAGTCCCCAAGTGTTAAATCATATATTAAGTCCCCAAGTGTTAAATCATATTAAGTCCCCAAGTGTTAAACCATATTAAGTTCCCAAGTGCTAAATCATATTAAGTCCCCAAGTGTTAAATCATATTAAGTCCCCAAGTGTTAAATCAGATTAAGTCCCCAAGTGCTAAATCATATTAAGTTCCCAAGTGCTAAATCATTTTAAGTCCCCAAGTGCTAAATCATTTTAAGTCCCCAAGTGTTAAATCATATTAAGTCCCCAAGGGCTAAATCATATTAAGTCCCCAAGTGTTAAATCAGATTAAGTCCCCAAGTGTTAAATCATATTAAGTCCCCAAGTGTTAAATCGTATTAAGTACCCAAGTGTTAAATCATATTGGGTCAACAAGTGTTAAATCAGATTAAGTCCCCAAGTGTTAAATCATATTAAGTCCCCACGTGTTAAACCATATTAAGTTCCCAAGTGCTAAATCATATTAAGTCCCCAAGTGTTAAATCATATTAAGTCCCCAAGTGTTAAATCAGATTAAGTACCCAAGTGTTAAATCATATCAAGTCCCCAAGTGTTAAATCATATTAAGTCCCCAAGTGTTAAATCATATTAAGTCCCCAAGTGTTAAATCATATTAAGGCCCCAAGTGCTAAAGCATATTAAGTCCCCAAGTGTTAAATCCCATTAAGACCCCAAGTATCCCCAAGTGCTAAATCATATTAAGTCCCCAAGTGTTAAATCAGATTAAGTCCCCAAGTGTTAAATCATATTAAGTCCCCAAGTGCTAAATCCCATTAAGACCCCAAGTGCTAAATCATATTAAGTCCCCAAGTGTTAAATCAGATTAAGTTCCCAAGTGTTAAATCATATTAAGTCCCCAAGTGTTAAATCATATTAAGTCCGCAAGTGTTAAATCATCGAAGGAAGTTTAGAAGTCAAACTTCCGACAGTATGGAGAGATGAAAAAGCAGTCAGCAGGGAGAAGAGTCAGAAGAGAAAAGATCAGAAGAAAGAAGATGCAGGCGCGCGAAAAGGTAGGAAAGTCGCGAAACACTGTTCTTTTCCGTGGTTTTGTGGCTCCGGAGGGTTGAAAAGTAGGCTCGCTAAAGCGGCGGGTGCGGAGACATCTGGGGAGATGAGAGATGAAAAGTTGCACGCCGTTGTGGCGCAAAGCCGATTTCGAAGTGAAAAGGTACAAAACACCTCAGCGTCGGACCACTTTTGGAAGTTGAGATGTTGAAAAAAGTGCACGGCGTTGTGGCGCGAAGCACATTTGGAAGTAAAATGTGTTAAAAACTGAGGGGTTCGGAGCAGTTTTGGAAGTTGAGATGGCGAAAAAGTGCACGGCGTTGTGGCGCGAAGCACATTTGGAAGTAACAAGTGTTAAATACTGGCGGTCTCGGAGCACTTATGGAAGTTGAGATGTCGAAAAAGTGCACGGCGTTGTGGCGCGAAGCACATTTCGAAGTCAAAAGTGTTAAAAACTTAGGGTCTCGGAGACATTTTGGACGTTCAGACGTCGTTTTGTGTGGCAGGTGGAGTGGATTGTGCATCCACTGAAAAGTGACTAAAACGTGAGGGTGTTGTAGCATTTTCAAAAACGATGGCAGGCGTGGGAGATTTGAAGAGGATCTGCACAGATGCATTTTTCGTGGCAGGCGCAGTACAAGAGGCATCTTCAGCAGAGATGTTTGGAGCTCAAGGAGCTGATTTCCTGAGAGGGGTTGCATTTTGGCGTATCAAATCATCAGCTATGCCAAGATGCTTTTTCGTGACAGGTGCAGCATTTCGTATGACCTGGACTAACTTTTTCGTGGCAGGCGCAGTACTTTAGAGACACGGCATGGAAAAATCGCAAAACGCATTGGTACGAGGCCGTCAGCTGTACAGTCAACTTTCCATTTTTGAAGGAAGTCTCGCAGAATTGCTTCGTTTTTGATGTTTTCAACTGCAAAAAGTGAGAAAGTCTCGCAGAATTGCTTCGTTTTTGATGTTGCCAAAAGAAGTCTAGCAGCATTGTTTTGTTGTCGACGTGGCGGCTAGACAGATTGATCGACAGGTCAAGAGGTAGATCGAAGGACAGGTGGAGAGAGAACTTTTGGAAGATGGACAGAAAAAAAAATAACAGAGAGAAGTAAGTGGATGGATGAATGACTGGATAGACAGAAAGATAGACAGTTTAATAGATAGGTGAATAAACAAATCGATCGATAGATACATGAATAGACAGGTAGATAGGTAGATGGCTAGAAAGGTAGCTCTGTAGATAGATGGCGAAAGAGAGACACAGAGAGAAAGAGAGACAGAAAGGGAGAAACACTCAACCACCTTTCAATCCATCAGTGGGTTCGCTCTGCCATTTTTGCGTCACACCAACTCACCTCTACTATAGTACTACAGGTTTTCCATTTTTGAAACTTCCGCCACCGCCTTGTGCGGTACTACTGGTATTAAGTCCCCAAGTGTTAACTCATATTAAGTCCCCAAGTGTTAAATCATATTAAGTTCCCAAGTGCTAAATCATATTAAGTCCCCAAGTGCTAAATCATATTAAGTTTCCAAGTGCTAAATCATATTAAGTCCCCAAGTGCTAAATCATATTAAGTCCCCACGAGTTAAATCATATTAAGTCCCCAAGTGTTAAATCAGATTAAGTACCCAAGTGTTAAATCGTATTAAGTCCCCAAGTGTTAAATCATATTTAAAAAAACGAATGCATTGTCTACATTATTGGTTGAATCCATATCTGGATCATCATTCCAGATCCAGTGGAACATCTATGGTGTCTCTAACTGGGGTATAGCCAAAAAAAATGCATGTTATAGGGGAAAGTGATGATTCACAAGATGTGGGAACATATTATTTTTAGACACAAATTTAAAACCGTGTTTCTGCGTAGTTTAGAACGACCTCACTTTTCTCCCTCACTGGAATGATGGCTATACCAAGTATCCCCAAATGGTCTTCTTTCAAATGAGTGAATCAGTTTATAGTAATTCATAAAATTCATGTCCTTCTAGGTGTGTATTTTCCATATCTTCTGAATATCAGATGAGTGTATCCCCAAATGAATTACCCTCTGGTAATTTGTTACAGAGCTATTGAAAATGGCCATAGAAATAGTGGATTTTCCCATTAAAAATGGTGATTTTCCATAGCAAACTGTTAGTTTACCAGAGGGTATATCCCATTAATATCCCATTGAATCACTATAAAATTCCATTGAATCATTATAAATCCCATGATTTTCCAATGAATTACTAAAATTTACCCAGACTTCCCCGTTCGGTTCCCGCGCCTCCATCCGTTCCTCCAACTCCACCAGGGTAATGAGACCTGCCACCGTTTTTACGGTCCCAGAAAAACATGAAGCGTTTCACGGGAGAAAAATTGGTTTAATGGGATTTAATGGGATTTTAATGGGGTTTAATGGGATTTTACTGGGATTTAATGGGATTGAATGGGATTGAATGGGATTTAATGGGATTTAATGGGATTTTAATGGGATTTAATGGGATTTAATGGGATTTTAATGTGATTTTCATGGGATTTTAATGGGATTTTAATGGGATTTATCCTCTGGTAAACTGTTCCATGACTCCATAACTATGGACAATCACCATGCTATGTAGCCGGGTAAATCAACTAGTTCACCATGGCCATGGCTTCAATAGATTTTTGTATGCTTAACAGGGGGTAAAACTTGAAGACCTACCAGGTCTATCATTTTATGGTGGCATATTGAATATATGGCTAAGCTACTTTGGGTTGGTTGGTTAAGAAAAAACATGAAGGTACTCAAGTGCCCATGCAAGATTGATCCTCGAAAATAGGAACATCGAACATCTGACAAAATCTGACAAAACCAAGACGGTATCAAGACTGGCAAAAATCACACAAAGATCATGGGAATTCTACACACTGAAAGGGTTGACCCGCACATTTTTTTTTTTTCACCAGACCGAACTGGGTTTGCCGGGAAAAATCCAAATTATCATAATGGTTCAATTTGAAATGGCCATAACTCGGGGTTTGCACTATTTTCAATCAAAGCCGTATTTTGTTATGTTAAAGAGGCAATTCTGATGAACCATTCGGTTTGAAGGGTACTCTATCTAGACACAATTATCAAACACACCCTATATCAAAATTTCACAGATCAATACACTAGGGAGCTCCAGTTATGTTTGTTGGCATATATGTTCACCCACCTACTGCAACTGTGCCAATATACCTACCATATGCCTTACAGTTTATCGACATATTTCAACCAACTTGGATATCATACATAAACTATAAATCCACATTTTTGTTGGTTGACCCCTTGTCTTTTGTTGTTTTTCATACCCATCTTTCCTATCGTTCGGAGGACCCTAATCTTGCATCAGTCGCCCTCAATCGCGCCTGTGTCGTCCTGGTCAAGCATGTGAAAAAGGTGCAGGAATTTCCCTCGGCCCAGCAGCGTTGAGAACAGATTTCTCACCATGGATTGTGATAATATCCTCTATATATATATGTATATGTGTATACATATATATATATATACGCTTTACATATACATATACATACATACATACATACATACATACATACATACATACATACATACATACATACATACATACATACATACATACATACATACATACATACATACATACATACATACATACATACATACATACATACATACATATATGTTTATATGTGTGTCTATATTATATATATGTCAAGGATTGGATATGTAGTATGTAGTATATTGGATAGTGCATCCGCTAAAAAAACAAAGGAGGTTCATCAGCCACTGCTCATCATTGCTCACAATAAATTATGACGATCCTAGCAATGTGAGGTAGTAATAGGTAGTATGAAGTGTAGCACAAAGGATATGATTTTTAACCGTTTAACCAATGAGAATTGGGACTTAACAATGATAAAAATATGGTTATCTCTTGAAATGGGATTTAACCAGCAACAAACATGTTGGGAGCTGGGGATTTCACCAACATTTTGATTTTAACTCGCTATTGTGTATAAAAAATGAAACATATGGGACAGTTGTGAAAAACCATTGTCTACAATTGGAGGTTTATAGGTTTCCTATCAGTATTCCGAAGTCATGGGGGACCCCAAAATATGATCCAAGTGATTGGGAATGTCATGGGGAAACCAACTGCGACACGGGGTATCCCACATTGAGAAACAACAAAAAATAACATGCGTCTTAGTCGCTGGTGAAGGCCTCCTTGTCGGACATCACATTTTGCATTGCCTGCCAGTCACGTTTTTTGTTAAAAAAACAGATTCTGCGACAATGGAAACAAAACGTAAACCAACAAAACAAAAACATTTGTGGTTTTGCATTTTTGTTCATGTCTTCCGCTTCCCTATAGAAAACATCTAGTTTTGTTGGATTGGATCAATCTCCGCGCATGTCGGCGCATGTTTTCACGTGTGTCTGAAATTTACTACGTAGGCGACACCGAAATGGTCGCGAAGCAATTATGTGTATTTTTCTGGTTGTTTTTGACGCTATTTGTTCATCATGTCTAGGCACCCCCCAAAAAAAAACAGAAACTAAATGAACCTAATAGAAAATATTTTATCACTAATATTATGCAAATTAGTACTGTTTTCTTGGGGGGTGGGGTTTGGCTGTATGACAAACTCCGTTTGACCAAAACAAACAAAAAACAAAACCGTTTTTTCCAAGGCACCATGTCGTGATCCCTCGCAGCACCTAAGGCAACCCCGAGGGCGTCCAAAGACTGCAAACATTGTCTCGCACATGAGTCTGCCGACATATGCAATGACAATAGTTCAACATAACCCAGGAATCATGTATTTTGTTGGAAAACGTTGGAAGCAAATATGTTTTGAAACGGATCAACTGTTCGAAATCCCATGCATCAAAATTTAAGCAGGCTATGATTTTGCCGACGGGAAACTCTCTATGGCTGACTGGCCTCGGATTCGGTCTGTGGGGATTACGGTTGTTTCAAACGTGGGATAATCAATGGATGATCCAGGTTGGAAATCATGCTGCATGTGTCAGGCGAAATCAACAGCCGCACAACTGGACAAATGAATAAGAACAATGATCCGCAAAAAACACTACATTATTGCAAGACAAGAATCAGAAAACGCCTGTCATCACCTCTGCAGCGATTGCCGGCGCCGGCCAGCACAGCAGCAAACGACACAAATAATCAATCAAAACATTCTATAGATCAGATAAAAGAAGAAAAAACGCAGGCATCCCAGGATTCAAATGATTTTTTTCTTCGGGTTTCCCCCACCAGCTCGCATTCTATCCACATTTCATGTGGCATTCAGTCTGGCACTTTGTTCCAACATATATTCAGACACATATTCTGATATTCTAACCTGACATATATTCTGACATTCTATCTGACATATATTCTGAGATGCTATCTGACATTTTATCTGACTACATTCTAGGTGACACTTTGTCTAACATAGGAAATGATCTTCTATCTCGCTCACAGATATTCTTGCATTCTGTACGTGACATATATTCTGACATTTTCCCTGGTACCCTTCTTGACACATTACAGAGCACTTCCATTACATATCTTATTCTTGCTCATCACTAGAGTCCCTTCTCAGGACAGATTGTTCCTGATTGGGCGGTATTTTGTGGACGGCTTACTGAGCCACCCGCTTCAAAATGCACTTTCACTTTTGCCCGCTCCTTCGCCGACTTTCACGGAACTTTCGCGAAAATCATCCTGTCTGCAGGCCCCAGCCATCCGCACGGGGCACATCAAAGTAAAAGCAACCGCCGCGGGCCTTGGTGTTTGGCTCCCGCAAGGCCTCACTGTTGCAAGCTTGGCTGCTGCGTTTGGAGCTTGTTTCTTGAGACTTCAGAAAGCAACGTTAGGCAGTACCACTGTGCCGAAGTCTCACCTGTGGAAGCTCGCCTGCTGCCTATGAATGAAGGGAAAGGTACATGTCGTGAGTACAGCACCACAGCGTGAACTGAACCAGAACCAAACCCAAATTATCCGGTACCCTTCTCCTGCCGCACCCCTGGGAACAACCCAGGGGTTGGCGGCAGGGGGCTGTAGCCCTTTTTAATTTATATATGACTTATTTAATATTGCATAATACAAAAAGTATGATGGTTCATAGTATCTAATTGTCGCAAAATTTGTGCGACAATTTTTGTTCAAGAACTTTCGCGAGGGTTTTCAACATAACATGAACGGTCACCATATATTCTGCGATTTGACATGTATATTCTGAGATGCTATCCGACATTCTACGTACCTTTTTATCTGACGGTCTATCTGCCACTTAATTTGGCAATAGACTTCGGGTCCAGCGAGGCCTTAAGACCCTGGCGAGGAATCTGGCAATGACATTGAAGGAGCGGGAAAGCTAACATAAAATCTATAGAGATCCCCACCTGGCAGGTGAGGAACAAACTGGAACATACGGAAGAGGTCAGTCCATCGTCATCATATTCATCATTAACATTGCTATCGTCATTGCTATGTTCACCATATTCACCAACATCGTTATTGTCATTGTCATTGTCACCACGCTGTTCATCATCACCATCATCATCACCATCATCATCATCATCAACATCATCATCATCAACAACATCATCAACCAACCAACCAACCTAGCTAGCTAGCTAGCTAGCTGGCTAGCTGGCTAGCTGGCTAGCTAGCTGGCAATCAATCAATCAATCAGTCAGTCAATCAATCAATCAATCAATCAATCAATCACTCACATCAATCACATCATTGTCTTGAGCGCCCAATCATGGTCTTAGAGTGTCAATTGCTTGAGCGCCCATTCAGAACCTATAGAAAGCGTCTGATGGCTTTTAGTGCGAATCATGTTGCTTCAAGCGGAAACCAGAAAGTTCGTGCACAAGAACTCCTGTCGAATTATGAGACAGTGCACGATGTCACTATGGCATTTCTGTCAATAGAAACATACGCTGTGCAATCCACAGGTGCTTCAAAGTTTTCAATGACACCATCAAACTAAAACATAGCATCAACTGCGGCAAGTCAGACTTCTACGACTGATAGCTCCAACTCGAGTCATGACAATCTGGTTGACAACAAAGAGATTCGAACACAGACAGGGTTTTGCTGAAATTGACAAGTGTGAACTGTTGATTTCAAGATGTGTTGAATATTGGGGACATCAACATCAACATCCCCAATAAACCAATGTTTCAACCAAGGGTTTACCATAACATTGGCATACATTGGTTTTTGACGCCGCTCACGCCGCTGAGGCCCAAACATTCAAGACCTGACGTCGCGTGGCGTAAAGCGTGACGTGGTCAAAAGCGGGTTAAGCAGCGGTGAAAGCAGTGGAGAAAGATGTGTTTTTTTGATGACAAAATGTGAATGACTTAGATGAATATCTTAGCCCATTTTTAATATCTCGAATTTTTGAAAATGTCATAGATATTTGTGAATATGACATAATATGACATTTTGTCATCAAAAAAAACAAAAAAATGTGAAAGTACATTAGTGAATATCCACTCTATTTGGGTCACTAAAATCCATATGGATTTCCAACATAGTTCCGGTGCATCGGCAGGGCTGGCCCACCATGGAAAAACAAGGACGATTTCAAGTGATCTTGACCTCCAAACAGAAACATGACGCCTTGTGCAAAAATGATAAAACATGCAGAAAACCAGCAATAATGATATACCTGGTTACCTATATGTTTGTATACGTATAGTTAAATATGTGTATATACTCTATATATATATTATCATCATATATGTATCATTGTGTATCTATATTTGATATACATAAACCATGTGATTTGGGGGTTTTACCTACTTTCCGACCATTCCGTGGATTGCCTCCTTGACTGGGCCACTAAAAAAAGTTGAGCCCAAATCACTGGTAATCAAAAAAAACCACAGGTTGAAATACCAAAATCATCTGTGAATGATCAGCGAGGGTATCCATGGGTATCCGGGTATCCCCATAAAAGTTGAGGAAACATATACTTAAAATAGTCTGAAATTTGGGCTGATCTGGGGCTGCTGTACCCAACTTTTTTTAGGAAACATCCATATCCACTCGCACCCTCCTTAACCTTTCATCTAAGACGGCGGCTGCGAACATGGTGAATGAGATGTACAACATGAAGACCACCTGCTGCCGCTGGACCATCGGGGATTTCTTGCAGTCATATCACAGAAAATTGACCATGTTTGAGTTCCAGCAGCTTCAAGTTTCAGAAGCTCAGATATGTGGTTTGCCTGAAAATTGAAGCACACTATCCTTATTTATCACGTTACTAAAATGAATTGGGTACAAAGGGCCCCATTTCAAAGGTACTGCACCGAACCCAAATGCAGTATTTTTATTGGTTGGTCATCCGTATTCTTGATGGTTTCAACATCATTCGGGCTGGTTATAAAATAAGGCTCGTTGAATGCCACCGTCAAAACTAGGTCTGATTGGTGCTGATAGGTAGCCATCATAGGCTAGTTCATAGTTCCCAATAAACCAGGTATCAAACAGTAGCCACCCTACAGTCATGGCCTTTTACCAGTTATAAGTTATAAGTCAGTTATAATCTAACCTCATTTACGGAATGATAACTCCATTTATAACCATTAAAAAATACCTGGCTTCTAGGACTTTAAGTGTAAAACCAATCACTAGGGCTATCTTCACCTCATGGTGCTCCCATGGTCAGTGCAACCCGCCGGCCTTCCAGGCCTTGGATCATCAACACATCACCATTTACTTCGATGATGTTCCAATGGAAAACCCCCCATTTCTCAATGGGAATTCCAGGATCCTAAATTGGAGGTAAGTTAGTACCATATTTCTGGCCATATGAATTGTGGGGATATTCCCTGAAATTTAGGCCTGAAAAATAGGCCTTATATATGGTAGGTACCTCCAATTTAGGTTCCTGAAATGGCCATTGAATTTCTATCATATTTTATATGGTTGTCCCATTTTTCAGTTTATCATGTTTGATCAACGTATAAAGAGTATAACCAGACTATGTCTCCCAAATTGGGTGCAAAATGCTGCAGTCATAGGACAAGAATGGTGATACTTCATGTGTTCCAACTTCATATGCTGGGTTCCCTGCGTGGCTGTTTGGAAAATTTGCTTGGAAACCACATGACTTTAATTTACACTAGTTTCAAACAAATCCATGAATATATATATATATATATAATATAATATACAATATAACATAATATAATATATATATATATGTATATATATATATATACGTAGATTAGATAGATGCGACAGCTTCGAAAGAATTGAATGACTATGCGCCATTATGCACGATAAATGTTAAACAAAAAACACATAGACCATCTACCATCCGGCACAATCATGTTCATTCCAAATAGACATTTATGTCCACATGATGATGTTGCGATAGTTATCCATGTACATCTCTCGAGCAACGCCAAGGCAGAACCCAGCCATTTCGCTATGTGATCAACCGCAAGAATGCAACTCCAACGGTCAACAGAACTGGGACTATGACTCAGACTTCCACGAGGCACTTAACATGAGGCCAGTTAACAGAGTTAATCTATGGATCAGTTAATAAAGAGTCATTAATCAATATGCCTCATTATAGTGATGCCAGTTCATAGAGTTTGGCTTGTTCCTATAGCCTAAAGGCTGGTCAGTCTGGTGAACATACACAACATGAAGCCGCAAAGTCATTGTGTAGGGCAAGTGAGTGCTTTGAAACAAGTACATAGTCACTTAAGTAATGGAGAAAACATGTGCGAAACAACATTAAATGTGGATCTTCTCCATTTGGAGGTTTCCTAAGTCATGGTGGGCATGGATGACAATCACCTGGCGGATGTCGTTGGGGGGATCCCCAAGAATTTACTGGTTGGTAAGTAAATATTCCCAGGGGTCAGCTCATACTTTCCAATAAGCCAATTATATTCATATACAGTTATTCACATTGTCCTCCCTGATTCTTAAGTAGTCTCTCACCAAGTTCCCATTTACAGTCGGATGAACCACTCCCTGTGTGAAGCGCAAAAATTGAGATCCCAGTGGTCGCCAATGAAGTCATCTGACATGTCTTCAATCCCAGTCTATAGCTTGGTGCATCTCACTTTCCTGGTGTTTACAAGTTTGCCTCAGTTCATTTCGACTTGTGTGACATCCCAGTCTTACAGTTTGAAGTTTCCATGCTTTGCTTCACCTCCTTCACTTGGAATTGGAAACATGATATGAAACTGCCCGTCATTCACAATGACCTTTCCAAATCTTGTTGTAAATCCTATGTGTACCTCGGTGAACTGATGTGAACTACCTCAATGTTTGGGAACCCACAATGAAAAAGATCAAAAAGTAAAATCAGGCTCTTGTAGTAGGGGTATTCAAGGCTAAAGGGAGAGGGATTGGAATGCAACATGCTTTCCAAACCCTACTAAGGCAATACGGCTGGTATTTTTCGAGGTTTGCAATGTTAGCAACAATCCCGTTGCGAAGAATTCTGCAACACAATGTTACGACATGAACTCAAAATAACGTTAAAACATACAGTAAAACACTATAGCGTTGTTTGATCAGTTTGTTTCTCCGAGTGCCTTCGACAACGCTGTTTCCAGCCGCTTCCAGAGCGGGCTTCGTCAAGGTACCAAGGACAAGCCCATCAAGGGCGTCTCAGCAATCTGCCAGGAGATGCCACCGGTGATGGACATGAAGAGTGTGGACCTGGACGACTGGACGAGGCGAATGTGGGGTCCGTGCCATGGGTAGTTAGGCTTAGCGATGGGGATAGTCCGTTTACATATATAACATATAACATATTATGTGTATATGTATACATATATATATATAACAGTATATATAATATATATATAATATCAGATAATACATATATATATATGCATATTTATCTATTTTTGTATAGTATACATACGTGCAATTCCTGGACATCCTGGCAATTACATGCAATAATGAAGCAAAGTGACTGGCGGGAATTACAGTTGAGACCATTTTTTGTACAGGCGGGGGCTGCAATCCAAGAATCCCCTCCCAAATTGGTGAAATTAGAATGATTGTTGTTGATATCCCCTTGTGGTTCGTTGCAGTCCCAAAATCTGTTCTTGTTTTTTGCTTGTCCAACGATCAATCCATCTCCAAGAGCACAATTTTATGGCATCATCATGTTGAAGGGTAGATGAGTAGACATTCAATAATTACTAGTTTGTCAGGTGATAACCAACACTGGTCGGTGGCCAACCCTACTGAAAATTGTGACCCTGTTTTTTTGGTCATTTAAGCTGGGCAGATATTATGCGCAATACTTAAACCCACTCTCCGAACTTAGCCACTTAGCCACTTCAATGTCAATCAGTGTGGTTTGGATATTTCTGGAAAATATGTAGTTGATTATGTTAATAATTACCTAGACCTTAGATCCAGTAGCCACAAAATTGGTAAACAATAGTAAAACAATGTAAACACACACATATAGTCATCATAGTCATTTGTGTAAACCATAAAAATCACGGTAAAAGAAACGCCATGGATCGAACATGTTCTGAGTTTCCGGCACTGCATCGCCCATCGAACCTCGGCGGTTTTATGTGGATCTGTCGAATGGGGATGGCGAAAAGGTGACGTTAAAACATGTTAAAACAAGAACCGTGAAGTGAAAATAAGAAAAATGGAAATGTCATGTTCGTTATGCCATTGAATTCATCACTTTTTGGCGATCATCTACAAAATGTGTCATCGTCCGAATGATCTTGGGCAGTGTGAAGCAGTTTTCTGTGGGATCGCCAGACAACTAGATCATTCTCCTCCATATCCCAAATCTGCAATCTGCCAATTCCGGACCCTAACTGCCCTAACTTGGCATGGTAACCAGCATCATCAGCCCGCACCAGTGATTTTGCTCAACATCACCAGCGTTCTGGTGCTGTCCCCAGACATTGTACCATCCCAAAATGGTGGTTTTGCTCCAGAAGTCGGCATTTCTCCATTTTCGCATCTGGGAAACGTACGTGTCCCATTTTCAGACACATCAAAAAAACAAAAAACAGCTGTGAACTTCAACAGCCGTTGGTGAAATCCCCAAAAAGTTTTCTGGTGAAGTCCCCAAACTTCCCAGTCAAGGCACCCCAGAAACCCTCAAGCGCCAGATCGCTGGCGGACCAGGCGTCTCTTGGCAGATCCTCTAGAAATTGGGGCCGAAGGTGGTCTTGACGCAGCATTTTTACATGGGGGAAACAAGGAAACAATGCTAAAGACGTACCATCAATTGACCCAAAGACATAGTGCGAAAGTTCTACTAAAATACTAGACTGGTTGGTGTTTTTTTAACATGTTTTAACCATCTTGGAAGGATTATCCCATATATTCTGGAAAATAAAAACATGTTTGAAACCACCAACCAGTCCAAGTTCTGAGGTAAACACCAGTTCTTACGTCAGGGCCTAGGGGGCCTAGGGCCTAGCTCTTTGATGCTGTTTCGATGGGACCTTCAGCCAAGTCTGGTTGACAAAAAACCAACAAATAGAAACTATAGATGAAACTAGTAATTAGGCATATTTAGCCAACAATGGGATCATGTTGATGAGAAATCACCAAGAACTGGTGTGGGCTCATGGTTTCAGATATACAACCATTGGAACGGGAGGGATGAATCTATATATATATATATATATGAATATGCATTTATCAGTTTTTGCTGGCGTGAACAGAAGAGTACCAGGGTTTTGACCGTTGGGTAGTCTTTGTCGATCAAACATGGGCAACAGATGGCAACGGTGCCACAGTTTGAGTACCAAACACCACCGGTTGCAAGACGAGAAGTACCGGTAATAGGAGAAGTACCGGTGAGCGGTTCAGAGGAGAAAACAAGAAGACTGGGGTCTTCCGATTTCTTTGGCTTTGGACGAAGAAGGTAAGGTGATCACACATGCCCAAGTTGAAACATAAAAGGTGCTAATTAAATCTGGTTGGTGGTTTTAACCATCTTAAAAAATATGAGTCAAGGGGAAGGATGATCCCATATATTATGGAAAATAAAAAATGTTCCAAACCACCAACCAGAAATTATACAAATGTCAAAACTTCACCATGAGCAGTTGGCGCTTCGACTTTCTGAGCCGGCCCTACAACAAAGCCAGGTGAAACGGTGAAACTTGGCTAGCGATGCCTTCAAGAACTGGATGATTGAATAGCACCCACATGGGCCCTCAAAATGAACAACACACATACCCAACCTGGGTTTCTAGTGCCCAGGGCAGTAATTTAATATTAGGGGAATGGGAATACCGAAATGACTAGGCAAAAGGCAAGAAATGGGCTGCATCTTAGATGTTGATGGATGCAAAGGTGGATTTCCCAAATCACTGATCCTTGAATGTGGGCTTTTTGTGTTCCACCCATGAATTGTTTTTGATTCAGAGGTATCCCTGTGATGCGCTTGAAAGTACAACAATTCCATACCACTGATCTTCCCATTTTGGTGAAATCCTTAACCTTTCTGCCCATCTCACGACAAGGATTTCTCGGAACATGGTGACCCTCAGAATCCTATATGCTTTATGATTGTGGAATCCCTCCGAAAAGATACAAGAGTAAAATCCAACTCAAATACTTCAATATCAAGTTTCAATCTTTTGCAGGTTACTAACGAGTTACTACCTACAAAGTGGCCCCCTAGTCATAAATTGGTTTATAGCCTCATCTAACTATAGATATATTCCCTATAAACCTCATGTTATTGTAGTTATGAACCAATTTAGCCATCTTGGGGGCCCACATTGTACCTATGTTCCCATCAAAAAAAGATGGTAGATCATCTATAAAAGGCAAATTTCCATAACTATGTTAGTTTTTACTTTTCAAGTTCCTACGGCAAAAACTGGTCTATAATGATATTATATATAAGTTATAAGAGTTATTTCATCCCATTTATAGCTGTTACTATCTGGTTATTTAACATAGCCATGGAAAATCACCATCTTTAATAGGTAAACCATCTATAAATGGGCCATTTCCCATGGCTATGTTAAATAACCAGAGGGTAACTTAGTTGGGCCGTGACTTTTTTCATACTGTACGGCCCTATGTTCCCATCCATCCATCGCCCAAAAAATGGGCACCTGCAGGTCCACTAATCGATCAATGGCCGCAGAGGACAACATGATCGCAAAGACCTTGGCCGCCAGATCGAATGACCACACGTCGTGAAGTTTCACACAACGGGGACCCAGAGATTTCCCATTATATTTTTTTTTTGATTGATGCGATGTTAATTGATGATATTGATGGGGTGTTCATCCTATTGATTTTCCTGGTAACCTTTCCCATAGGTAACTAGGCCTCGGCGACGGATTTACAGGAACCAGGCTGCCAGCGAGGAACCACAAATAGAAGCAACTGGTTCATCACGGTTCCACTCATTTTCTAACAGTTCCAAGGTATATTTTCACGGTTCCAATGTGTTTTGTCACGGTTCCGACCTGTTTGTCACTGTTCCAATTGCTACATCAAACCTTGGTTCCGGAAACTATGTTTGGTTACCTGTCTCATAGGTAAGTGAAGTGGTTACCCGTCAAAGGTAACCGGAAGCTTAGTGATATGTGTGTATATATATATATACTATATACTACATATTATATATATATATTTATCAATATCAATGAGATGTTAATGGGATCTTAAGTCATCGAATCTTCATAGAGTCAGCCTTTTTGAAAGTAAAGGGGTAGAATCCCAGGCAGATTTTGCACGACTGCGCCGCATTTCAAAACGGGCTCGTTGGAGTGACCTCATATAAAATGTTCCGCGTTTCCAGCCAATTCTACAGCACATTTTCCGGGCCCCCAGACATACATGATGAGTGCCAGCAACACCAAAGCCCAGACCAAGGATTTCAATGTGACCTCAGCTTGAAAAAAGGGTCAAACGAGGTGCGACCTAGAGAATGCCAGTGGCTTTGTCTCATTTTGTTTGTGTGCCATTTGATTATCCAAACATGACCAAACTTTCTGAGAAACTCGTCCGAACCTGATTCCAACTATGGAGTTCTGAACAGTTTGAGACAACCCCTTGGTAAAATCCGTAAGTTGATCAAAGGGTAGACAACCCAAACATGGACCTCAAGGGCTGCATCGGCTGCTCGAGGGGCAGCGGATCATCTTCCCAAGACATGTTGGATAACAAATCATGAATATGTTTCTTTACAGTTCTCTTCGTATCAATGATTGAAACACATATGAAACACAATAATTCAGAAGCGCGAAGTCAATGATTTCATGTGTTTCCGACATTCAAATTTGATTATCATGATGTTCATCTCTGATTTTCATATGATTTCTAGCAACAAATATCCATCCTCCAGCCGTGCCGCAAAGATGGAATGGATCAGGGTACGCAACGCCTGAGGCGGGGCAATCCTGGACCCCATGTGGAATAGCTTAAAATCCAGGATTTTGCCGATTTTACCGGTGACAATGGGATTCGAACAGGCTAAGGGGATATGTAACCAACTTGATATGTGTCAAAATTGAGGATTCAACCAGTTATAGTGATGATTTAAGCAGTAGCAATGGGAATATCATGGGGAATAAATAGGTAAGAAGTTCCCTCGCGTTTGGGACAACCGACCATAAAAGTTGGATAAAAGTTAGGCCGGTTAAACCAACAAAATCTTCAAATTTTCACGGCTGGGTACCCTTAGATTCAACTCTTCGAAGTTTCTGGGTAGTTCTCCAACATCTCCAAGGCCCTAAGATATCCTACAAAAGTCTGGTCAGAAGCAACTCCAGATTTCTGCTCTTCCAGAAGCCTTTCTCCATCATTTTCCCATCATTTTCCCATCATTGGAGGCCTTTAACCACATCATCAACTTGGCGATGCGCGTGACCCGAATCAGTCGGCTGATGCGCAGCCTCAGGTCGTGGCAGCTCGTGGCTGCTCGGACATCTAAAGCGCTGGGAAGGGAAAGCTCGTGGCTCGGGACGTTGGGAAAGCGTAAGGTACTATTACCCATAGGATCCATGTATGCTATATATGGTAACATTTACCATCAATATACCCCAAGTGTTAGCATCTATACCATACATGGATCCTATGGGTTATAGGAAGAAAAAGGAATAGCATTATGTAATATAATCTGCATTTTGGCGATTTACAGTCAGTGTGTGTGTGTGGTTTGAGGCCCTGAGTGTTGGTTGTCAATAAGTTTCTAATGGCCAATGTGCCACATTGCGAGACTGAAAGTCATGGAGAAAGCAATCGCGTTGAACATGCGGCTCTTTCACGTTGTCTAGTGTTTATTTGTGGTAAATGTTTGGATTGCAGTGGTCACAATGACCACAATGACTTTGAAACGCGAAAGCTGGACTTGCAGAGCACCAAATGGGCCAAATGGGTCTGGTTGTACCCAACAAAATCAGCATGACAAACAGGACATGACAAACGGGTGATGGTTGAACATGGTCGAACCAGCTGGGTACAAACGATACTCCAAACACGGTGGGTTCATACTCCAAACACGGGGGATGGATTACCGGTATGGTTGATAAAGTTGAACCCAAGCTATGGCCTTTTTTAAACATCCAAGCAGCACTCGCATCACACGGATGGCTGACATGCCAGAGGATGAACTCCCACTCAACTCCTGGCTGACAAAGGCAAAGAATGGATGACTCTGGGTAGTAGAGAGGGTCAGCAAGAGAAAACAATTATAAACAAACGATTGGCAATGTTAGGAAGTTCATATGGAAGAATTGTTGCTGATATAATCAGCGTCAACTTTGGTCCATGGATCTCCAGTATTGATTACAGGTGGTCTTCTTCTCTCAATGATCCGACCCTGCTTCATTCAAAAGCCCTATGAAACTCATGGATAGGTGGATAGGCAACTGTGTACCCAAACAATCCCAGGCTTGAGAAACTCATACCCTCTGGTAAACTAACATAGCTATGGAAAATCATCATTTTTAATGGGAAAATCCACTATTAATGGCCATTTACAATAGCTACGTTGAATTACCAGAGGGTATCCTTCGTCTCTGAATTTCACCAGTTTTGATTAGTCCAAGATGCTCCAAGATGTTCCAAGTCAATCATCGACTAGCATTTTGTCAAAAGTCATCACCAGTTTTGATTAGTCCAAGATGTTCCAAGTCAATCATCGACTCATCGATCTACATACCCTCTGGTAATTTAACATAGCTATTGAAAATGGCCATTTATAGTGAGTTTTCCCATTAAAAATGGTGATTTTCCATAGTTATGTTAGTTTACCAGAGGGTAATGTTCTGTCATGTCTCCATCATTGCTTCAGAATGTTCCATCATTGTTCCATCATTCCTCGCTCATGTTTCTATCATGTGTCCATCATGTTCCCATTGATTTCCCATTTTCCGCATTTTTTCCACCATGCGTCCGTCCATGTTTAATCACGATCCATCATTGTCCATTATTTTTTACATAATATTCCATCATGTCAATGTTCTATCCACTATGTCACTATGTCCCATCAGTTTGAATCAAAATTCCATCATATTTCCATCATTGTCCCATCAGTTTTCATCCATGTTCCATCCATTTCCCACGTCGGCACCTGCTCTTTGGCGCGCATCTCAAAGGCCAAGGCCAAGTCTATGAAGGATGAGACCTGAGTCCGAGCATCCCTGGTGCTCAGTGAGGAATGGGGGAATCAATGGATTGCTTTAAGGGAACATTTACTTCGGAAAGCACCAGATTTCACGAGAAAATACCGAGAAATCGTTTCCGGTTTTTGGAAACCTTCCCGTGATTTTTCTAACCAATCCATTGAGGGAATGACCCAAGCAATGATCGTCCCCCTTCCCCCATTCCCGTAAAAAGCAGCAGTAAATTGCTAGAATTCATGGAACTTAAGATACTGGTGAGTAAATATTGCTTCAGGAAATTCTGGTGAAATGTGAAAATTAGCTTAGGTAACATAACTATTGCTTAGATATTGATTAATTAATGGAAACAAAAAATACTGCTTATAGTAAAAATTGGTGAAGTATACTGGTGAAAATCATCGGTCAATTGCAGTAGATATTGGTCGCTTAGAATTGGATTTTGAAGTGTGCATTTACGTAGGACGTAGGAACACAACCATGAATGAATTGTAGAGGTTTAACTGTTTAACCATCAATATGGTGATATTTTTTTGAACACCTCTTGTCATTTTAACTTATCCATGGAACATGACCCGTTCATAAGTTAATGACCTCCCTACCTATATTGTCAATCATGGCCATGTTCTATAGCTAGGTTTAATTATATATATCAGAATATAATACACATTTTACCGGGTAATTTTGGTGAGTAGATATCAGCTACTTGAAATTGGTTCTATGATGGCTTAACATTGTGGTCAATAATGGAGCACCTTATTTGTTCATGAGAAACACATGGTTAAAACAACTCATGTTTCCTGCATGTGTGGTTCGTTTCATCCTGGAAATCACAAGATTTTCAGAAAGGGGGAAGAACAACACAGGTCTCCTTCATGTCTGTTCCCGTAAAACATATTTCTTCTGCTTCCTTTAAAACTTTAGGGCCAACATCCACAGCGATTTCGTTCAGAAGAACGGCAGCTGGCTCAAGCATCGTGGCAGGTTCAACTCAGTTCAACTCTTTGCCGTGAAACAAACAGGGACCAGGCTGGCTAGACCAAGCTGGCCATATGGTCCTTTGAAGAAAAAATGAAAAAAAATCTGCCAAAGATTCAGCCTGGCCAAAAACGGATACAGAGTGGCAGCTCTGTAGATAACTTCCGGCTTTGGAGGACATGTTTCGACTATGGTGATGAATTCGAATTAAAGCCGGAAATCCTGAGTTCAATCTATTTACCAGCATCTGAAAGTGTGTTTCATGCATTAAATATCATTCAACATGTAGATGGATGTTCATAATCTGAAAGCTGTAGCTGTCAACTGGGAAGCCCCGGCCACGATAAAGCAATCGAGACATGCCCATCGAAACCTCGACCAGTCAAAGGCTATGTCCAAGTGATGTTCTGCCAAGTTGATTTATAATTGTGCTGACCAGGGTTATGGTAGATATAACTATATTACATACATATATACATATATATATACATTGTATATATGATGAGTGTATATATATATATTGTATATATTTGCGGCTTTGTGGATGGCTTGTGGCTTTGGGTTCACTAAACAGTATTGCCCAAATCAGTCAGTATTCGTTGGTCCGATTGGGCTCTGAGGAGTTCACCTCTGCTGAGAGAGAGAGAGAGTGAGAGAGAGAGAGAGAGAGAGTTGATTCCTGCTGTTTAAGAGGGGAAAAGTGCTCTATTGGTCTTTTTCTATAGTTCCAATGACAAAACCAAGACAGCCAATTTTTAAGTCTCATCTTGGTTCCCTGGTGCGCAGAAAAAAGAGCTTTTCGGTTGATCATTTCTGTGGACCATCACCGGAATCTGCGGGTTGAGGTGCTGAATCTTACCCTCAAGCAATTTCACAGAAAAGCCTCGGTAGCTATTGGGACAAGGGCCCATTTACTTCGATGATTTCCCTCTTAAAAATGGTGATTGGCGATACGAGTAGCTATCATAAACTACCAGAGGCTATGCAAACATCCTAAAGGACTTGTAGCCATTCATGATACAGTACGCTTCAACAACGATCATGCAGGAACTGTGACCTAGCGCCCTAGCCCTACAAAATGTCGAGCTACTATCCCTGCTTGTCTATAAAAGGGATGTGTCCTAAGATAAAAATACCCCTAAAACATCCATTTAAATAGGATGTTGCACTATAAACTCTGCAGCTATTGGGGTACCACCATCTATGGAAACCTTCACAATGTCTATTGTATCATTATATCATGAAGAGAAGAGAGAGAGAGAGAGAACATGAAATGGGTTATCACCTGAGCGTCCCTGACTCTTGGAAACACACCAACTATATATAGGAAGCGCCAACAAGTACCAAGAAACATCACTAATTACTGAACCATCCAATAATTCTTGGGTCATTGTCTTTGAGACCTAGCCCGGCTACTTGTTAAACTCGATCTTTCGGAGTCGGCGCCCAGAAACAAGTCAGAATCGTTATAGAGATCCCAGCCATACGCAGTGAGCCTGGCTGTCAGGGCAAGGTGCGTTGCTCCGAAAGTTCCTGGGGTTTGGGGGGCCTTAAACTGCTTACCCTTACAGGATATCATGGCATTATTGTCCCATTGTATCCAATCCCTAAACCGTTGATAAACCATTTTGAATAACCATTATCCATATTTTCCAATTATAAACCAGACATCACAGTCTAAACATGAAGAATTGGATGAAACAAATAATTATAAACCATTATAGACCATGATTTTCCCATAATTATAAACCATGAATAAACCATCATAACAACCCGTTGAACGAATCTCGCATTTTGAGCCTCAAGGCAAATTCCACGGCAAACCTCAGTCACCGAGGGTTTTTCGCTGGGCGTCAGCGTCAGGGGAGGTCATGGGCCCCAATGATCCAAGGGATTTTTCGGTCACTTAACAGCAATCATAAGATGAACAATTATATGAAAATCACTAAGTTGGTTAAAGATGACAAAAGTGAAAATTCTATGAATCTTCAATAAAATTATATGAAAATCATATGAAAGTCACTGGGAATATGATCCAAGGTTCTTTTTTAACAGATGGTTAGTCAAAGCATGTCAAAATCCAACAATCTTAGAATCATATTAAAGCCTGTAAATGCCTCATTTTCCCAAGCTTGAATGACCTTCAATTGGGGTGTACCTATAACCATTGAACAAGCCATTCACATGGGCTGGGCTCAGAATTCTGCAGTTTCTGAATCCGACTTTGTTCTCAGAATTGACCTCCATGACTTCCGCTTAGTTGGAAATGGATGGGAATGGGGGTTGCTGGGATGATTATTGATAGTTATTGTGGATCATTCCCTCATTTTCTGCTAAGCACCAGTAAGATGAAGGCAAACAAGTATAAATAGAACAATGGTTCAAGTCCCTGACGCATATGTTGGATCATTGAATCATGGCGCCCCCAATTTTTCGAGGCGCCCCCAAGATGGATTGCGAATTCCGAATAGATGAATTTGGATGGTTTAATATGGTTTAATACACAAATGGATCCAGCTTCTTGTGTGTCCAAGATGGTAGTCATTCCAGCCATGGCCACCTCAATATCTGAGGCTCAAGACACAATGGCATACCTCGGTGGTACAGTGAAAGTGAATCCCAGACAGCCTGGCTGGTAGTCCTAGCATATTCTAAATGATAGCATTTAATATCATGTTGCAGTATACTGCTGTATACTATAATCAACAGTTTATTGTTGCAATGCTTATATCATGTATAATTATATATTAATGATATTATATATATTGCTTATTGTTGTAATATACTGCAGTATACTATGTGATATATCATTGTAAACACTACAGCATACAGTATACTGCATATACTGTAAAATTGCATACAGGGTTCTTGTAAACTTCCCTTCAATTCCAGATGTTTGCCTATCGAAGTATCATGAAATATCGACGTCGACATCTTATTATTGTTCTGATCGTTCCCTCTGGCAATCTATAACTACCAGTAGCATCAGTAGCCATAGAAAATGGTGTTGAAAAGGTAAAAACCATCTACAAATCGGCATTTCCCCATGTCAAAAACTACCGGAAGGCCCAGGCCCTCGCTTCAAACTACCGGTCATCGTCCACGCCACGCTAGAGGCAGGCACTTCATGACACAAGGTCAATGTTAAAAAAAGGTTCATGCATGGTATACTACGTAGCTTATAAACCACAAAGCGATCTAAGATCATGACAGATCCTGTGAAATGTTTAGTTGTGTCGTTGAAGTCGGAAGTCGAACTGCTTGGGAGTACGCAACACATCCTTCCTCTTGGACATATCCACTTATATCATATGATCCCTTTCAGGTTGTCCTCATTATACCAAGATATACCAAGTATTTCTTGCATGAACCCCCCTTGTCGGTAAAACTACTGTTGTTCGGGGGTTCCCTTTGAGACAGAACCCACGCAAAAAACAACTACCCAACTAAAGGTACCAATCATTCTTTCAGCGAACGATAGTAGTTCGAAGATATCCTCATTCTATCTTCATTTTTTCCCCACTCTAGATACCCTCCAGTAAATTAACATAGACCCTGGCAGTCATCGGGGTTGGAAGATTAGTTTCCTCTAAAAAATGGTGATTTTCAGGGTCCAACTGTTAATTTACCAGAGGGTATATCCCATTAATATCCCATTGAATCACTATAAAATTCCATTAAATCATTATAAATCCCATGATTTTCCAATGAATTACTAAAATTGTCCAAACAAAAAACACATGTTTAAGCAGCAAACATCGACCCCGTCGCGGCTCCGTGCGCTCCAAGCTACAGCAGGTGCAGAGTCTGGAACCAGTCCTAAGCCGTGGACGTGAGGCGATTTTGGGACTAAAATGTAGGTCATCCGGTACCCTCTGGTAAACTAACATAACTATGGAAAATCACCATGCTATTAATGGGAAAACTCACTATTTCTATGGCCATTTTCAATAGCTATGTTAAATTACCAGAGGGTAATCCTACACCATGGGAGTACCATGGATTAGCTACACTATAGGATAGTTCCATACTAGGGGATTACCAGTCCCATAGTGTAGGATTTTGTTGTATGTAGGTCCTAAATGTAGCTAATCCATGGTAATCCCATATTGTAGGTTATAAATGTAGGTAATCCCATATGTAGGTAATAAATGAATATTATCCCAATTTATAGCATTGAATCAATCCCATATGCTCCATGGTGCTGGTATATTTACCTACATCACTGTTCGGGCAAATGTTGGTAAATACCGTAAATATTCCATCTATGGAGCAAATGGGAATGGATGAACCATGATTAACAATGGCTAATAATGATCAATAGTGATTCATGGTGATCAATGATGATTAGTAATGGCGATAAATGCTGATTAATGGGGGATCCCCAATAGCTGGAGAGTCTTTTGTTCATGGAAAACGACATCTATAAATGGATGATTGGTACGGGGTACCCCCACGACTTAGGAACCTCTATGTGGAAATACGGTGGAATAAAAGGAAGAAACTTGAAATCACTACATTCAGAATGAAAAATGGTAAAACTGACCGATGGATAAACATGGTCATAAGCATAGATTTCCCTCCCCATCACTATGGGACAAAAACCACCAAGTAATAGTAATAATGATATGAATATTATGATATATAATGATAGTATATGGGACAAATATTAGTGTAATAATGATATATGATAATAGCGACGCCTCAATACCACAGCGTGATCCAGTGATGACAAAACGGTCAAACCGCAGCCGAGAAAAATTGAAGAGTAAAATCCTACTACGGGAATGACCGCTGGTGAAAATAGTTGCTCTATAAGAGCATCTAAGTCTCATGTGTATATATTCTATAATATATAAATATTTAAATGTATAATATATCGAATCCTAGTTAACCTATATATACAATTATATATATATATATACTTATAAACCAACTTACCTCGTAAAGAAGCTCAATCCATCATTTATGTTCATTGTTGCTGGTTGAACGTTTGAATGCCATTTTTTGATAAACATGCATATCATTTCATACATATCTGGTAGACCCCTTGGTGTACAATATTAAGTAGTGAATACATGACATGTTTCTATCTTTTGGAGGCCACAGAAGCCTAAAAGTGTGCAACCAGGATGGTAGTTCGATGGTGTTTGCCATATGTTTTCCAGGTCTTTGTTGGGGGTTGCTATAGTATGACCCCACCCCCCAACGTTTTAAGGTCGCCCAGTGCCCCAGTGCCCCTTAAGTCCCGGCACCGGTGATCGATACGCACGGTTCACCGCCATGTGTTCCACCTGGAGGGGGTGAGATACCCTCGCTTGATGTTGGAAAGTTACTTCTTTATCATAGAGGGTATCAATAGTTAGTTCGTAATAAGACTGGTTGGAAGAGGGTAAGAAATCCTAAAAACAATTAGCTTAAGCCAGTATCATTAGGTTTATTGATGTGTCTTAATCATGATTGGTAGGGGGTAAGAATTTGAACAGTTAATGCTAACAACACCCAATATCAATTGATATAATTACAACAGTTTTTGCAACATCAAGTGAAGGAGCTATTAGGTCCTTAAATTCTAATAGCCTTCATCAAGAGTACTCATGGGTACTCAAACATGTATCATGGTTGGTAGGGGTAAACATTCCGATAGCATCCAATAGTGAATTCACAACCTCTCATGTCAATTGACACGTGTTGATCATTCGCAAGTCAGTGAAAAAAATATGATTGTCCTAAAATGAAACGTTCCCTACATAAATGGTCCCAAAATTATGTTTTTATACCATATCAATTTGTTCCATGGTTTTTGTGAGTGTATATGAACGGGGGATGGGATTAGTGAACAATTTACTGGTAGCAAATCAAAAATCATGGTACATATAAGAGATATATGATGTACTCATCAGAAAGATCGAGGACATGGGTGTTTCCGAAAAGTGGGGATACCGGTACCCCAGCTTTAAAAACAATGGAAAATTGGAAAACGCATGACCATTTCCTTTTAATACACTGTTGTTGATTGATTTACTGTATCTACTGTTCTTCACAGGGCCGCTTTAAATTTTCATGTTAGATTGGCGGAAGGTACTACGGTAATTATCTGGTCAACAAACAAGGCAATGTGAATTCAAGGCGAAAATCATGTCGAAACCGGTAAGTTTTGCATAGAACTCAATAAGTTTGGGTACCTCTAAGGTAGAGATCCCAGTTGCCGCGAGAGATTTCCGCCGCCCTTCGCTACCAATGGGTATGACATGGTAGCATTGGCATCTGGCAAGCCATCGTGGATAAGTGGGTCTACATGTCGATCCAAAACCATCAATACCTACGAATGCCGCAGCAGTTTCTCTGCCAGGTGTGCCATGCTGCTTCTAGTTTCGATAGTTGGTTGGCAATTGTTGAGACTTGCTTAGCTTACAATCGAGTGGTTTGTGAGGCCACATGTTTTCGCGGTTTTCTCATACAACATGCACATAATTAACATCGAATTGTTGTCATTGACATCATTGTAATATATTAGACGACTATTACCATAGGATCAGTCAGTATAACAATGTCATATGATATGGTCGTCGTCATCATCATCAACGTTGCGATATTGTTGTTATTGTGGATCATTATGATCCTTGTCATCATTACTAGTCTTATCCTCAGTTCATGATTGTTATTTCATCAACAATTATGGAATGGACCCCCAATGAGGGTCATGTCCAAAACCGGTTGGTGGTTTCAACCCCTCTGAAAAATAGTCAGTTGGGATGATTATTCCCAATATATGGAAAAACATGTTCCAAACCACCAACCAGAAAAGTCATCAGGGATCATCTACGAAAACTCAAAGGTTTCCGCCTCCAAACCGATGATGACCTGACATCGGAGCCACCAGCGGTAGTCAAATGACTCCGACATTGGGGAAACAAAAACATTACACACACACACACACTGAACATGATTTCCCAATACGACCATGCCATAAAATGACAACGTAATATCAACATATCATCTCACCATATGTAGATTTCAATCTGGCCCTGCTATCCTGCACGAGGACCAGAAAGATCAAGCCGACGCTCAATGGCAATTCTGAATTCATGGTGCCTAAAGCCATCAAGCAGAAGACTTAACTGGATTAGGCTAGAGAAAAAAAAAACACATTGCTAGGACAAAATGTCCACATCATCCATAGCATCTATCTGATGTGTACTTGGATATTTTTTTGGTTTAAAAAAAAAGTGCTTGGTTGATCTCGCGCGTTTTACCTGTGAAATCCTATGAAACCTACCACCAGTTTCAGCTAAACCAAGTGGCGGCATTGGTGATGATGATGCAGCCGGCGATGGCCTGGAGAAGGCAGATCTTAGGACTTCCACCCATGTCAACATACAATATGGTACCATAGCATACATATGTTCTGAATATCAGATACACCTAGATATGTATATATACATATATATATATATGTAATTAGATATTAATTATATATAATAGATGCAAACTAATAATGTGAGTATGTGCTTTATCATGCTTTATCTATATTTGTTTGGTTTTTGAAAACCCTTAATTTGGATCTTATTCTCCCTTGTGGAGATGAGTCGACAGCTATGCGAGCCTGGGAATGGAAGGATGCACATCCAGAACTACCAGCATTACCCAACTTGTGGGGACGAAAATAGATAATACAACATTGATCTGGGTAAATTATAATATTTCACTAACCTGAAATAAATAATAATATTTGGGGATAATTTCCCTTATTAACCATGATTCCAGTGAGGTCGCAGTGACAGGCCGTTATAATTTACCCAGATTGATTGATGTTTTTAGCTCCCTGAAGCAGTATTGGTCAAGATGTTTGATCATCACCCTAAACAATGATAACACATTTCAGAAAAATCCTTGAAAGTGCCAACCAATTGTTGGAGATCTCTCCATTTTCTCCTCAAAATATGATTGGCTAAATAATTCAAATAAAATAACCCATTGTTTGCTGGTTGAATCCCTATCTTCGAGGTTTTTGGACCCATCAATCCAGCCAAACAGAATGAAGATAGATTCAAGATTAATTCAGGGTTTCAATATCTAAAATGAAAATCGTCCTAATGGTCCATATCTCTGATTCGTTCTGATTGGTTCTTTATGTTCATTATACCATTTCATTTTTTTTCATAGACCCCAAACATCACCAATGTTTTTTCAGGAGACTAGTCTTCCAGCCCAAGATGTTGCAGGGTCGAAGTGTTAGTGGCGTAGCAACAATATTGTCCATGATGATTGATCCATAGTGCCATAGTGCCTATCAGCTGCATCTTTTTGTATGTCTTTCTCTATCTTTGATGGTAAAAATAACTGTTCATTTACCATACCCTCTAGTAAATTAATAGAACTATGAAACATCACCGTGTTCAATGGGTAAATCAACTATAAATGGCAATTTTCAATGGCAAACTCTATGTTTACCAAAGGGTATTCCCTATTAGCATATCCCCATTGATGTTTCATTTCATCGCCATTGATAGATCTTACAGTAGATGTTTGTCCGTGACTTTCCCACAAACAGCTTGAATTATGTTCATCAATGACCTCCACTTATTGGCCATATCAGATATGGTTGTTTGGTTATGTCCCACACCCCTACTTATTACGTATGATTTTTCCGTTATAACATTATTATACCCCATTATAATCCCATAATAACCCGTTATAAACCCAGCATAACCCATCAACAAACTCTGCCACTCCGTAACAATCAACCATGTTAGATATTGTTGGTTGGTTCTGTCCCACTATATCCCTATTACCCTCTGGCAGTTTCACATAGCTATAGTCTAAAGTGAATCCCCAGTTTTGATAGGTAAATCATCTGTAAATGTGCTATATTCCATAGCTATGTAAACAAGTTACCAGATGGTATGTCCCTGCATAAACCACCATTATCCCTATTTTCCCATTATCGAATATTATAAACCATTATATATAAACCATCAGTTTTGTGCACCATCAACTGCTAAAAACCAGCATCTCACCTTCCAGCCATTATATTCCATATTCCCATTCTATCATATTCCCTAGTTCAATCACCAATGATGGTGGTTTAATCACTCCGAAAAATCACCACAAAGTTAGCATTTCGAACATTTCCAGGTCATTTTCCCTATGATTTTCCATCAAAATTGGCATTGATGTAATTTTCCCTATGATTTTCCGTATGATGTTCCCTATGATTTCCCAAATTTCAACCCACCATGGAGGGCTCGACTTTGCTCGCCTCAAAGGCTATGGAGCTCACGATGCTCCGCAGCCGGCTGCGAATGGGGTTTGTCTCACCAACGGATCCTGCAGGACTAGACGTTTTTTGGCAAAAAAAACATGGGAACAACCAAGATTTCCTTGGATTTTCCATGGACAAAACACCAGGAAAAGGTTGATGGCTTCGGATGCATCGCTGATTTTTGACCATTTTTGGGTCATTGAAACCCGAGGGAACCAAGGTTTACAATGGATATGCTCTGATCGAAGGCTTGAAGGGGAAGGGAGTGTAGCGAACTGAGATGAACTGAGCAATGTTCAAAACTCGCAGCATCATCTTGTGAATAGGGATCACAGGTCATCCCTCAATATATTGGGCAGTGGAACCACGTATACCCTCTGGTAAACAAACATAGCTATTGAAAATAGCAATTTATAGTTGCTTTATCCATGAAAAAAATATGATTTTCCATAGTTATGTTAGTTTTCCAGAGGGTAACATGGGATATAATATTTTTTTTTTTTAAGATGACGGGGCTCCCAAAAAATAGCTCTGGTTATCTGCCCTGTGACGCTGCCATCCCTAATATCCCAAGATCACCGCTGCCAGGATTACCGCACCTCCAGAGAGTTCGATTTGACTGGCCTTCTGGTTATGAAGGTTTCTCGCGTACTCCTGGAAGGTGATGTTTCCCCAAAGGTCAATCGATGTTTATCGATTTTACACCAAAAAGCAAGTTGTCAACCATAAACCCGGAAAAAAACAGTTAAGGGACGGTAAGCCAGTGAAATAAGTATAAGGTCTTTCCTCGGCGAATAATGATCTAGTTAGGTTTAATATCGGCTTATAAACCAACCTTAAATCAATAGAAATAGAAATAATATATCTAGCGGGCACTACATGTTCATCATGTTCAGTGCCAACAGCTACAAGCAAGCTCAACCAAGCTCATGGGGCCATGAAATATCATGAAACTACTAACTGAGCGTTTTGACATGTCTTGAAGATGAAGATCAGCTGCTTGATGTCATCAACTTCCATATCTTACCACCAGGCTCCCTCCAGTCCCGGAGTTGGTTTGACTCATCATGAGCATGGGCAAAGAGCCTTGGTGCAACACAGTGCAACACACCGAATCAACATGTAGCCATGTAGCCAGTCATAACCAACGATGGAAGTGCAGGGTGTGCAAAAAACAGATCTTGAGATCTGGCACCCCAATGACCTTCCTTAAGCATTGCTTGGAGCAAAGTTGTCTTGGTGGCGTTCTGCGTCAACCATCGGGCCCCCCCAAAAAGAAGACAGCATGTTTTCTTCCCAGCAAAATTGCAGATCAAAGACAGTTACAGACTTAGTCAACCCATCTTGATATCCAGGCTCTTTCCACATCCCATAGTGGGTCCTAAAAAAGGTCATGGTAAACCGTAAAACCCAAAACAGCTAAGGCTGTTTCATTGGAAGGGTAGCATTTAAGTATCAAATGAAATGACTCTTGGAGAAGTACCCCCTAAATAATAAACCATGGTTATCCATGGTTTATTATTCCGGGCTTGACATTAAACTGGATGGGGTTCGTAAAATTGCCATGATATTCTTGCTACACCAAGGCGAAGACACTGGCGTCCAAGTGACGTCTTCTTGTTTCCCTTGCTTCTAGTGACAGCCTGCATTGGGAAGGTGACAGCCCTCAAAACATCACGGCAAAATCGGCAAAGTGGCCAGAAATCAAGATGATTTGGGTTTGATTCATCTGTATCAAGAAACACAAACTGGGGTTCCCAATACGTTCATTTCCGATCCATTCCCTCTTTACAGACCAGCTTTTTTGCTGGGGGAATTGGGTGGAGAAATGTGGAGAACTAATCCCATGCGGCAAACGCAGTCGTTGGAATTCAAGGAGAGCCTGGGCTGACCCGCTGACCTCCGAAAACTCACATTGCACGAGCTATCTATACTCACTTCGCTGGTGCCTTTTTTTTGTTCTGCTTCGAAGGTCTATTGCTCACTCTATAGCGAAAAAATGCACAGATACGGTGGTTTCAAGCCCCAAAATATAGCAAAAGTCATTGGCGATCATCCGCCCAAACCAACTCACCCAAGGGGGTTAAGTTAGCCAGGAAAAATACCCAGAGTTTACTAATCAGTGAATTAAAAAACATGGCCCAAGGTAGATAGTCAGCAGATGTCAGCAGTATACAATCTGATACAATCAATCATAAACTGTTTTAATTCGTGTAGTAATTGAAAAAAACGTCCTATTCTGTGGTTTTCACATGAAAATGGCAATTTATAGTAGATATTCCCATGAAACATGGTGATTTTCCATAGTTATGTTAGTTTACCAGAGGGTAATTGGGTTCCTGAACATGCTTTAACCATATTTTTCGTCCCCATGCGACTGCGGCCTGACTGATCTCGGAGCGTACGCTCTGCCGGATGCTCTTGCGTCGTTGCGTCGCTTCCTTCGCAGCCTCGTCCTGAACAGAAACAAGGGTCAAATCATGGGACGACGCTGCGAAGGGATGAGATCTAGAAAAAATTGCTGGAAATGGGATTTTTGACTGCCCATCATGGGATTTATCATGAGAAAAAGTGGGATAATAGGATTATATAGGAGAAAAAAGTGGGATAATTTAATAATCCCTTCCCGTTCATATTCAACAGCGCCCCTAAATGAAACCATGGTAAAAGGTAGGGGAATTTCCACACTTTTTTGGGGGACCATGCTTATGGGGTGTTTAATATGAACGGGTGATGGGATTAATCCCTGAACTCTCCAAATGGGACAGTCACGGGATGGTCAGTTGCTGTTTACCACTCTTCAATAACAACACATTATAGATGATAAGCAACATGTTGTCATAATTGTTGCGCAATATTTACGCTATTTCATGACAAACTTGTGGTTGGAGAAGTTTGAAGCAATCACTGGTAAAAAAATCACCAACAAACACGGATCCAATCAACCAAATCTAGCCTTGGCGCAGCATTGCAACCAACCGAAATGGCCACTTGAAGCAACAACAAATCGCAATTTTACCATCTGGTTATTTAACATAGCCATGGAAAATGGCCCATATATAGATTAAGATTATTTTGATACTGTAAAAACATACTCAAACATGGTGATTTTCCATAGCTACATTAAATCAGAGGGACCGGGATTTTGCCTCCATAGATTGAGCTTTCCCAGATCTTCCAGACGTTCGATTCATGTCCTGAAGGGCGAGTGGATTTGAAGCGTCGGGTCCTTTTTTGATGGGTCCCCTATCACCGGGACGCAAAAAGGATGAGATCCAACACTAAACAGGTTGCTCCCAACACCCCAGATGCACGAAACTACATGGTAAATGAAGAGATAAAATCACACAGTTGTGAGCAGTAAACCTGCAATACTAAAGCAACATTTCGTTTGGGGCATGTCATAATATTCGCATGAAAATAAAGTAAAACATATGATAGCATATGTATATCATATGTTTAAACAAAAACAATGCGATGTAAGAATATAAAGGATGGCTTAGAATATCTTAGAATTATGAGAGACTGAAGAAATTAATCTGTTTCACGGAAGTCGGTGTGTCTACTCTGACTTGCAAACTTAAAGGACACCAAAGTCACGGTAATTTCAACATCGACAAGAAGATTCATGAGGTTTCAAAGTCTTTTTAGGTCAAGGTTTCGCATCTCCAAAGGCAACAGTCATTCCCTTTAAATATTAATTGTGGATATTTTCCCACACATAAATTTGATCAAATTAAGATTTTGTCTCTACACATGTCCCATGTCCCTGTCCTTGTCCGACCCACCCTGCCCAATTCCCTGCTGGAAACTTCAAACATATCAACATGATTAACTATATAAGTAGCTAGGTGCAGTTCCATTTGCCCAAAAAGACTGTACACATCAACACATATCAATAATATATATGTATATAATTAATTATACAAAATATCTATATCATATCCATCATATCTATATCACATATCATATATCATAATATATATATATATATAATATATATATATATATTATATATATTATATATATTCATATATCGTATACCCTCCGGTCAACGCTGAACATGGCCCCACGTTCGTTCGAACACAACGCGTTGTTCACGCTGCCGGCCTCAGCACCCCGGCGGCTCCCAGCGCGTTTCATGGATTTCATCGCGGCCATCTTCAGCTGACCCTGCATGATCTCCAAATCTCGGTGGCGGGACGTTACCTCGGACATGGTGAATCGTGGTGAAATGTGGTGAAGTTCCAGGGGGAGATTCCATGGTTTAACGTGGTGATTTTTCCATTAAGGTTGAGTTTTTTTTTGGGACAGTTGTTTTGGACCATGTAGATCATTTGCTGTTGTTTTTCTTGAGGAAATATGTTGGCTAGGGGACAAATGTTGGGTATGGATACAATTCATGCGGAATTCATTGGATAGTTTTTCTAACAGTTGACTTGGTTGATATTGTTTGTGGGAAAGATGATTATTATATATCTGGGTAAATTATAATATTTCACTAACCTGAATCTTGCGGCCATTTGGGGATGATTCCTCTTATTAACCATGATTTCCAGTGAGGGAGAACAGTGAGGTCGCTATAATTTACCCAGATATAATATATCTTTATCTTTATCTATATCTATATCTATATATATATATATATGATTATATAATATTATATATGTATCAGTATACTACACACATTATCAAAAATCTGATTGTAATGGTTGGTGGCTCCCACGAATCGTAAGTTGATCACATGTCCCCGGTGATTCTAGTGATCCCACACTGAAATCACTCAGGGTGAAGCGGCTGGGAACTGTTTAGTTGGTGAAATATGATGAAATGCTGGATACTGAATACTCGCGACTTTTCTTGAAACTGGGATTGAAACGGAACATAGATTATATTTTACATATATATATATAAATATATATATATATATATACATATAATGTGAATATATATATATATGTATGAAAAAATATATATATATATGAAATATATATATATATATGTGAATATATGTCGGAGTATGTCAAAACCTGATCCCAAGCATGATATCGGGCACTTGCTCTTCAGCATTGGCAGGATCAAAAAAAATATCCTAAGAATTCGCTCCCGGGAAACCTGAAGAGTCTCAGATTGTGAGACTCTTCATGTATCTAAATAATTTCTAACTGGATAGAAAAAACACTGGCTTGACATATGTTAACATGTGTTAACATGTGCTAACATGTGTTAACATGTGTGACTGGTTAGAAATGTTTATCATACAGAGATCATCCTTAGGTTTCATCTAAAGTGATCACTATTTTGGGGGGCCGTAAACCTCAGAATCACTCAGTAAACCTTTAGTGGTCCGTGGCTGCGGACCGGCTTAGCCCTGAAAATTGAGTACATTAACATATATTGACCAAATCATACGGTGCTAATCAATGATGTTCATATATTATCATATGTTAGACAAATTATATTATCCATTTATTATCCATATCTTATCTATATGCACATACATTACATATATGAACATATATATATATATACACCAACATATATATATTGTGAATTGGCAACGGTATCGTGCAGTCCAACGCGGCTCTTTTTGCTAGTAGCGATAGCGATGTAGCTCAAGGGCCCTGATAGCCGAAATGGCAGCAGACACTACATGTGACAACCTGGCCTTTACATGGAGTATCACATACCACAAATTGACACTCAACCTGTTCTTCAGGTGTCACATAGAAATATATACAGCTATGTCTGTACAGGGCATTGCGGAGAAAGAACGCAGTGGTGTTATTACTGCTTCTGTACTTTGTACATGCACTCTGCCAACACTCGAATTATGAAATCTGGTTTCATACTCTTTGTAAGGCAGTCGCTGATCATGGTGTGTGTTGCTATCCATGACAGCTTATCTCCTCCATTCGGATAGATGTCCCATGTTTTTCGGTCATCATTCCAGTAGGATTCGTGAATACTTTGTAATTCGATGCCAAGTCTTTTGTCGCTCACCTTCGCCAGGATCTCGGAAGCCAAGTGGTCTGACAATGAGCGGCAATCTGTGAGGGCTAAGTGCGGTACGCAGCTCCTTGCATCAGTTTCCCATGTCCGCATGGATTTGATCTGGCCTTTGAGTTCTGCCAAGACACCTCTGAGCTTGTCCCCTGCTTCGAGACCATGCTGCAGTGAATACGTCTCAGCCTGGAGCGTGCTTCGACACACACGTCGGATCGTGGTAGAGCTGTAAGACAGAGGCATTACTCTGTACGTGTTGCAGCTACTGCTCTTGATCTCTGTGAGGTCTCCAAGAAAGTGACAACGTCCCTGTTGGGAACGGTAGTTCTGTTCATTGGAGAATGAAGCGTCAGTAATTGTGATCAGACCTATCTCATCCCATTTGAGATGTCCGCTTGGAAAACGAAGCCTTACCTGATCACCTTTGTGAGCAAGTTGTACAACTGCGTTTGCGTCGCACAAAGTGCTGACTGTGGCATTTTTGACTGAAGATTGTAGGCGGCTAACTCGGTACGCCAAATCTGGTCTTGTCTGGCGAGCAACCCAAGCGAGTGACCCGGTCACCGACCTAAGTCGTGTGATGTCATCACCTGAAATCTTCTCACTGCCTGGACGGCCAGCGTCAATTGGAATTGGTTTGATCTTCCTGGTGTTATCGACGGTGTCGACGAAAATGTCTCCGTCACCTGAACGCGAAAACTGCTTTCCGCAATACCTGAACTCGTTCACTTCGGTGCTGCCGATGTTGAACTTATTCAGAAAACGTTCGATGACTTCCTTACCTTCGGGCAAGTAACAGTACAAAAGATCGTCAACATGTGTGCACATCAATGCGCATGTATCACCATCGCTCCCTGGAAGAAAATAAAGACCTGGGAAAAACTGTGATGCTTTCATGCCTTCTTTCTTGGCATCTCCATCCAATCGCAGCCAAAATCCGCGACCTGAGTCTGTGAGTCCATAGATTGGTACCCTTACGAGGTAGACAATTCCCTCGTCAACTCCTGGGATGCCACCCCGGGGTTGTCTCATCAGGAGTACCCGGTCCAAAGGTCGTCCTTGGAAATATGCTGATGTCACATCAGCCGAATGCAAGTCGAGCTCATGTGCTGCACACCAACAGCAAATGAGGTTGTGAACCTCAATGTCAGCTGTGGGGCTGTCTGACCTCAGACCGTCACTGCATTCGAAGTTTCCGCAGGAAACTAACCTGCTTTTGTATTGTGGCTGGTAATTTGGATCTCGGCCTTTCTTGTACTGAGCTTTGTCAACATCTACCCATTTGGAGGGTATAATCTGATGTCCCTCAGCAACAAGCTCTTGCACTTGATCCGGAGTCAGTGGCACGACTGCTCCGAAGCTTTCAAACTTTGACCATTCCTGGGCTCGAGAAGCTTGCAGTGCCTTTTGAACCTCAGGTGGCGCTGATTCGAAATGAATGCTTTTCAGGACCTTCTTGCCTTCTTCTACAATCTCATCTTTCCCTGCCATAAAACATGTGAACATGGCTGTGGACTGTTCGACTTGTTCTACGGACCATTGTGCGGCCGCATTTCGGGCTCGCTCAAAGTGGCTCCTCAGGGATGCTGGAAGGTCATTAAGACTGTCATACGGATTGGGCCATGATTGTGGCCCTGCGGCTTGTGATGGTGTTGGCTGTGGTGCTTCAGCAGAAGGTCTGTCTGCTGAGTCAACAGATTCGCGCCTGGAAGGCATAAGCGATGACCCTCTTTCACTCTCAGGTTGGGTTTCAAGACGGGGTCTCACGTTTCTGTCGGCACGAGGGGCAACACTTGATCTCCGTCTGTCCAGACTGGAACTGGCAGCTTCAATCAGTTCATCTGTACCATTTACTTCATCTGACATGTCTTCACCATCAATGGTGATTTCCGGTACAGTTACCCTGCATTATCCAATTCTTCATCTTCGGGTATTGGTGGTAAATCCTCATTATTATCTCCCCAATTTATGAATGGTAGTTCAGCTCCCTCGCCTGAGGCAATTGGTTCAGGCGCCTCGAATACGGATGGCTCATATCCGTCACTTTGGGAATCTGGGGAAATTCGAGCATCCAAAAAGGATTGCTGTTCACCTCCGATCACGACCTCATCAGGAATGACAGGCTGCCCATGGAGAACCGAATGCGCCAATGCTTCACTTGGAGTAGCTACCTTCACATTCTGACTGGCCACTAGTACCGGGACATTTCCACAAAGCAACCATAGGTTTCTCTCTCCCTCATGGCCTATCACCCTACTTGTGGGACTCCATCGTGTGCCTCCCCGCTGGTTATCCCTGCGAAAAGTCACCAAGTCCCCGATTTCGAAGTCTCTCGGAAAAGGTGATGTGTTTTTGGTCATGGCTCGCTGGACACGCTTGGAGCAATCGAGGTATACAAATGCTTTCTGTGCTTCCTGCCTAGCAAGATGCTGCAAAGCAAAAAATGCTTTCGGGGTTGTGCTGGGCCTCCAAGGCTCCGAGCTCTGCAAATCGCTCTTCGGACAATGGACTGGGGTCTGAGCGTGGTGCCTTACCCAACACCCACTGTGATGGTGAAAAGCCTCCTACACGTGATGCATTATTCTTCACCATGAGCACTTCTTGCAGAACTGACTCAACCTGTTCTCTGCCAAGAGGTTGAGTTTCTTTTGAGACCTTTCGGAAAAGAGCTTTGGCAATGGCCCCGTGGCGCTCTACACGGCCAAGGTTTTCAGGTGCCTCAAGTGGGCTGTGATAAACCTGAATGCCATGATCGTCCATGTACTTTGACAGTATACCACGGTTATGCAACCCTCGGTCACACATCAAGTTCACTGGGTGTCCACTCCATGAAAACCAACGTTTCTGCAGGGCCTTCAGACATTCACTGGATGATGGCTGTCCCTGGCCTGTTCTGACAACCTCGCACAGTTGAAATGTCGTCCCAAGATCTACCATGTTCAAAACTTGAAACTTGGAACCACCTGCATCAATGATCTCAAAAACATCAATTCCCAAGCTATGGTTGAAAGAGTAGTTGTGGGGCAATGCAGTTTTGTGTGTGGGTTTCTTTCGGGATGTTTCTTCACATGCTGTGCACCTATGAAGTTTTACTGCATCAATGAACTCTGTTCGAACCCTGGCAGCACGAAGCAAGTGGATCATGGTCTGCCTCGGCACATGACCAAACTGACGGTGAAGTCGCCTGACAGCGATCCTCACTCTGGCTGGAAGCTTTCTCCACTGCCTGCGTCTCTCCACCTCATCTTGTGGAAGTCCTGGAATCTCGACTTCGTCAATGAGGGTTTCCTCAGAAATCAGTTCCTCAACAGGGTTCACCTGGGCTCTGTCATCGGAGTCCCAGAGGGCGTCAAGTCGTTGATGCTCTTCATGTGCTTCTTCATGCATGTCCCCCACAAACGCTATCCCCATTTGATGGTTCAAATCATCTTCCTTGGCCCAACTCCCAATCCAATCTGCAAACTTCCAAGACAAGACATCGTCCATCGTCTGTCCACGAAACCAAGATTCAAACTCATGGGTCCACTGTTCGTCATTGCATGTGAATGCCAAACCATGGTCATTGATATATGGTGTTTGGGGGTGTTGATGTTTCTCCCATCGATCAGTCATGGCAACATCTATGCGCAGAAACTTGCAATTGTCCAAGTCGCACATCAACTCCACTTCTGCCAGAAAACGACCATGTCCCAATGGATCATTTGGGTTGTTGTATCCAATGGCAATGACAATGTTTTGATACCCCTCCAACAGATTACAAAAATCTTTGGGGTCAAATTCAGGGTCAAGATGACTGGCCCCCACACCAACGTCGATCACGTCGACCGAAGGCTGGCCAGACTCCTGGACGAACACGAACGGATGGGAAGTGAAAACAACTGTCTTGCTATCTCGATTGGGATTGGAAATCAAACCAAGTCCACTCTGGATCATCATGCCGTTCTTGTTCAAATTGGCAATACCGTCCAACACTGCTTTACGGTGTTTCCTACCCATGGTGACTCTCTCATTGGGTTGGATGGCAATTGGACCATGTTCATGCACTTCAACATCGGTGTCAGAGTCCAGAACAACTTCATGCATGTTGGGACCATCTGGATCTCTGGCCATGAGTCCAACTGGCAGTACATCACCGGGTTCGGTTTTGATGATCACTTCATCCTTGGGGGTTTTCTCATGACAAGGCTTTCCATTGGAGGATTTGCTTTTCACAGGTTTGGCAACAGGGCTCTCATCGGATGAACTTGTGCTATAGTCGGTTGACTCATCTTTCGGGGTCTGAATCTTGGGGTTTCCCTTGAACATGTCATCATCTGTACAAATCATAAACCGACTTGGCTGTGGTGGAGTTGGAGGATTCTTTCGACTCTGCAAATGGACTTTTGTTTTGGGGACATATTTCTGGCTCTTTTGGGGCTCCGTTTTTGGTGCGTTTTGGGGCTCCGTTTTTGGTGCGTTTTGGGGCTCCGTTTTTGGTGCGATACTGCCCTCAAAACCCTGATCACCTGACAACAAAACCACGCGCCCCGTATATGCTCGCGGGCGCACGTCTCGATGTGAGAAGATCACCAAATCGGCCCAAGTAGTCGGGAGATCGACGTTCTCTCCAACAGCTTCTTCCCGTTGAAGTCTGTTCCACAATGTTCCTGCGGAATCACGTGGTCGATAGAATGACGATTTCACCCAACCCTGTCGATTCATCCATTTGCCACCTGAAATCAAAGTGCTCCTCACGTGGGATCTGAGCTTGATGTCCACCCTGATGCCTTGCTGCTGCTGCTCCTCATGAGGAAGGCTGGGGTCTGTAATCCAGATCACCCGATCTCTGTTTCCCCACAGTTTTGCAGAAGAGATGATCCAAGAAAGGATGTCTTCATCGACATTCCAGCAATATGGGTCTCCGCTGTTGTCGTTCAAGATGTCGCGGGGTTCCCTCTCAAGTCGCTGACGCTGAGACTCATCACATGGGCGTCGAATCGGTGGCCTCGGTGGTGATGGAGGGGTCCTTGGAGAAGGTACCCTTGGAGATGACACACGGCGTCTGCTTCGAGATCGCCGACCACGCCTGCCGCTCGAAGAGGATCTTCTTCTGGTCCTTCCACGATCAGCTCGTTCTCCTTCAAGCACCTGTCTCACAAGACCTGAGAGCTCCTGGACCTGATTAGCAAGAACCTGTACTGCTAAGTCTCGGTCTTGTCCTCCATAATCACGGCCTCGTTCGTCTCCTTCGTGATGTGCTCCTCCACGAGATGAGTCTCCAGCACTACGGCTTGGAGGTGGATATGCTGGAACATACCTGGGTGTCAAAGGCGTTCTCGTCGATGTACCTCCAAAGGATGGTGTCATAGGAGCACGGACTGGAACTGGCACAGTCCTGGATGGTGTCAACGTGGGGATAGATCTCGTCGCCGTTGTAGTAGGCCCTGGTGCCGGTGGCCTAACAGGCTCAGGCGGCCTAGCAACTCCTGATGACCTATCAGGTTCATCCACATCCACAACACGCACGTCAGGAAGATGCCTGTTCATCAAGTTTCCAAGCTCTCTGGTGTCGGCTGTTGCACAAAGACTGCAATGACCTCCACAAGTCATCTCACGCCACTCCGGGCTGTGATAATGGATCAGCAAAGGCTTCCTCCAATCAGTCACGTCCAAGAAGTAGTAGATCAAAGCTGCCAATCCAACACTGCGATGACGACCACTGGTGCAGTACAAGTGGATCACGAGCTTCCCATTCGGGTTAGCCCTCAAGAAATCTGTCACCTGCTCAACGAGGTCATTCATTGCCTCATGAAGTGCAACTCCTCGGATAATGCTAGGATGTCGTCCAGTGCAACCTCGGATCGATCTGTCGCTGTCAGGATCATGGAAATGCCTGCAGTCAATCTGAAGAACCTTAGCACCAGGGAAGCTTGGCTGTCGACCTGTCCAACGAGCACCTGAAGTGACCACAAGGCATCGGGATCTGCCCAGTCCCCTCAGGCAGTTGTTCACGGCACCTTCGATGTGATCTGCGCTTGACGAGCTGTAGCCACTTGGAGACCTCAACATCTCACTGGCCGACGGCGAACCAGGCTCGTCGGATAGGGCGGCAAAGGCAGTTCGAAACTTTCTGTGGCACTTTGGGATCTGTTGTGAAATGTGATTGGACGTTTTTCCTGTCGGATCAATTTGATTTGGGGTGATTGCTAACATCATCAAACCTGTATGAGAACATCTGAAAACTGGCAACTGATTACCATCAATGGATACTGTTCCATTCTTCAAGTCCTTGACAAGTCCAAGATGGGCTTGAGCATGCAGTGACAGCAAGAGTGGTGATGTCCCGGAGCTAAGTTGGTGCGTCTCAAGTACCCCATGAATGGGTGTACACTTGCTGTCCATGAAATTCAGGCTGAAAGGCAATGTACGGGATCCCTCGGTTGAGGTTCCCCCGGTCCCCAATCCAGAGAAGGTTTTCCCCTTGGTGTCATTGAATGGAAACTGGTATCCCAAGTTCTTCAGCTTGGCAGTTACTACCTCAGCCCAATGTTTGGAGTGACAAGTTGAGTTACACCCCTCATCCAACACGACATAGATATTGGGATCACTCATGTCGTACATGTCACGGGTCTCTTGGAACACATGCACCAAGCCATCAGACATCTCTACATCTGGCTCGTCCCCATGAAAACACACTCCGAGACCTGCAAAATCTTCCCCAGGGTTTTCCACATCAACAACCATGGTAAAACTGCTGTCTCCTTCTGCATTGGCGATGGATTGGTGGAGAAGTTCATGCAGCTTGGTCGAAGTGATGGCCTCAGATTCAGAACTGGTGGCGACTAAGGTGGCAAAATCATTGAGGATCATGTCCAGCATGTCGGGGCTAAAGGTCGCATCTTTGGAATCATCAACCAGTCGTTCAATGATGGAAACTCTTTCCAGGGGTGCTTCCAAGACTTTGGTGGAGACTGCTTTTCGGGTCCTTTGGAGCTCCATCGGAGTCTCATCCAGATACGTGCAACACTGCTTACAAAAGGTTCGGTGAACAGACCTTGAAGAACCACGAAAATCCTTGTCTTCATGTGGACACTGGTCATAAGGATATTGGGGGAGTAGTTCTCTCCTGGTAGTAGTTGAATGGCCACAAACCAGACATGTCTCCTTGATGGTGTAACCCGTACTCCCCTGACGAGTGAATTGGGTGCAATTGGCACACTTCTCCTTTGGTGGATTCGGTGGCTTCCTCAAACGTGTGTGTTGCTTTGGAAGAGGTGGTGGTGGCTCCAAACTACTTCTGCAATACACTATGTTCCCCCGATACTCAAAGTTTTGGTTCACCCACTCGGCATACTCTGAGGCTCCTGGACTCTTGGCGTTCTTCTGTGTCCATGCAAAGTAGTCAGGATGATCATGCAAGATCTCCCAAAACGTCTTCCCCTTAAACTGGCCAAACTTGAACTTCGTGTTACTCCCAATAGGTTTTGACGGGTCATTTCGTCCTACCGGAGTTGTGGGAGGTCCCAAACTGGGTGCCTTTGAAAGGGCAGCTGCACTCTTGATGGCCATGTTTGCAACTGGTGTTTTGGGTGATGATGCACTCAAGAAAACTCCCTCACCTGATGAAGATTCCGAGAAGTCTGCAAAGTGCGCTGTTGGCCTAGGAGGATTCGATGGGGGTTTTGAATCCTTGGCATTAGCATTCCCCTTTGCACCTGGGAATTTACAAATGGGGTCACCTGCCCAGTGCCCGTAGGCGCCGCAGCGAAGGCATTTTGACTTGGCCTTAATCTCGGAAAGGCGCTTCCTGCGCTGTTCGATGGACAAGTTGGACCTGATGATTTTCCCTTTTCCTTTGGGTTTGCCTTTACCCTTTCCTTTCACACGTCCGAAGGCTGCGAATGCAGCTAGTTGGAGTTGGAGAGCTTCCCCAAGGCTCTTGTCATCTTCAGTTGATTCATCTCCTACATCCACTAGTGCATTCAGGGCAGTGGCTTCATACTCATCAACTTCGTCGTGAAAGTCAAAGGCTTCATAGGGATTGTCAACATTTGGACTTGATTGTTCTGGATGTTCCTCGATCCCACCAAGCAGACCTACGTATGGTGCATCCTCTTCATAGTATTCCTCTTGGTATTCATCATGGTCACCATAACCATAGCCTTCCTCATCGGGATAGGCATTGTAGGCTGTCTTGTAGGAACCTTTACCACTTTGGGGTCCTTTGGAACTTCCATATCCCTTACCAGACTTCCCATACTGTTGTGGGGTAGATGAACGTCCAACCCAAGACTTGGATCCTTCCCTCAAATGGATTCCTGAATACTGATCAACCAACACCTTAGCAACTCCTTCAAAGTCCTTGGTGGTGGCACATGCTTTTACGACCAGTACCTCTTGCCGGCTCAGACCTGACAATTCAAGCATGAGCTCCATACGGAGTCCATCTGAAAGTGCCATGGAAGGATCAAGCTCGGTCAACACTCTCCACCATCTGCGTCTGCGTTGAGTATAACTCAGCATGGGTTCTTGGGGTTGTCGGAACAAAACTCCACCTGCTTTCTGCCCTGCTCTGAAGAGTTCTTTGGCTTCTTCTTGAGCTCTGGGAAAAACATGGGCCTTGATTCGTTCAACCAATCGTTCAAGACCTTCCTCTTGGGACAGAGTCTCCAAACCGAGATCTCTGGCAATGAGAAAGGCATCACCTCGAAGACCTTCTACGACCTTGTTGACTAAGACACTACGATCTCGACCCGTGTCATCCCCTTTAGGGCTTCGACTGGCAGAGGCTCCGGCTTCGTCATCTGGCCGGCCTGGGCGCGGATGGGGTGAAATCCCAGCATCAGCTTCAGAGTCCGGCCCAACGGGCTCGGCACTCCTTCCGGTTGGGGAGGATTCTACATCTTTCTTTGAATCAAACAGCTTTATTCGCAAAAGGGTCCGGAATTCCCAATCATGATAATGTGCTGCATCCCCATGGTATATGTATGATCCACTCTTGGTCTCTAGGGGCACAGTGGATCGGTCAGAACCAAACCTAAGTCCAGCTACTGACATTTCTACGATTCCTTTGCGATGGACTGCCTATACCCAAGGTCAGCCAATTGCAGGTCTGTCCCACAGGGATCAGACAATTTCGGCAGGAAAAGTTCCAAGAACAAATCCGATTCAAACTTCTACTATTTTCAATCCCTGGATCTGACACGTACCCGGAGACAGGTCGTCACCTGCTCCGCTACCAATGTGAATTGGCAACGGTATCGTGCAGTCCAACGCGGCTCTTTTTGCTAGTGGCGATAGCGATGTAGCTCAAGGGCCCTGATAGCCGAAATGGCAGCAGACACTACATGTGACAACCTGGCCTTTACATGGAGTATCACATACCACAAATTGACAATGGTGATTTTCCATAGCTACATTAAGATACCAAAAAATGGCAGCCAGCTGTTTTTGTGGATCAATTTGAATGTGGTCAAGGTTTTCCTTGTTTGGACGATAAAGCCAGTGCTACATTAGGGTATTCCAGCATCAGGATCCTCCATGTAAACTAGTTTCACTGACAACTTGCTTATGTATGAATGAATGAATGTATGTCTATGTACATGTATACATATATATATATATATATCTATGTATACACTGTGTATATATATATATGTGATTATATATGGACCATATGGATGTATATATAGTATGCGTATATCAGCTACTTCATGCACGATTGTCGTGGATGCGCATTTGCACAGGTCAAGAATATTATTCAATCACATCCTTTGAGTTCTACTGGGATGAGTCCCACTCACCATCAAAGAGTATCATGCACATATCCCTATCCAAAATATTGGAGAAACCATGCTTTCCCAAGAAAATAGGATGATTACACTATGAAGCATTCATGGTAGACTGTAATAGTTGCCGGAGAGTAAATCCCCATGTTGGCTTCTTAAATCTTCATTTTGGCTGGTCAAAACCTGTTTTTTTTTTTAAAACTTACATACCCATTTATAATATATGTATATATATATATATATATAATGTTGTATCCTGATTAGGATTAGTAGCTAAGTTCGCTATTGTGCCAAAAACACTATATCACTCTACATTATCTGTGTCATAATGTGTATATTCCATAATTATTAGTGTTGTTTTTTCCTTACCCATTCACCAACCAATATTCTGGTCAATTCTTTTTCCCCCACCCTGGCGGGCGCCGCCCATGGGTTGCCCAGAGCCCCGCCTTAGAACAGGTGGCCACGTCGTGCTGACTCTTTATCAAATGGGCCATCAAATCGCGAATGGCTCCAGCCTTGCCGACACCTGGCGTCGTAACCCTGGAATTGACTTTTTTTTTCTGTGAACTTTGTATCTTTAGTGATATAATTACACCTAAATGGGGTAGTCATATCTATTATCTGTTGTTCCATATGTTTCAATGGAGAATTTAAAGGGGTAACATCCATTAAAACAAACGGATGTTCGTGAATCATATCTGTTTTAGTGACATGTGGCAACAAACAAACGGATACGCTTCCCGTAACAATGGCAATCGTTTATACTTTAATGGTGCCATTAAGGCCAGATAATCCATTGAAATTCAAATAAATCCACCTGAGATCACTGATACATTGAGATGTTCAAAGCAAAAAATTGATGGGACCGCAATTGAGAACAGGCTTCCGAGTTCATGAGTAAAGTGAATCCCAACTAAACCACGCTTTGATTCAGAAACTCGCTCCATGAATCCCCTAACCCCCGTTAACAAAACCAGAACCCCTGATAGTTCATACATAATCAAATGGGATTTTGGTCATTGCTTACCTGAGATCTGTTTGCTCGGAGATTGGTGAATTTTCATGATTTTTCCACATGGCCAGCACCAAGCCGGGAAAGTGAGACATGTATTTTAGGTAGGGTAATAAGCAGGAGAAAGGATGATGTACTGTAAGGATCTGTAAGGGTGTGAACCACATGCAATCTAGGAGACTGTTCACAAAAAGGACAACAAAATTTGGGACGGTCCCATCGCTTACCACACGTGCAGCTACAAACATGATGGCAAAATTGGGAGGTTCTCTCGTGTAGGTGATATAACCTTCAGAGGGGGTATCGCTGGAAAGGTCCCATCACTTGCTCGTCCTGTTTGCAGAATTTCTGAAAACCAATGCCCGTCCCTTACAAGTGTCCTATTGAAGTTTTTGTGGTGGCTCAAACAAAGCGTTTTTTTCCAAACGACAAGAGCTGGGGTCAAGAGCTTTCCGCGGACTCCCGAGTAAAAGATCGTAGAAGGTAGTAAAGTATATATTACCTTCTACATCCTTCTACTATCTTCTACTCGGGCTTCCTCAATCCAGTAGATGTAGTCTGCGAAGCCGCTGAAGCGATCCATGGCCTCATCCAAATTGCGCCTTTCGAAGTCTTTACCATCTGGGCATCGGTGTTTCTCATAGAAGCACAGAATCGGTTTGTCAAGGATGAGTTGGCCCTCTCAAGGATCACTGTTGTCGTTGCCATAATCCACCTTGAGGCACTCATCAGGTGTGGCGACTTGTTGGGGTCTGTTGACATCAGGGTCGATCATATTGACCTGGCACTTGGGGGGGCTTCCACGTGGTCCTCATCGGCACCAGGTTTGGCTGAGATCTGCCATGTTTTTTCCTGCAAACCTGTCTTCAGCACATATCTCCACGTTTGTTCCGCGCAGTGCTTTTTGTTGTTCTTCATGTTTTGCAAGGTGCTCTCAAAGGTGCTGTCCCCGATCTCGGCCAAAGAAGTCGACATTTCCTGAGGATCCTTCTCTTCCCGGAACCATCCCTTCTGAATCCCTTCCTTAAGGATCCTTAAGGAAGGGATTCAGAAGGGATGGTTCCGGGAAGAGAAGGATCCTGTGGACATCTGGATTCTTTTCCAGGAAGTCCGAGCTCACTGGCTCGTTCTCTTTGGGCTTATGCTTCAATTTGTTGGTCCTGTCCAATGTACTCACCACAGACGTCGCCTTTCTTGGCGGTGTCAAACTGGGAGACCCATGGACCTGCTTGGGGCTCAGGACTGAGTCGCACATTTGTTCCCTGCTGCTGTTCTGCAGCACACAACGGATGGAAGGGCAGGTCCTGCCGTTCCATCCGCATGAGCGCCCACAGCAGCCCAGAATCTCTGCCTCAACTTGGCGAACGACTCTATCAGTGCAGGTCTCTTCAGAAGGCACTGCAGACCTGATATCACTGGTCATCTTGTAGATGTTCTTCAGGGTCTCGTTGACGATCTCTTTGCATTCATCCTGGCAAACATGGTGCAGCAACTTCTGGTGCTCTGTGGAAGCTGGAAATCCTTCTGTGACCAACAGGTCCAAGTAGCCCAATCCCTTGGTCGTGCTCCGAGAGCGCATTGGCTTCACGGAAGAGGGCTTTGAGAGGTGCCGAAATTGTTCAAGGTGCCGATGAAGACCTCCTGACAGACCTGCGGGGTCACCCCCAAATCCTTCTGGGCGAAGTTCTCGACCGTAGTCCCACAACCGTATGTCCAACATCTTCTCCGCGACGGCCGCGCAAAATCGCACGGCTGCCGCCTCCACCACCCTCGAGCGCTCCTGGGCTTTCTCCTGGCCACCGAGACATTTGCAGCGTCGGGTTGGCAGCTGCAAGGCGAAAAGAAAGCAGCGTGTCTCCGTCGGCATCTTTGACTTCCTCAACATCCCGCGGCTGCGGCGAAGTATAATTTCCCCGCAGCCGTGGGATGGATATAAATTGCGGAGACAATAACACCTCTCTTCACTCGAAACTCCCCAAATGTGCAGCCCTGGACGAGCCGCTTGCACGGCATTCAGGGCCAAAACAAAAAGGGTAATGAAACAACGAAGGCGCTTCCCGCAGCACATTGCAACGGGTGGAAAGGAGGCTTATGAGAGAGAACCGGGCGCGTTTCAGAGAATCGGGCGCTTGAGTTCGAACAAAACAGGAAACAATATGCTATGCCGAATTGTCAAGTTGCAAGAGTTCAACACAAGCATTCTCTGTGGATTCTGGATGTTCGGAACTTCTCAAGTTTCACGGATTCTCGTCAACAATGTAACAATTTGTGCAAATGTGGAAATGCGCAGATCAATGGGTCGGTCATTTGCAGCATCACAGACCGGAACGTTCCCTTACCAATCTGGAGAATTCCAAAGACAAAAAACACTCATTCAGTTCACATGGCAAAGGGACTTTTCCCTCACTCTAAATGTTCAGACTATGTTCCAACCATGTTTCACTTGGGGGTTCAATGTAGTTAGAAGCGTTTGGTTTGTTGGGGCATGCTGGGGCTAATTATGGGGGTTACCATAACTTGGCTGCTCGTGACCACACAAACCCGAGGCCCTCGGCACCTGTGGCTGCTCCCTCCTGCAGGGATCGTCATCACTTACGGAACATCCCCTTTGGTAATTTAACAAGATGGAAAACTAATTATATATCCCTCTGGAAAATGCTATCTTAAATATGTGGAAAACCACAATTTTTATCCATGTTTGGTAAACTACAGTATCTACAGTACCTATCAATGGACGACTTTCCACTGGGATCGCTTAAACATGTCTCATTCACGACGAGCCCCTTTCAGACACGTGAGTCGTAAGTTTCTCAATCGAATTCAAAGTTTTGTTGTTGTGTTCCCCCAATGCTATACAGTTATAACTGTTATGGCCATTTATCAGTTATAACTGGTTATAAATGGGATTATACATTCTATAAATGGGCTTTTCTACCAGTACTTTTAACTGGTATAACTCGGGCCATAACTGCAGACCATCCCATCAACACTGGGGCTCATTTTAAATCATCCCATTGCAAGGAGTATAGCCACCTTATTCCACGTCGACCTCGTTGGAGATCTGAGATATGCGCTAAATGTGTCCCTTCCGAAGGTGAGACCACTTGCCACATGTTGGACATGTGTTTGCATGATAATAACATGTGTATACAATTATATATATACGCGGTATATACATATATATATACATATATATACATAAAAGCATATGAATCCCCACCATCAGTACAAAAAAATAGCATCGTCTTCGGATCCATTCATATAAACCTCCACAAGGATCATAACACTAGATTGCTTTGTTTTTTAAAAAAAAAAAAACATAGTCTAAGTCCCCAATACATCAAACAAGTAGAAAACACACATAACATACAATATAATATATGTACACTGATATATACTCTACATACTGATATATACTGCTACATACTGATATATTATATATATATATATTGCATTACATTGCTATAATATTGCTATAATATGCTATAATGCTATAGAACAATGGTGGAACTTATGTAGGTCACATCCAGCCGTTGGAGCTGACCTCGATGGGCGCCGGCGTTGGCGCAAAGGCCGGAGCGTCCTGGCGGGATGTCTACCGGTGGGATTTTAGGGTGGTGCCAACCCATAGGATCCATGTATGGTATATATGCTAAATGACTGGGTTATATTGGTGGGATCCATGTTGCCATATATAGCAGCACCATGGATCCTATGGGCAATGGGATATGCATTGAATAAAAATGACATGATCCAGTTTTTTTGGCATTGTGAACTATTGGATGTAATTGGATAAACTTATTTTCCAGAAGTATTGAATATGCTTATTTGATCTTAGTTGGATAACGAATTGGATTATTAACTGGGACTATGAATTGGGACAATGAATTGGGACTAAATGGATAATAACAAACTTAGATAACTAATGGGATACTCTCGGGTAATCAAACATGGCTGGCTGGATTTCTCCAATCAATAGCCATTAAAATGGGAAAGTAATCTAAATTGGTGATTTTCCAGCCAGCCATGCTTGATTACCGAAGCATATTAAAGGCAGTCAGTGAATCTAAGCATTCAACTGGGATAGTTGGGATGATTCAGTCAGACTTCCTTGGATATACATGAGGAGCCGCAAATAGGTCAACTAATCAAATAGATAAAATAGATCAAATGCCAACCAGGCAGTTCTAATGTGTACCCCTTTCCAACTGGGACATGGGATGCCAGGCAGTTAACTCATGAGTCATCCTAATGAGGTCCAAACCCATCTGAATCCATGGTGCAATGGCCTCACCAATTGGATTTCATAGGACTTAGTGAAAAATCATGGGAATTCATGGGAGTTCATCAAATTTCATACAATTTTCTGGATGTTATCCGAATTCTTGATTTCAATCCGCTCATCTTTGGGCCTCGCAATCCCGGTATCCAGGTCATCAGATGCACGACATCTCTGACTTCGTTGCGTGCCCTACCGTGTCTTCTGCTGATCAACCCACATGTTGTATTGTGTTTTGATGATGTAAACTCAATTTCTGATCAGGAATCCCTATTTATGATTCGTGCATCCGAAAGAATATCCACTTGCTTCATGGCCAATTTGTATGTTCTTTCCTAAACATTAAATTTATTTCATCCCAATGTTTGATGACACCGAGCTGGGTAAAACAACAACACCATTCGCCCGCCAGCGAGCGAAGCCGGCACCTGCGTTCCCATGGCTCCAGCAGCGAACCTTCCAACACCAGAGGTGGCTGTGAAAGTTGGGCATACTATACTGATAGAGTTGATGAATAATCACTAATAGATGATTCATACCTTTTATCATGAGATAGTTGATGACTGATACTGATGAATAATGGTTACCCTCCAGCAAATTAACATAGACCCTGCCATTTTTTGAGGGGGTTGGAAGATGAGTTTCCACTAAAAAAATGTTATCTTATGATATGTTCAAGGTCTATGTAATGATCCAATCAAATTCGGAGGTCCATTTTCAGATAACCACCCAAATATATTACTGGTTGGTAGATGAATTGTAATGGACAAATAATGCAATACACCCAAAATCACAAACCCATAAACCATCCCCATACCATTCCCCGACTTGCCAACACTGCGTAGGATGAAAACCATCACCTCGTGGATGTTTATTCTTGGGTTTGCCGTACGGATAGTTTACCAAATTGGTGACGCAACAAAAAAGTATGCCGACAGTATGCGCAAGAATATACAACTTCCAGTTGTACCCATTGTCAAACGGGGTCATGTGCACATTGTTTTGGCTACTTGGATGGTATACTCATCTTTGTATCCAAATTGTTTTTTTCCCAAGCGAACCTGTCGGTCAGCCTTGCATGATATCCACAGAGGCACCATCTATTCATCCCATGGGCAACTGAGTTGCCGAACAGCCTCCCATTCAATGAATCCAGCTGGAATCAAGCACTTTCCACCAAGGAGCCTTGATTCCATCTCAAAGAGTCTGGCTTGGAGCTCCTTGTTCTTCATTTGTTCTTCCTGGCAAAGGCTGATAGCAAAATAATTGTCCATCCTTGCCATCTGTGACCCTGATGCAAATGTTAATATTCATATACAAATAAAGAGCGTATCAAAGAAAATCTACACAAAGGGCCCGCAAGAATCCCACATCAATATGTGGATATCTATATATATATATATATGTATATATATATATACAGTATATACATATATAAAGATATATTATTGTTTTTATAGACATACATATATACATACATTTACATTACATTACATTACATTGCATGACATGACGTTACATTACATAACATGACATGACATGACATTACACTACATTACATTACATACAATACAATACAATACACTACAATACAATACAATTCAATGCAATACAATACAATACACTACAATACAATACAATACACTACAATACAATACAATACATACACACATTAATTACATTACATTACATCACATGACATTACATTAACATTACATTAACATTACATTACATTACATTACATTACATAAATACATATATATATATATATACGTATATATATGTCATACATATATATATATATATATACCCAGATACGTTGGGTTCACGTAAGAATGCAGTAAATCACTAGTATGTCCGGAAAGTAAAAGTTTTATCTGCGTAAAAATACAATTTCGAAGTATACCGGTATGCCGTAATTCTGGACGAACCCGGACTTGTATCAGGTTCTTTGCAATGGTCCTCATTGTGTACATGCAAGAATATCTACATTCAAAACAATGGTCTCAAAATCCAGGCAGCTTAATCTCATGAATATCCCTTGCTCTACACGTCTGGAAAATCCGCACCAACTAGCAAGGGATCAGTCCTGCAGCGCTTGGTTCTTGGCGGCCTCCAATTGTGATAGCCTCAGGGACAATGCTAGATGGAGTGGGCACGTGAATCGCCTGATCGATGCTGTGTTGATGCTATTTGATTCCCTGAAAAGGGGGAGGGCTGAAATGCCTGAACTATACCTGGACAACCATGTGCCATTGGCATTGCCTGCCTCACAAACCCTTTCCTGAATCATCACAGGCAGCGTAAAATGTCGAATTCAAGACCTCTATATACAGGTCTTTACGTTAAGCACCATCAGCACTCATTGGCCGCAACATGCCGCAATCAAAGCAACATACTGTAAAATCTGTAAATATTTTTTTCCCCTGAATTTCCCCTAAACTTCCCCAGTAGCTGAAAACACAAGTGCGCAGAAGTAATCGTATAGAGACATGATGACACATGATCCCATATAATTTATAATACTTCCCACCAAGGAGCTTTGATTCCATCTCGGACAGTTTGGTTTGCAGCTCGTTGTTCTCCTGTGGCCTTCCCTCCTTGCCACGTTCCCGTGATGCAAGCAAATCGAGAAAAACAGTGGCCTAGCAGTGCCAAGCAAAAAAAACGTAGCGAAAGATGAACAAGTCTAGAACAAAATCAAACATGATTCGTCAATTTGTGGGGTTCTGTGCAATGGCCTTCATCTTGTAGATGCAAACAACACTCTGCATTCATCTGCATTCCAAACAAAAAACTGAATCCAGCAGCGTAACCTTCTGAATGTGCAGCATTGTGATATCATTGTGCTTAATGCACAAGAAACCGACAATTGCAAGCCACCACCCCCTTTATCATCCATATATTGGTCAGTCCTGCAGTACTTGCGCCAGCCTAGGGGACAATAGTAGATGGACTGGGTGGATGAATGCTGGATCCACTTAGTCTCTGATCGATGCTATATTTACCTGGAAAGCCATAATCCCATTTTTTTTTGGTCAAACGGCCTTGACCATTTTTTTTTGGTCATTACGGCTTTGATCGTCTGGAGCCACTTCTGTGAGAGTTGCTACGGCTTTTTACGGCCTTTTTTCAACAAAATGTCGAAAAAGTACGGTTTTGCTACGGGTAGGCTTGTGTGAGAGCTGCTACGGTTTTTTACGGCTTTGTTTCAACAAAATGTTGAAAAATACGGTTTTGCTACGGGTAGGACTGCAATGTTCTTTTGATTTGAACATTTTTTTTGGTCATTACGGGTAAAAACAATATTTTACAAAAAAAAAAAGAAGTTCATTACGGCTTTTTCCCATAATGACCAGAAAATTTTGTGTTTTTGGCTTTCCAGGTATATATACATATATATATATATATCGATGTATATCGATGTTATTTCATACCCTGAAAAAGCAGAGGGGGGTGGAATGCCCGAACTGCAGCTGGACATTCATGTGTCATTGGCTGCGTCAGAAACCCTTTTCATGAATCATCACAGACAGCCTAAGTTTTCAAAATCAAGAGCACTCTACTGCCGCCCCACTGCCCTACACAACCACAATGGTTACTCACTGGCCGCAGCAAAAACAGCATTTAAAACTTCCCCAGTAGCTGAAAACACAAGTCAGCTCAAAACACCAAGGAGCTTTGATTCCATCTCGGACAGTTTGGCTTGGAGCGCGTTGTTCTTCATTTGCTCTTCCTGTGGTTTTCACTCAGAAGGGACATGAAGGGTCCATATTGCTCACTGGATCCCATATACTGCTTATATATACCACTTGCGTTCCCTGCTTGCCACATGCCGATGTTGCAAAAACATCAAGAGAAAACTGATAGCAGAACATATCAGCAGTGAAAAATAGTGAAAGCTGAACAAGTCTGGGACACACATGATTCATTATTCGTCAATTTGTGGGGGTTCTGTGCAATGGCCTTCATCTTGTAGAAGCAAACAACACTCTGCATTCATCTGCATTCCAAACAAAAAAACTGAATCCAGCAGCGTGACCTTCTGAATGTGCAGCATTGTGATATCATTGTGCTTAATGCACAAGAAGCCGACAATTGCAAGCCACCACCCCCTTTATCACCCATATATCGGTCAGTCCTGCAGTACTTGCGCCAGCCTAGGGGACAATAGTAGATGGACTGGGTGCATGAATGCTGGATCCACTTAGTCTCTGATCGATATATATATATATATATATATAATATATATATATATACATACATATATATATATATATATATCGATGTATATCGATGTTATTTCATACCCTGAAAAAGCAGAGGGGGGTGGAATGCCCGAACTGCAGCTGGACATTCATGTGTCATTGGCTGCGTCAGAAACCCTTTTCATGAATCATCACAGACAGCCTAAGTTTTCAAAATCAAGAGCACTCTACTGCCGCCCCACTGCCCTACACAACCACAATGGTTACTCACTGGCCGCAGCAAAAACAGCATTTAAAACTTCCCCAGTAGCTGAAAAAACAAGTCAGCTCAAAACACCAAGGAGCTTTGATTCCATCTCGGACAGTTTGGCTTGGAGCGCGTTGTTCTTCATTTGCTCTTCCTGTGATTTTCACTCACAAGGGACATGAAGGGACCACATTGCTCACTGGCTCCCATATACTTATAACTTATACCACTTGCGTTCCCTGCTTGCCAGATGCCTATGTTGCAAAAACATCAAGAGAAAACTGATAGGAGAACATATCAGCAGTGAAAGATAGTGAAAGCTGAACAAGTCTGGGACACACATGATTCAATATTCGTCAATTTGTGGGGTTCTGTGCAATGGCCTTCATCTTGTAGATGCAAACAACACTCTGCATTCATCTGCATTCCAAAAAAAAAAATTGAATCCAGCAGCGTAACCTTCTGAATGTGCAGCATTGTGATATCATTGTGCTTAATGCACAAGAAGCCGACAATTGCAAGCCACCACCCCCTTTATCACCCATATATCGGTCAGTCCTGTTGTACTTGCGCCAGCCTAGGGGACAATAGTAGATGGACTGGGTGCATGAATGCTGGATCCACTTAGTCTCTGATCGATATATATATATATATATAATATATATATATATACATACATATATATATATATACATATATATATATATATCGATGTTATTTCATACCCTGAAAAAGCAGAGGGGGTTGGAATGCCCGAACTGTAGCTGGACATTCATGTGTCATTGGCTGCGTCAGAAACCCATTTCATGAATCATCACAGACAGCCTAAGTTTTCAAAATCAAGAGCACTCTACTGCCGCCCCACTGCCCTACACAACCACAATGGTTACTCACTGGCCGCAGCAAAAACAGCATTTAAAACTTCCCCAGTAGCTGAAAACACAAGTCAGCTCAAAACACCAAGGAGCTTTGATTCCATCTCGGACAGTTTGGCTTGGAGCGCGTTGTTCTTCATTTGCTCTTCCTGTGGTTTTCACTCAGAAGGGACATGAAGGGTCCATATTGCTCACTGGATCCCATATACTGCTTATATATACCACTTGCGTTCCCTGCTTGCCACATGCCGATGTTGCAAAAACATCAAGAGAAAACTGATAGCAGAACATATCAGCAGTGAAAAATAGTGAAAGCTGAACAAGTCTGGGACACACATGATTCATTATTCGTCAATTTGTGGGGGTTCTGTGCAATGGCCTTCATCTTGTAGATGCAAACAACACTCTGCATTCATCTGCATTCCAAACAAAAGAATTGAATCCAGCAGCGTGACCTTCTGAATGTGCAGCATTGTGATATCATTGTGCTTAATGCACAAGAAGCCGACAATTGCAAGCCACCACCACCCCTTCCCATAATCCTATACAGGGGACAGTCCTGCTGTATTTGGTTCTTGGCAGCCTCCGATTGCGCCAGCCTAGGGGGCTACCACAATTTTTTTCATGCGGATTTCAAGCAACCAATGAAAAAATGTCAACGTTGGTTTCCGTTCGTCAACGTCGTCACCAACGACGACAAGATCAAGCCATCAGTCGTATCAGCAAACTGTCTCCATTTTTGATGCTAGAAGGGACAGGCTTTTGCAGTGACGACTTCCCAACCATTGAAAAAAACAAATGGGAAATCAAATATAGCATTCTCCAGGATACAACAATAAAATCGGACTAAAGTTCCCCCAAAATACTGACAATATAGTAGGGGGGCGCACTGTAACCAAATCCATTGAAACACAACGTCTTGTTGACTTAAACTCCGTTGCAACACCATTTTGGGTCAATCGGGTTATCAATTCAATTCCCTGGATTGAGCTAGTCGCCATACCATAACTCTAAGCAATGAAATTGTATTCATATCCATACGGATCCCTTTATGGAGTAAACACAACATCACTCTGATTCTAAAAAACAGCTACGAAAAATTACCATTTCCAAGATGATTCATGGTGATTTACCTTAAGAATAAAAGGTAAAAATGTTCATAGCAAACTTAGCAAACTGCTCGATGACCAGAGGGTATACCTACCAAAATCCAGCTTGACGGCGGCCAAGAAACCTGGACTCCATATCCAGGAGCTTCATGTTGGTGCCCTCTGTGTCCTTCAAGGCACTTGCGGCGTGAGAAGCTCCAAAAAATTGCCCTTTGGTGAAAATCCAAGATGGGGTAGTGGGAAGTCCCCTAAGAACAGGAATGATGAATGGGAAAATCATCTACCATCTGGTTATGACTAACAGTTTGCCATGGAAATATCCACCATGCTATTAATAGGTAAACCATCTATTTGAATCTATTTCTATGGGCCATCTATACCATGGCTATGTTAAGTAACCAGAGGGTATAATAAAGAAGTATCATTCGGTATCTATAGATTGGGAATCTTCCGTTGCAGGTATCTATAGATCGCCGGAGGGTGATCAATTTACGTAAAAAAAATCCTGTCCCAGGTCCCATGCCTCCAATATGAAATACGTGAAATACCCATCATATGCCCCCCAAAATGACAATTAGAATGGGCTTCATCCACCCATGTTCAGCCAACAACTCAGGATCCTTGTGGATAGCTTTTAACAAATAGTCTGGGCAAATGATCATAAATCATAGTTCCCAAAATGGACAGGTGAGGTTAGGTCAATGAATTCCACTTCTATTATAAATCATTATAAATCCAGAGTTTGGGAAATTGGGAACCCCCTAAAAGGGGAACTGATGATCACCAGTCACCAACCACAGTGGTATGCCAAGTCCGTTCAGAACTGCCTCTGAAAATACGGTCCCATAAGAGCGGCCCAAATAGGACTAGAAATAGGACGTTAGAGCCGAGTGTTTAGTATCACAACATATCAAACAGTTGAATTTGGTGCTTAGGATACTAGACACTGATGGGTGACATACTTCAGTTTTGATCAACATGACCCAACAGGATCATATCATGCAACAAATCTCCTCCTGTTTCTTCTCTTCAGGCTTTGGCAATTCCTTTTGCCATGCACCATGGACTCAGAGTCTGGAAAATGTGGACCAGTCCAATTTTGTTCCACCATTTTCTACCATCTTCCACCCAATTTTAGATTCGGAAGGAACCAGGAATCAGTAGGAAGTAGAGATTTGACACGGATGAGGGTGTTTTGTCGAGGGGTCATGATGCTTGATGGTTGTTGGCTTAAACCAGACACCAGAAACACCCTGGCACATTATACAAGATCATAAAATATGAAATATCGTACCATGAAATTAAACCAAACAAAAACAACACACAAATAAAAAACACACACCCCTTCTATTTGGCAAACACCTCAAATTCATTAGACAACAAATCGTTAAAAAATGCCGACTGATCGCTCCCGTTCCACATGACCGTGTAGTTAGCTCCTGGGCTAGTTTCACCATCCTGGGGGTTTTCCAATGTTACCCACATACCATCAGTGAACGCACCCACCCGGAGAAAAATATGAAACGTGTATTTAAAGAAACATAATTAAAATGGACATGCGTGATATCGACTAGTTTCTTGACTATCGTTTCTCTTTGATAATCTGGACATATCGAAGGCGTCAACTTCGTTATCGCCAAAAGCGGGGTTCCCCAATCACCCAACAAACTATGACCCAATGAGGCCAATGGGATTCACCAAACTGACTGGAAGAATCACCAGGGGAAAAATAGCACACAAAAATAACCAGAAAAGACAAACAAACTGGAATGTCACCAGTTTTTAGTATGATTGTGTTATTTTTTTTTGGTTGTTTCTTTATTTTTTGTTCAGGTTTTGGTTCTCTGGTTTGTTTTTCTGTTTGCTCTGATTTTGTTTCTTTGTTTTCTTTTTCCCCACCTGCCAGGTGAGGGTTGTTAGATTTTTATCAGAGTTGTTCTTCTCCTCCTCCTCCTTCTCCTCCACCACCTCTGCCTCCACTTCCATGTCCACCAACTCTTCGCCAAGCTCTTCGCCAACTTCCACACGCAGTGAGCCCTGCTGGACCTCAACTGCAAGGGTCTGAGCGAAAGCTGGACCTCAACCTGGGACCTTCCGAGCTCAGTGAGCACCGCTGGACCTCAACCTGGGACCCTCTAGGACCCTCCGAGCTCAGTGAGCACCGCTGGCCCTCAACGGCCAGATAGAATGCCAGAAGATATGCCAGATAGAACGCCAGATAGAATGTCAGAAAGAATGCCAGAAGATATGCCAGATAAAGTGCCAGAATGTTTGCCAGATAGAATGCCAGAAGATATGCCAGATAGAATACCAGAAGGTATGCCAGATAGAATGTCAGATAGAATGCCAGAAGGTATGCCAGATAAAGTGCCAGAATGTTTGCCAGATAGAACGCCAGAAGATTTGCCAGATAGAATGCCAGATAGAATGTCAGAAGAAAAGCCAGAAGATATGCCAGATAGAGTGCCAGAAGATATGCCAGAAGATATGCCAGGTAGAATGCCAGAAGATATGCCAGATAGAATGCCAGAAGATATGCCAGATAAAATGCCAGAAGATATGCCAGATAGAATGCCAGAAGGTATGCCAGATAGAATGTCAGATAGAATGCCAGAAGGTATGCCAGATAAAGTGCCAGAATGTTTGCCAGATAGAACGCCAGAAGATTTTCCAGATAGAATGCCAGATAGAATGTCAGAAGATATGCCAGAAGATATGCCAGATAGAGTCTAGAGTGCCAGAACATATTGCAGAAGATATGCCAGGTAGAATGCCAGAAGATTTGCCAGTAACAAAACGTATAGATGTCATGGTGGGGATAACTCGAAGTAAAGTATATAATTGTGGACTCATTCTCCGTGTTGTTGGACTCATAAACCTATATTTAATGGAATCAAAGAACAGGGATCGATTTGAGGTCCAAAGGAAACTGTAGTATTTATGAAAGATAATTTACTCGTATAATATAGCATTTCATCTTTGTTGACATTCCCCTTGATGTGTCCAATTCCCCAATCTTGCCCGGGGAATTTTGACAAGCGAGAAGTACAAGAAGTGACCAACAGCTGCACATCGCATCACCCAACAAACTATGACCCAATAAGTCTCCTCCGGCTTCTGTTCCTCTTCTGGCTTTGAGGCCTCCAAATGCAGTCAAGCACAACCAGCTTGCAACGCTTCAAAGGTGTTTACATTTGGGAAACATCAGTGGGATGTTCAACTTTTTTCCATATAGATATGGATGGTTTGTTGTGAGAACATTAATGACAGATCATGGTTTGTTGCCTAAAACATCCTAAGACCAAGAACCCAATAACAGCATGTTTCTGAAACATCATATCAAACCCACCTAGAGTCACTCCAAAAACAAAAGAACAGGTCAAGTGCACCCCAACAGAAATACACAGGAAAAGCGCAGTAGATACTGCCGAGGTTGGGACTTAATATTTGCTGTTAAATCGACCATCGGAAGGTCTACCCCACTTTATAGATTCCAATCTATAGTGGGGATGTCAAGGAATAAATCCAATGGATGGAAAACTGGCAAACATGACAAACATGTGTTTCACAGCACAACATCCGACCTCTTCTGGTGAGAAGCTGTCGTTCTCCTGTCGGGCGACTGTCTGCGCAGTTTGAACTAGATTGTATTTACGGATCCTCCCGCTTACATTGGGTGTGTCCCAAGTGACATAGATTGAATCAAATATCAGCAATCACTGCAACCAAGCGAGCCATCTCTTGTTGGATTTACCTGGTCTACCTCCTGATGGAAAAATCTGACCGCATAATGCATACCGTTGGTTTTTGTTGGTTACGCACTTATATAGACTTAGTGGAAGTTGTAACCAGCAGAGCAATGGATAAACAAATCACATGTACAGTATACTGACAAATAATCCGATAAACAAAGCTAGACCAGAAAGCAACAGCAGGGAACAATATACTTCATGGAATCAAAGAACAGGGATCGATTTGAGGTCCAGAGGAAACTGTAGTATTTATGAAATATAATTTACTCGTATCATATAGCATTTCATCTTTGTTGACGTTCCCCTTGATGTCTCCAATTCCCCAATCTTGCCCGGGGAGTTTTGACAAGCGAGAAGTACAAGACGTGACCAACAGCTGCACATCGCATCACCCAACAAACTATGACCCAATATCCTTACCCCTATAGAGGGGGAGGGCGGGAGGGGGACAAAACCAACCTGTCGAATTCCACTTTTTTTTGCTTGGAAACCCTGGGATAGTGATCCAACCCCTCGAATGGAATTGTAAAGTAACATTTCTTAACAAGCCTTGGGCACTGGTTAGAAAATACTTGCGCTTAGCTCCGGAGGAGCTAAGCGCATGTATGATCACGGCAGCGCAATTTTTGGAGGGATGCCATCCCTACACATGTGCTGCTTCAGTCTGACATGTGCTTAGCTCCTCCGGAGCAAAGCGCAAGTATTTAATTTTCACCTGCTTGCCAATGACATGGAATGATGAGGAATATTGATCATTGAGAAAACATGATTGCAAAAATGGCATTTTAAAATGAAATTTCAGTACGACTCCCCCCCCCAAAAAAAAAACATTTTAAGAGGGTAGGGATGAGCCAATAAGTCTCCTCCGGCTTCTGTTCCTCTTCTGGCTTTGAGGCCTCCAGATCCAGTCAAGCACAACCAGCTTGCAACGCTTCAAAGGTGTTTGTATTTGGAAAACATCAGTGGGATGTTCAACTTTTTTCCATATGGATATGGATGGTTTGTTGTGAGAACATTAGTGACAGATCATGGTTTGTTGCCTAAAACATCCTAAGACCAAGAACCCAATAACAGCATGTTTCTGAAACATCATATCAAACCCACCTAGAGTCACTCCAAAAACAAGAACACAACACACCCTGGTAGATTGTCACAGGCACCTCAACTGAAATACCCAGTGGGTACCACAACAGAAATACAAAGCGCAGTAGATACTGCCGAGGTTGGGACTTAATATTTATTGTTGTTTCAACCATCGGAAGGTCTACCCCACTTAATAGATTCCAATCTATAGTGGGGATGTCAAGGAATAAATCCAATGGATGGAAAACTGGCAAACATGACAAGCATGTGTTTCACAGCAAAACATCCGACCTCTTCTGGTGAGAAGCTGTCGTTCTCCTGTCGGGCGACCGTCTGCGCAGTTTGAACTACTAGATAGTAACTAGATAGTAACTAGATAGTAACTAGATAGTAACTAGATAGTATTTACGGATCCTCTCACCGGCCCAAACTTGGAACAAAAGATCAGGTGTGTAAACAGATGCAAGGAGGTACATTGGGTGTGTCCCAAATGACATAGATTGAATCAAATATCATCAAACACTGCAACCAAGCGAACCATCTCTTGTTGGATTTCCCGGTCGGGACAGTGGGGTGGGGGTAAGATACCAAAAGGTATGCAATATTGAAATTGTGTACCTACAAGTATGGACAGAAAATATGATTGCATACCGATGGAAGTTTGCTTTTGGTTGCTGTATCCACCTAGTGGAAGCACCTGTAACCAGCAGAGCAATGGATATGTAATCAAATCATATCACATTTATAGTGACAGATCAGCCAAAAAACAAAGCTGGAGCAGAAAGCAATAGTGCAGTGCAATATATGTCATGGAATCAAAGAACAGGGATCGATTTGAGGTCCAGAGGAAACTGTAGTATTTATGAAATATAATTTACTCGTATAATATAGCATTTCATCTTTGTTGAAGTTCCCCTTGATGTCTCCGATTCCCCAATCTTGACCGGGGAATTTTGACAAGCGAGAAGTACAAGAAGTGACCAACAGCTGCACATCGCATCACCCAACAAACTATGACCCAATAAGTCTCCTCCGGCTTCTGTTCCTCTTCTGGCTTTGAGGCCTCCAAATGCAGTCAAGCACAACCAGCTTGCAACGCTTCAAAGGTGTTTACATTTGGGAAACATCAGTGGGATGTTCAACTTTTTTCCATATGGATATGGATGGTTTGTTGTGAGAACATTAATGACGGATCATGGTTTGTTGCCTAAAACATCCTGAGACCAAGAACCCAATAACAGCATGTTTCTGAAACATCATATCAAACCCACCTAGAGTCACTCCAAAAACAAGAACACAACACACCCTGGTAGATTGTCACAGGCACCTCAACTGAAATACCCAGTGGGTACCACAACAGAAATAGAAAGCGCAGTAGATACTGCCGAGGTTGGGACTTAATATTTGCTGTTAAATCGACCATCGGAAGGTCTACCCCACTTAATAGATTCTAATCTATAGTGGGGATGTCAAGGAATAAATCCAATGGATGGAAAACTGGCAAACATGACAAGCATGTGTTTCACAGCAAAACATCCGACCTCTTCTGGTGAGAAGCTGTCGTTCTCCTGTCGGGCGACCGTCTGCGCAGTTTGAACTAGATAGTAACTAGATAGTAACTAGATCGTACCTAGATAGTAACTAGATAGTAACTAGATAGTAACTAGATAGTAACTAGATAGTATTTACGGATCCTCTCACCGGCCCAAACTTGGAACAAAAGATCAGGTGTGTAAACCGATGCAAGGAGGTACATTGGGTGTGTCCCAAATGACATAGATTGAATCAAATATCATCAAACACTGCAACCAAGCGAACCATCTCTTGTTGGATTTCCCGGTCGGGACAGTGGGGTGGGGGTAAGATACCAAAAGGTATGCAATATTGAAATTGATTGAAATTGTGTACCTACAAGTACGGACAGAAAATATGATTGCATACCGATGGAAGTTTGCTTTTGGTTGCTGTATCCACCTAGGGGAAGCACCTGTAATAAGCAAAGCAATGGATATACTTAGTATATATAATATATATATATATATACACACAACCAAAACATATCACATTTATAGTGACAGATCAGCCAAAAAACAAAGCTGGAGCAGAAAGCAATAGTGCAGTGCAATATATGTCATGGAATCAAAGAACAGGGATCGATTTGAGGTCCAGAGGAAACTGTAGTATTTATGAAATATAATTTACTCGTATAATATAGCATTTCATCTTTGTTGACATTCCCCTTGATGTCTCCGATTCCCCAATCTTGACCGGGGAATTTTGACAAGCGAGAAGTACAAGAAGTGACCAACAGCTGCACATCGCATCACCCAACAAACTATGACCCAATAAGTCTCCTCCGGCTTCTGTTCCTCTTCTGGCTTTGAGGCCTCCAAATGCAGTCAAGCACAACCAGCTTGCAACGCTTCAAATGTGTTTATATTTGGAAAACATCAGTGGGATGTTCAACTTTTTTCCATATGTATATGGATGGTTTGTTGTGAGAACATTAATGACGGATCATGGTTTGCTGCCTAAAACATCCTAAGACCAAGAACCCAATAACAGCATGTTTCTGAAACATCATATCAAACCCACCTAGAGTCACTCCAAAAAACACCCTGGTAGATTGTCAAAGGCACCTCAACTGAAATACCCAGTGAGTACCACAACAGAAATACGGAAGGAAAAGTGCAACGTACAGCAGATACTGCCGAGGTTAGGACCTAATATTTACTGTTAAATCGACCATCGGAAGGTCTACCCCACTTAATAGATTCCAATCTATAGTGGGGATGTCAAGGAATAAATCATAATAAATCCAATGGATGGAAAACTGGCAAACATGACAAGCATGTGTTTCACAGCAAACCATCCAACCTCTTCTGGTGAGAAGCTGTTGTTCTCCTGTCGGCGACTGTCTGCGCAGTTTGAACTAGATAGTGTCTACGAATCATCCCACCGGCACAGTGGGCGTGTCCCAAATGATATAGATTGAATCAAATATCATCAAACACTACAACTAAGCGAACCATCTCTTGTTGGATTTCCCTGGTCTGGACGGTCGAGGGGGGGTTAAGATACTAAGAGGATCTAAGAGGTATGAAGTATATGAAGTTTCGACAATGTGTATCTACAAGTACGGACAGAAAATCTGATGCATACCGATGGAAGTTTGCTTTTGGTTGCTGTATCCACTTAGTGGAAGCACCTGTAACCAGCAGAGCAATGGATATGTAATCAAATCATACCAGGTTTATAGTGACAGATCAGCCAAGAAACAAAGCTAGAGCAGAAAGCAATAGTGGAGAACCATATATTTCATGGAATCAAAGAACAGGGATCGATTTGAAGTCTAGAATGAACTGTAGTATTCAATATTATTGAATCGTATTATATATATATAGACTGTATTTGATGTTTGTTGACGTTGCCCAAACGTTGTCCCCAAGTGACGTTTTGAGATCTAAAATGGATGGCTGGGGGATCATGATGGATGTTCTGCCAATGGCATCACACCAAGCTCAAGTCATGAGAAATATATATATATATAACAATATTTATATATATATATATATATCATACACATCATATATATATATATATTTTTTTTAAGTATATATATAATTATATATATATGATATGTATGATATATAAATATATTGTTATGTATATATATATATAGATTTGCCATATGGGATAGCAAGATATAACAAGACCCGCTCTCAGATGCCAGAAACACTGAATTGTTGACCGTCGCCTGGTGAGTTTCACATGTTTCACAAAGGACATGAACAGTTCAGTTAGCTACTGCCCGGCTTTGGACTCATTCCATGCAAATTGATTTGACTGTGCAAGGCCTCTTCGGCTTCAAAGAATTCATTCTCCTGTGAGGTTGTCCGCTCTGCCAGAAAAACATTGGAATCCCAAATTGATCAATCGAACCCTCCCTGGATTTCCATGGTTACAGGCATCTATCTAGCATTGTCGAGCTTTACCATCTCAGTCATTGAAAATTGGGGAATCAAAAGGTATGCCCTCTGAGTTCAAACATTATTTATCTTACCTACATATAGAAAAACCTGACCGGGGAGGGGGTCAGCTATCTTTTGCTCATCCACTTTGCAAGAATCTGTCACCAGAACAAGCAATGATAGTGAACCATAGTCATGATAGTGGCGATAGTGTACGATAGTGACAGTGACATTGGCGGGTTTCTGATTGAAAATCTGGACATTTCTGCAGCCATGAAAGTACGGTAACTACATCGTCCCTGAACAAAACCATCTGTGCAAATCCCGCACTCTTTGGGATGGGCTGTCTAAAAAACGATTCAAGAAACACAAGAAAGAAGCTTGCCGATTGCATGTCGATGAAGTACATGAAAAAGCAAAAAAATCTCGAACAATTCCCATGACACGACTAAGCTAAGCTGGGACAAGAGCAAGAATAACATATCATATAATATGTTTACAGTAGCAGCTTTCGACTTTGCACAAGGCGTGCCAGCACCCATGTTTATCTCCTCCGGCTTCTTCTCTTCAGGCTTTGGCGCCTCGTGATTCTGCAGAAAGGGATCCACTGTTACCAGTGTTGGATCTGGAAAGAACCGTGATATTGAAGCACTCAAACAACAACAACAACAACAACAACAAATCTTGGTGATGCAAGGTGGTTGAAGCAGGACTCGGTACAAAAACCTCATCATATTACACTGTGAATCACACCAACCTGAAGGCAAAACAAGGAAAATTCGTCGAATTTGGCTACTTTGATAGGGACACCCAAATTACACCTGCCCACTGTACACCCCTGGAGTGTTAAAAGAGTCCAACAGAAGAAAAAACACATATTACATCACATTACAACTAAAAAATAATCCAGCAGGTATAGTTCGCTGTTAGTTACTGCCCCTCTTTGGACTCTTGGCATTCCGTAGATTGGTACAGCAGGGACCCGGGATTCTCCGATGCCAACCTCCGGCTTGGTATGTTTCTCCTGAGATGAAGTGGGAACAAAGAAGCCTCCCTGGATTTCCAGTGTTTCGTGTATATACCATGTATATTTATACATGTATACATGTATACTGTATATGTGTGTATGATATATTGATCTATATGTATATTGTATGTTTTTCGGATAGTCTAGCATTGTCGAGTTTCACCATCTCTGTCATTGAAAGTTGGAAATCACAAGGTATAGCCTCTGATATGCAGAAGAACCTTTTGCTCATCCACTGTGCAAGAATCTGTCACCAGAACAAGCAATGATAGTGAACCATAGTCATGATAGTGGCGATAGTGTACGATAGTGACAGTGACATTGGCGGGTTTCTGATTGAAAATCTGGACATCTCTGCAGCCACGAAAGTACGGTAACTACATCGTCCCTGAACAAAACCATCTGTGCAAATCCCGCACTCTTTGGGATGTCCTGTCCTCAACACTTGTTCCAACAACCAACAACTAACAACTAACCAAGTTAATCATTTAAAATGTAGGCTGGGACCAAACTCAGATATACTACTGGTTGGTGGTTTCAACCCATCTGAAAAATATTAGCCAGTTGGGATGATTATTCCAAATATATGGAAAAATAAAACATGTTCCAAACCACCGACCAGACTAACTTGGATTTGCTCAAGAGAACACACACACAAATACAACATATTTCAGTACAGAACCCCAAATGCTAAATTTAACAAATAAACACACTCACTGTCAGCATTTCTATTTTTTCCTAGACAAAGCCAAATATCATATGGTTAGTTTGGTTGGCTCATCTCCCATTGTTGCACCGAGAGGGTAAACAGGCCTCGTCAGAGAATCCAAAGTCATCGTTCCAACCTTTGGCCAAGTCTCAAGCTGCCAGACCATAGATAGAAGATGACTTGTAACATACGATATAATAATATAACATATACAATATATACAATACAATATTATATAGTGTAACATGTAATATCATGTAATATACGTATTATAATCTAATAATTAATATAATATGTAACAAACTATTGTTTTATAAATATATATATATCATATGTCATAATATGTGGTTTTCCTCTTATGACACAAATATAATATAATATACAATCTGTACATACAACGTTTTCTTGATATTTGGCAGTGGGGCAGTTCACACGCCAACCGGGATTTTCCACGATGTTCATCCCTTGAAGGGAGTCTTCCAATGTCAATCGGAATTCGTATGTTTTGGCTGTGTTCAAAAATAGGGGAGTTGTCATTGAAACGGTAAGCATATGTAAAGATGTTGATAATTTGATAATTCGTTGGATTTAAGGGGTGTCATTGAAACGCCATTCGAAGACAAACCCAAATGAAACAACACTAAGACTCTGCAGCATTCTGCTGGATGAATACCCCCTAAATTTTACCATCTGATTGGCCCAACTCTTTGATGGGAAACACCATGGTTCGCTGTAGATGAATGTTTTTTCACAAAATCATCGGAATTGTTTCACTCATCATCATAGATTTTTCTAGATTTCAATATATGTGGTGGTCAAGTCCTATGAAATCCCGAGTTCCATGGTTAAATATGGTTACCCTCTGGTAAACTAACATAACTATGGAAAATCACCATTTTTAATGGGAAAACTCACTATAAATGGCCATTTTCAATAGCTATGTTAAATTCCCAGAGGGTAAATCACTTCAATCCCAAGTTTTGATGCATCAAAATCCACTGGGCCCACTGGGTTGGACGGGCCATCGCTAGGAGAGGCTGCACCGGCAAAAATCTGACGTGTCAAACATGGGGATTTCAAGGGAACATCATAGCTATTGATAAACGATCATAGCTATCATAAACCCCTTATGGATTCTTATGGTAAACTATCATAGCTATGGAAATTACATGAAAATTCATAGGTACATCAACTAATGGGCCGTCTGTCTTCCCTGGCGATGTTAGTTTACTGGAACGTATTTGTTGAATTTCAGAAAAACATCCTCAACTAAGCATCCCACATATGGTTGAAAAACACTACATATTTGAAAACCACCAACCAGTTGTTCATGCGCCATATTTTTTGAGGATTTCATGGGACTGGATCACAAAACCAATCATGTTGTGTTGTGTAGATATAATAATGGGAATATGATGATATGATATTATAATAATAATGGGAATATGATGGAATATATCGAATTTAGGGTTTTGGAATCACAAACAATCACAATCATAAGGATATTAAGCATCATTCTGAGGGGTCATCTTTGGATACCTTTGGGGGTTGGTTCAATCCCCATGCTTACGCGATATTTGATGTTCAACCATCCTTGGATATAATATCCACACATACAAAAAACGATGTGGAAAAGTGACAATTTTAAGACGGTTGCCCGAACGCGGAACCATGGGTGTTCCACATCAAATTATGTTAGTTTACCCTATAGGCTAACATTGGGATACAAACTATAGGTTAAAGTAGATGTTTCGTCAGATTACCACACCATGACATGATAATTTTGCTGACGTGGATCTGGCCTCGGCATGCTCACCCGAATGGTTTGATAATGTGTCCCTTTTGGGATCGGAACGTTCACAGAAATGATGTTGAAATATGTTGAATGGTAGAGAGTGGTAAAGTGGATCAGTCTATCAAAAGCTTTAAGCACCAAAATACATCCAGAAGTCCAGAAGGTCAAGCAACAAATCATCTATGAACCCAAGCAAACATGTCACCTGACACATGTCAGCAATCTGACATGGTTGCCACTTTGGGGGGTGATCAAAACACATCTGCCATCATACAATCAAAGTTCTGTGGACCTGCTTCCATCCGTGAAGGGGGCTCGGAGACGATGCCCAAACAGTGGATGGTACCCAAAGTCATAGCTGGCTGGATAGGTTTTGAATGGGTTGACCCATCCCCAAGGTGATGAATATGCCATATGTATCCCCAGTAAACCAGCTACAATCGTAGAAAAAACTGCTCCTAAAATACCTACTCAACAATGACTTCGAACATTGCTCAATTGTAGATTCATGGTCTAGATTCTAGTTCAACCCTGTTCTAAATCAATAAATGCATATATCATATATATTCATATATTATGTTTATATAACCCCAGTTGCTGAGTATACCTATTTTTCAAGCACTGGGAATTTACCCTGAAGTGATTCCCCTGCTGAAGATGGATCAACCAATTCCTAAGTCATCACAAAACCCTCAGTCATCCATTGATGGATTCCCCTATAACGAATCCATTTTAGGATATCCCCATAAATTGAAAACCCTGTGTAGCTCATACTTTTTCAACTTTCTCAGGACCCATCCTACTCATTCCTACCCTCTCCACCTGCACGATCTCGGGCGCTACCTGCGGGCTCGCTTAAGGGGCTCAAAAGAATCAACGATGGGTTTTAACTGGTTTTTAGTTGGTTTTAGCCTTGATCATGCTTGAATAAAATCTTGGGGTTGCCACACTCAGACAAAATCGTGTTTTGTCTCTGTGTGTTTCTTACATAAACTGCCCGAATTCTGGATGGTGTTTGCTAAAAGGCAGTGTTCCTGCTCCAGGCTCCAGTTGATGTTTGTAGGATTCTCACCATTCAACACCGGTGCGGACTTTACAATAATGTCAAGTTAGGATTAATAATCCCCGCGGTATTAATCAACCCCCTCTTCCCCCCAAAAAAAATCTAATTATTGAATTTAAAAACAGGTGGTCCCACAGGATTAATAAACCGTTTGGCTAGGACATTATTAATCAGCCCCCTGTTCTGAAATCCATGTTTTTTTATCCAAAAGTTTTTATTTCCATTTGTTTTATTCCGATTCTCTTTATTGTTCAAATGGTTTCCTTATGCTATACTGAAGTTGAAACCAAATGAACACCAAAACCCATCACAGCTGATCATTGAAAATTTGAAAAAACAAGGCAACCGGTTGACTCGGCGCCCGTGTAAGGGTGACGAATTTGAAATTCTGATTTTTGAGGCTAAGAGACAAAATGCTGGTATTTGCAGGAGTCGTCAAAAAATGTTTGCAACATGGACATTCATTTCGATTGGCAGGCGTGTGACTCAAGAGTGAAAATGTGCGTTTCGCCTGCGCGGTGACACGATTTTGCTCTTCAAGGGTCAAGAAAAAAACATTAGAAATTCAATCATCCGAGTCATATCAGGGCGACATTCACTCTTCCAGCTTTTTCCTCTTCTCGACGCTAGCAGTACCAGAGCGCTTGTGGCAATGCAGAAGCCACAGTCTGCAACAAGGCAGCGTTGTGACGCCATGTCCAGCTGTAGGCCCAAGTGTACTTTTTTGTACACGTTTTGTTTTTTTTTGTGGAGCATCGACGGAGGTCGCCATTTTTTCAAGTGTTTCCATGTTCCATCCATTTGTTGGGTACCAGCAACAATGGCTCTATAGGATTTATCCCACAAACGACCTCGAAAATGATAAGTCTTAGTCTTAGTAAAGATATTTTGTTTGTGGTTGACTTGGGCCAACTTGAACCTTTTGCGGGGATAATCTTTGACACAACTGACAGCATGTGCAACGTTTGCATCTTCCGTAACGTAAAGGAAGTGCTCGTCAGGGACGTTAATACACCCCCCCACCCCCAACCCCCCCTGATGATCATACGACAGCATGCGCAACGTGTGCATCTTCCGTAACGTAAAGGAAGTGTTCGTCAAGAACGTTAATACACCCCCCCACCCCCCTGATGATCATACGACAGCATGTGCAACATGTTAAAAACTCAAAAAAATCAAATCCTATACCCCCATTTCCGCAAGCCTCATTTTTGAAATTTGCAACCCTTCCAAGGGATCGTAAATGGCACATCTCAAAATTGGCAACCCTTCCAAGGGCGCCGTATCAGCCGCATGCCAAAAACAACTATTCCCCAAATGATCGATGTCTAATTAAATTCTTTTTCTTATCATCAGTTCGGATAGCTCCCAAAGGGTACCCCCCATGAGCTCATGTCCCCCATTAATAATAACCAGGGTTTGCCCCTTATTAGTCAACCCCCATGTCATGTCCCTAATGTGTTTTTCTTTGGATTCGCCCATTCATTCCCAATGTCCCACATAGCTTTCAGCCAATGGAATCTGATCATATCCAAGATTTTATGGTTCAGGGGCCGTTTATTTAGGGGGAATACAGGAAAGACCTTACAAGGTACCTACCTACCTTGTGGGGGGGAGCGGTTGATTAATCCGATGTTGGCATTACTTCACACCTATATAATATACAAATACATTACACAATATTACACATATTTACACATATATACATTTGAAGTAGAAAAAAATGCAGTGCATTGAGGACAAAAATGAAAAAGAACCGGTCGGGAATTCGAACCTCTAGCAACCACGTGTATACTTTACCACTGTGTATTCTATGTTCTTTGTGGGATAGCCAAAATTTGTTTGGTAAACCGTGGGTATTCCCAAATAACCTCTGGTCTTCCCCAACCCCGTGTGCCACCTGTGTTAAACTTGTGTTTTATCCGTGTGTGCCTGTGATTTTAAGCATGGGTTGGAATCCCTTGGAAGTGGTGAGAATTGAGCTCGTTTGTTGTGTTTGGGCGTGTCTTGGGGCGTTCATGACCAATCAACTGGACAGAGAGGCCACATTTTTGAGGACCCGCAGCATTGAGAAATCCCAGCATGCAGGGGCATGGCCCTGAAATTTGTGGAAGTAGATGGACATAGATAGAACAACCTTGGGTTTTGTTTTGACACCTTGAGTTTTAAGAACCACCCTACATGTTCTTTTGCGGGTTTGGAGAGTCAAGAGATACATATGTTATGTCAGGTCATGGTATGGTATGATATGGTATGGCATGGTATGGAATGTAATGGTATGGTACGGTATATGGTTCGGTATGGTTCGGTACGGTACGTATAGCCCGTATGGTATGTATGGTATGTGTGGTCCGTTTGGTATGTATGGTACGTATGGTATGTATGGTACGTATGGTACGTGTGGTATGTATGGTCTGTATGGTACGTATGGCACATATGGTACATATGGTATGTATGGTTTGTATGGTATGTATGGTATATATGCGCGCACACACATATATATATATATATGGTATGTATGGTATGTATGGTATGTATGATATGTATGATATGTATGATACGTATGATATGTATGATATGTAATATATTGCAATGTCATATATTGTCATGTAATGAAATGACATAGAATTCATGTATTATATAATGAGTGAAACATATGGAACATATGGACCGGAAGGAACGTATGTAAACGTAGAATGTAATTTGTGTAATAATGTCATGTCATGTCATGTAACGTACTGAATTGCAATGTAACGTAATCAATGTAATGTAACGTAATGCAATGTTAATGTATGGACGGATGCACGTATGTATATATGTACCCTGTAGCAATTACACATTATTGCTTTAAACATGTAAACCCTATATGGACACTCAAATCTCACCGGATACAAGCTTTCTTCTGCTTACCAACATAGTGAAAGCACATGTCACCGGGAAAAACATGATGACAAATTAACACTGAATGATGGTGACAATGTGGTCATACCGACTAACTTCTTGACTCGCTTCTGATTGAACCTCTGTACAAATTGAGCTTCCAATTTGTTGTCCCTGAAAGTGGGGTGCACCAATGTTGCTCCCCAGCATTTGGAAAGAAACAAGAAGTGTCTAACTGCGATAGCAGCGGCATATCCCATTACACAAGAAACCATGACCCAATAAGTCTCCTCCGGCTTCTGCTCCTCTGGAATTGAAGCCTCCGATCGAGTCAAGCACCATGGAGCACGCTTGCTGCGGAAACAACAAGTGGGACGTTTCAAGTTACTATATCCGTATCCGAAGCCGGCAACAGAATGGCGCGGCCCAATATTGCACATCATATTGAATCAAACCAACCTAAGGTGACTACAACAAATGAGGACCCTGCCTATATTGGCATGGCCCTCAATTGACACACCTCCGAAGTGTTCAATCTAGCAAACCATGGAAACCTGTGTTTCATGGCCCAAAATCTGGCCTCTTCCTGTTGGGAGGCTTCGCTTTCCTGTCAGGTAGTCTTGGCCCGGCAAACAATTATCCAATTGGAAGGTAATTCGAGTGTGCAAACGAATGCCACCAGGTACCTGGTGTGGAACCAGGATGATCCAAAGTACTTTGGGTGGAACCCCATTGTATATTATACGCGGTTCCACCCAGCAGTGTCGAGTTTCACTGTCTCTGCCCTTGGGAGGTGGCAGATCAAAACAAGGTATGCGGTATGCTTTCAACATATTTAAACATATTTAAAACATATTTCCCAAACTGCTGCTGAAAAAATCTGCCTGGATGTGGATGTTTTTGTTTGCTCACCCACACGATGGAAAAAAATATGATCATTTTTTTAGCGACACTGCCTAGCCTTCGGTTCACAATCCGGATAAAACTATTACTGACTGCTGCTTCTGTGGAAGCATTCCCAGAAAAGGTCCAAAAGATTCGAGAAAAAATTGGAACACCTCCCATTAAAAAACTGATGTATAAAAATAAAAAATCCTTTTACTTTTACTTTGAAACTTTCATTCATCCTTGAATTTGTTGTCTCCAAAAAACAGGATGCACCAATGCTGCCCACGGCATTTCGAGAACAAGCAAGAGGTGTGCAACTGCAATGGCGATGCACATCCCATCACCCAACAGATCATGACCGAACAAGTCTCCTCTGGCTTCTTCTTCTCTTCTGGTTTTGAAGCCTCCGATCAGGTCAAGAACCATGGAACCCGCTTGGTGTGCATCAGTTTTGCATTTAGAACAACCAGCGGGATGTTCAAAGTTATCCAGAACTGACGAGTTCTTAGGGATCTTGACAAAATACTAAATTATGGTTTGATGCCAACAAACCAGAACCCACCAACAGAATGGCGCAATATGGCATATCAATGCACATCATATATCATCATATATCATCATCATATCTTATTATCAAACGTGACTAGAAGAACAAGTGAAGACCCTATGTTGGCATCGCCCTCAAGTTAAGCACCTGCCGACTGTTCACACAAACTACATCTAGTTTGCTATTGCCAGGCTTGGAACTTAACATGACATTTCGACCATACAAGGTCTGCCCTTTCCATAGTGACGACATCGAGACTTCAGTTCAATCAAGTTCAATTGGTTGGAAACTAGCCAACCTGGCTGTCACCGCCCCCATTGGACCTCTTCAAATTGGAAGATGTCGCCCTCCTGTCAGGTAGCTCGCACCATTCAAATCGGCCTACAGTGGTGTCTATATACGGATCCTTACAACGGCTGCATTAGACGCTTCGAGTTGTGAAAGCAAATGCCACAAGTACATTGAGTGGAACACCAAGTTGTGTCTAGTACATGCTTCCCCCCAGCGCTGTCAAGCTTCATCATCTCCCTTATTGGTAGGTGGGAGATCAACATCTATACCTGTTTGCTTTCATGATTCAAACCCTACAGAGGGAACATATTTGGTCATAAATAAGCCTGTTTTTGCTTACAGAGTGACAACACTTCTCACCAGGACGAATATGGATAGGAAAGGAAGGTGACATGGAGTGACACCCACCAGCTTATTGACTAGATTCTGCTTCACAATCTGTACATAGGCTGATTTTGCTGGGCTGTGGGCTGCAGGCATAGTGACACCCACTAACCACAAAAACCATCCATGCCAATTCAACACTCTTTCAGACGTCCAGTCAAAAAGATGCAGTCTCCATCGAACTGTAAAAATAATTTCACATAACATGTATCTCTTAAACACAAAAGCAAGCCCAGCCCATGTTGAGCATTTGAAGGGTGAACAGAACCTATGACCTAGTGTGTGATATGGATATGAGCTCTCGATTTGAAGTCAAGAATGGTGTATTGACTTCGTTGTCTGCAGGAATGGGGTCCACCAATGTTGCCTCCAGTAAAATTTGGAAAGAAACAAAAACGTGTCTAACTGCGCTACCAGTAGCTGCTGCTGCACATCGCATCACCAGTCATCACCCAACAGATCATGACCGAACAAGTCTCCTCTGGCTTCTTCTTCTCTTCTGGTTTTGAAGCCTCCGACCAGGTCAAGAACCATGGAACCCGCTTGGTGTGCATCAGTTTTGCATTTAGAAACAACCAGTGGGATGTTCAAAGTTATCCAGAACTGACGGTTTCTTGAGGGATCTTGACACAGTACTAAATGATGGTTTGATGCCAACAAACCAGAACCCACCAACAGAATGGTGCAATATGGCACATTAATGCACATCATATATCATCATATATCATCATATATCATCATATATCATCATATATCATCATCATATCATATTATCAAACCCATCTGGGCCTGACTAGAAGAACAAGTGAAGACCCTATGTTGGCATCGCCCTCAAGTTAAGCACCTGCCGACTGTTCACACAAACTACATCTAGTTTGCTATTGCCAGGCTTGGAACTTAACATGACATTTCGACCATACAAGGTCTGCCCTTTCATAGTGACGACATCAAGACTTCAGTTCAATCAAGTTCAATTGGTTGGAAACTAGCCAACCTGGCTGTCACCGCCCCCATTGGACCTCTTCAAATTGGAAGATGTCGCCCTCCTGTCAGGTAGCTCGCACCATTCAAATCGGCCTACAGTGGTGTCTATATACGGATCCTTACAACGGCTGCATTAGACGCTTCGAGTTGTGAAAGCAAATGCCACAAGTACATTGAGTGGAACACCAAGTTGTGTCTAGTACATGCTTCCCCCCAGCGCTGTCAAGCTTCATCATCTCCCTTATTGGTAGGTGGGAGATCAACATCTATACCTGTTTGCTTTCATGATTCAAACCCTACGGAGGGAACATATTTGGTCATAAATAAACCTGTTTTTGCTTACAGAGTGACAACACTTCTCACCAGGACGAATATGGATAGGAAAGGAAGGTGACATGGAGTGACACCCACCAGCTTATTGACTAGATTCTGCTTCACAATCTGTACATAGGATGATTTTGCTGGGCTGTGGGCTGTAGGCATAGTGACACCCACTAACCACAAAAACCATCCATGCCAATTCAACACTCTTTCAGACGTCCAGTCAAAAAGATGCAGTCTCCATCGAACTGTAAAAATAATTTCACATAACATGTATCTCTTAAACACAAAAGCAAGCCCAGCCCATGTTGAGCATTTGAAGGGTGAACAGAACCTATGACCTAGTGTGTGATATGGATGTGAGCTCTCGATTTGAAGTCAAGAATGGTGTATTGACTTCGTTGTCTGCAGGAATGGGGTCCACCAATGTTGCCTCCAGTAAAATTTGGAAAGAAACAAAAACGTGTCTAACTGCGCTACCAGTAGCTGCTGCTGCACATCGCATCACCAGTCATCACCCAACAGATCATGACCGAACAAGTCTCCTCTGGCTTCTTCTCCTCTTCTGGTTTTGAAGCCTCCGACCAGGTCAAGAACCATGGAACCCGCTTGGTGTGCATCAGTTTTAGTTAGCCTGTTGCTCCCCCGTCTTTCTCATCTAACCGCCCACATTATGATACAACAAAATTCTATGGGGTAAATACTAAAGACAGGGGAGCACAGCCTTATAGAAAACAATAACACAAATCATAACAAACACATAAAACAAAGAAAAAACAAAACAACCTAAACAATACAATAGACTATAAGACAAACCTTACCATAAATCATAACAAAAAACAATTTCACTTTTATAATTTTGAAATTATAAAATGACATTTATGTTTGCTGTTTCTTCAAGTTCTCCAGATGCTTTGTTGTTTGTGTGTGTCTCTTGTAATTCTTACATTGAATTTCATAATCATCACATACAGGGCAGGTCATCCATTTTATTTTAGCATTCACTTGTTCAATGTTTTCTGCTCTATGATTTCTTCTTCTTTCATTTATTTCTTCCCTGTGTGTCCTACCATAATTTCTAGCATATTCCTTTGCCTCCACTATATGATTGTAATAATAGTCTCTCCTCCTTTCATTATATTTTCTTTGTTCTTTTGATGATTAGCCCCCATATATTCCCTACATTTATCACAAGTTTTGTATTTACCCTCTTCCATTTCCTTACAACATTTAGCACACTTGACTTTAGTATCCTCCATTACCTATAGATAGGTAATAACTCGCTAAGTGTCGTTCCTATCCCTTTCCCCTAGGTTATAACATAATCAACAACAAAATCGTAACAACAAACAACAAAAGAAAAAAAACAAAACAACATAGACAATACAATAGATTATAAAATAGTCTATACCATAAATCATAACAACAATAACAAAATCAAAACAACCTACTACAAACAAAATTCAAACAAAAACAAAGCAACAAAACAACAATAGCAAAATCCTAACAACCTACTATCAATAAAACCTATGACATAAACCACAACAACCTCATCATATCAACCCGTCTCATCCATCTCATCCGTAATATATATATATAAAACATAATTGTATTGAATAATTTGTATCAAGGCATATACAAATATACATTATCGTACCTTATCTATTTCATAGGTGTTATTTCTAGAAATCAAAATTGCTAGAAATAGTCCTAGAAAAGAATTGCAACATAAATACAAATTTATGGGGAGAACCAACATAATTTTCATATTCATTTATTATGAAGATTATGGGATTAATTACCACAGTCTCCCCCTATAGGGGAAGCCTCAGCCCCCAGCCAACATACTATCCACCCCCCAGCATACATACCAGCATACATACAAACTAGCATATCACAACAGCATCACATCTTTCTCAATCTCAAATCTCTTTATTTATGCAAGGACTTCCTTTTTTGGACCTTGACTACTGTAAATACGGTATGCCATACAGAAAAAGAACGAGGCTCTGGTGTAATCTTGAAAACTGGACACCCAGACCACTTTGTAAAAAAGATTGTGATAGTATGGATGGAAACCGTCATAAAGAAACAGCGCAAAGAGCACCCAGCAACAGCAAAGATAGATGGCCTGAAAACTATACCTTGTTCAAACAAAAGGATTTGTATAGAATACCTCAAGCATTGGTTGAAGAAATTATGACTGCTGTAAATGTTGTATGTTTTCAGTAAGATTGGGTTGTAAAGGGTTCCTACACTTGGGCTCATTAAGTAGGATTTGGGTTTCCTACTTGGTAGGATTTTCATTTCCTACTTGGAAAGGTGCTCATCAGGTAGGATAGGCGGTTCCTACTTGGGCTGGATTTCGGTTCTCAACTTGGAATGGAGAGGTGCCATTCCTGAAAATGTAGGGTGCCATTCCCCAAAATGTAGGGGGTACATTCCTACCCAAAAATGATTAATTTTCCTTCATAATCCCTCCAAAATGTAGGGGGTACATTCCTGAACGCAAAGCAAGTGAAGTACCTTTTACTCCACTTGAGCCAAAGTAATTAGTGATGATGACTATGTTAATCATCTATTGTTGCATGAATTATACCAAAGTGGCTTGGTGAAACAAAACATGGTGAAAACCCCCAATCATTGTACGGCCCCCCCCAGATCGTGCCATCAAAAGGCGTAGCCTTTAACGGTCCAAGTGAGACCCCCCCTGCACAGGGTCTCGTATGTACCGAAGAGGAGATGGACAAAGATCTGGAGAGTTAAACAGCCCTTTTGGAAGGTTCACCAAAACTATTCACAGTTCTCACCAGCTACGCTGCCAAAGGCCCAAGCTCACCAGCTGCACTGCCAAACGCCCAAAGCTGCACGCAACTTCCTCAGATTCCCGCTCGTAAGCTGGGCAATCTATGCAGTGGCATTGACTCAGAGGCAACTCAAACAACCTTGGTGTTCCTTAGTCTTTGACATTTTCCTTCCTCGGTTTGAGACCGACGAGATTACGGAGATGGAGGAATACCTGTTTGTTGAGAGCTTTTGTGAGCAAATCGGCTAGTTGTTGCTTGGACTCGATATGCTCTACCTTTATTAGGTTTCGCTCTACCGCTTCTGATAGCGCTGCTACGGATATGCGATGGGTTCTGTTCATGGAGCGCAGCTTAGGGCTGTAGCCTGTGGCTATCACTTGTATTGTAGCTGTGTTGTCTTCGTGGACTACAGTCTCAATGGTGATTTTGAGGATTTCTTCAAGGATGGTTTTGAGTGGAAGACACTCTTGAAAAACAGCCTCATTTGCTGAAGCCAACTCAGCTTCAGTTGTTGACCTTGCAACTGCTGTTTGACGTTTGGAGCACCAACTCACCGGGAATGTCGCTTCACCTTGGAAGTCAAGCACAACAAGAATGCCAGTGTGGCTCTTGCATGTGAGAGGGTCTCCTGCAAGGTCCGCGTCACAGTAAACCCTGAGAGTCGGGGGATGGTAACCAGGCACATGACCCCATAGACCTAAATCACATGTTTGCTTTACATAACCTAGGAGACGTTTCAACTGGATGTCATGGTTCCTAGACCACTTGCATATTGCCCCGCCTAAGCTGGTAATAGCAAAGGACAGGTCCGGCCTGGAAAGCCGTGACAGCCACAGCAATTTCATGAGTAGCGACGCTGCATGTCCAGCCAACTGTCCCTGAGATTCATACCCCTCAGTGGTAAGCAGAGATTCGGAGACGAATGGGGTTTCACAAGGTTTTAGGGCTCCAAATTCTGACTCATACATTTCATACGATGAACGTGCGTAGTCAGGCATCGACATGAAGACTTTCTTCCCTTTGTTTAGCTCAACCACAAGGTGATCCCTTCCTAGGTACCTTCCAGGAACAGTGACGTCATCAAACGACACGTGACTCCTGACTGTTTCCCAAAACTTGGCGACTCCCTGTTCAGGTCCGGCAGCGATTACATCATCCACGTAAGTAGCTAGAAGAACTTCCCAATCCTTGAACCACCAAACACTTGGAAACTGTTCAATTCTTTTTCCTTTCATTGGTAACCAGGGTGTTGTCAAATTAATCAAACCAATCGTCACCAGCAGTCTGGTGTCCATACAAGGCGCGATCCAATGGGCATGCAACCTTCCTGAATCTGGAGTGCCATTCGTCTCTCCAAACTACCTTCGGAATTATTGCCCATGTAGGTACTGTCGTTTTCAGTGGCGCTTGAAGGTACGCTTTGATGGCATCTGAGATTTGAACAACATTCCCGGGTCGCATTCCGTAAAAGAACACGATGTCGATGGAATGAACCATAGCTGGCAATGATTTTACTTCCCTGTAGGTTGCTTTGACACCCTTTTCAGTTCGGCAAGCATCTCCGCGATAAACCAGCCTAGCTCTGAGTTGACGAAATTCTGGCTGTAACTCAGAATGCTTTTCATAGCAAATGGGCATGATTTCAGAAATGTGGATAGTTTCCCCATTCCTTCTGCATGATTCTAGCAATTCATCAACTTCTATTGCTTTTGACTCATCCCACACTTTCATGGAACGCATCTCGTTGGCCTCCTTCATGAGGACTTCCTTGGCTTTCGGGTTCCGCAGAATCTCCTCCCTGGAGAGGGGGCGGTTGACAAGCGCCAGAACTTCACGCGCAAGCCACATGCCTTGTTCCTCGTGGGCAATGGTTCCTTTCACGGTCGGCATTTGGGGAACATGGTTCATGATTGACCTGACACACAGAGAGGAAACGATTGCAGTTGCCATTTTCAAATTGTAAAAACCACTTTTCTCTGCCAATCCACCACCAACCAATTCATCGTGACGGAAGCCAAGAGGATGCTTGCACTGGTCCTTGTTCATTTCCCCCGCAAGTCGCTTTGAAGTAGAAACTATCCGCCACTCTTTGAGGGGTTTGCGACCATCAATGGTAAGATCAAACCCACACCCGGTTGGGTAACCAGCATGCATGTTCAACCTGGAAATCATGTTTAACACCATGTCTTCTTTCCACCCTGGGCTGTTCTTAGGGCATTCAAATGATGAGGACCCCCCCGAAATCATAGCTACGTCAGACAACCTGTCAAACAGCTCAACCATTTTGAGGGATCTTTGCCTTTGAGATTGGAAGTAATCCTGGTATTGTTCTCCTTGGGCAACAAGATTTAAATTCTGGAGGTGTGAAAACGGCCCACACGGGATTGAACCAAAGATATGAATCACTTCCTCAAGTTGAACCCTTTCGTGCATCCAATACTCTATTTGACAAAACACAGTTGGATCAAGGACATCCCCAAATTCTCTGGACAGGCCCAGGTATGGTATCCCAAGTTGTTGGCAAACCTTTCCACAGGAACTGGTTTCGGAACAGCAGAATTCTACAAACCATTCTGTTGACCTACTTTCTGGTGTGTGTACATGTCTTGGCTGGGTTAGTGCTGCACACGCGGTCTGGAGCTTTAAGGCCAAAGACTCTTCATTATGATCACCTCGGTCCAGGGAGTCGATGAGGATTCCTGCGACGACCTCGTTGCCCCGCTCCAAACCTCGAGTTTGCACCTCGAACGATGGACCTTTGGCAACATTGATGAGTCCCATGATGTCCTTAGAGTCTTCAAGATCATCACCTGCGATGGATGGCTCATATTCGTCATCTCCAGGTTCATCGAATTCTTTGGGTTCATCAGGCGGGGATTTCTTGGGTTCAGCCGGTTCAGTTTCATCAATGAGTCTGTTAAACCGGTCTCTACAGTCTTTGATGTGTTGGTACCCCCCTGATTCAAAGGCGTGGCAACCCTTGGTTGGCCCATGAATACCGATTCGGATCAAAGTGATACTTCGGTTTCGTTTAGAGTTGTGTTTTTCTTTCGAACCACCTGCTGTTTCAGCAAGGCTGGCTTCGTGCTTTTCATGTGATTTTGGCGGTTCACCACCTGCTGTGTCAGCAAGGCTGGTTTCCCCGCCCCTTGCGTGGCGAGCAATGTCCTCCAGAAATTGTTCCCTGTCTTTGTCAGCATCCTGAGAATCGATGCTAGGTCTCTCCGCTAGGTCCCCAAGATAGCCTGGCAAAGGATCTACTTTCAGTGAGTCCGTCCCTTCAATTTTTGCTGGGAACTGCCAAGGCCCAGGTGGCAGGTGGAATAGCCAACGCGCGGACCACGCGTTCACGCAAGACCCCTTCTTTGAATTGGTCAACTGGCCAGGCGCGGTACAAACCTTTGAACTTCATGCCATCAGTCAATTCCCCCCCAAGAAACAAAGCAGGTTCCCCTTTGGGGTCAAATGGTCGAGGGTTGAAATCTTTGATCCATACCAAGGCGCCAAATGGTACTTTGTATCCCTCATATGCATACCCATGATGCCACTCATAGAACGTAAGAGGACCTCCTTCCCCCCCATCCCAAAAGGTGGTGATTGGATATGCCCATTCGATGTATTTGTGGGCAAGGGGCCAGTAATCATGGCTCAGCCCAGCTTGGAGGAGAATGGCCGCTGTCATGCCCGTAAGGGTTCTAATGAATGACTCAGCATAAGGGTTGTGAAGCTTACTCCTTGGCTCGGCCGGGTCATCAGTGAACCCCAACCTTTTGATGGCTGACAGGATTTCTGGCGCACGGTCAGAAGCTACAGAAACGATGCCTGATCTATGGCCACAGAATCTACGTAAGACTGCTTCAACCTCGTCAGTGTGCTTTGACTTACATGGCATTACACCGACCAATTTGCTGAACCTGTCAACCACAACCAAAGAGCACGTCTCCCCGCCAATCCCGATACTGGTTCTGGAGATGACATGGTCACATGCTATTCGCTCCAGAGGTGCTGTAGGCTCTTCGATGTCCCTGATGTCGCGAAGATGGGCTCGCTCATTGGCCCTGCGCCTGTGGGGCGCCTCATACAGCTTTGCCTGTAAACAGATTGGGCACTTTCTTGACTTGGGCAAGTGTGTCAGACAGTGACTTGCATCTACCGCATCCTCAGTCCAAACGTCTTCTTCCTCTGAACCACCATCACCGACAACTGCGATTTCAACACCATGTGAAACTTCAGGTCTGTGAGATGATGAAGCAAGTGCATGGGGTGCAGCGTCTTCATGAATTTCAGATGCATTCCCCCCCCTGAAGATGAACATGGCATACCGGGTACTAGGTCAGTAGAGAACCGGAAAATGGGAACATGGTGTTCAATACGATGGGCTTCAATAATTGGGCCATCAGTTTCATAGTGGAGGGAGGAAGTGGGTGGAACTAAGAATGGGAGATGGCCGCCTGAAGGCCACACAAAGGAAAACCCGTCAGCGCAGAGCTGACCAATGCTTAAAGCAAGGGGGCACTGAGGTAGCATGTAAATATTGGTGAGGCGTTTGAGCTCGTCCGCCCAACAGCCAACAGTAGTAGAACCATGTTGGGTCCCGCCACCTGTGGCAAACCGCATGGGAGAAGAAGTATAGGTGAAGCAAGAAGATGGAACATCTATATAAGCCCTGTTTCTTCAATGCTTCTGGTGATCCCAGACACTCCCCGGCCCCTGTATCTCCAATGAAATCCAAGTAGCCGGAAAAGTCGGACTCCACTGCTGTTGTCATGCCCATCACTGGGCCAAGGCCACAAAGATAAGCAACCATAGCCGCAACTGCCTTGGCCTTTGGCTGGGCGGCAGGTGCCTTTGGCGTGGCTGTGGATGCTGCTGCAGCTGAAGTGGCTGGCGCGTCGTGGGAGAATGGGCAATTAGCCCTTGTGCACTTTCCCCGGGCATAAAAGATGCATGGAGGAGGGTTTCCCCCTTGTTGAATGGATTTGGGAGGATGGTTTGGAACTGCCCTTTCCCTTTCCCTTCTGTTTGTCTTGGCCTTTGGCCTTGGGATCTGGCTTTGCCTTGTCAGTTGACTTCTTGTCCCCTTTCCCTTTTTCAGCACCCTTTGGGGCAACCGCTGCCTTGGTGTCCGGATTGGTTTTCTTTGACGGTTGAGGGCCCTTCCTGAGATCATCCCTGATGCTTTGTGCGTTTGTATCGTGTTGGGATTCCCGTAATGCCGTGACAACACCCTCCCAAAGGAAATCAAAAGTGCGCATGGCTGGAAGTTCCTGGTACCGGTCAATCACACGCCTTAGCAGTGGGTGACGTTTAAGGGAATTGTACGCCCAATGAGAGAGCATTTCATCGGCTGGCCGTTGGTGAACGGATGATTGGGATAGTATGTACGTAACTTTGTCATGCCAATGCTTCAAACCCTGAACACTGTCTTGAGGCGCCGGGAGTTGAAACAATTCCAAACTCGTGGTAATGGATGTGGCGACATTTGCTGTGTCAAATTCGGTTGAAATCATGTTCAGAATATATCTTCCCCGAATGTTTTCAGCTGAAATCTCGCATCGTTCCACATACGACTGAATTTTCAACCCAAAACTTGACTTCAGTGCTTCTTGACGACACAGGAGACTAGCAATGACTCTGTCACACCTAGGGAAATCACCACTGTCCCGACTCAACTCCGCCGACTCTGCCCCCCGAGCCGTGAAGGCTCTTGAAAGCCAAGGTCCCAAGAGGCCCTCTGTGCTTCGATCGAAGGCAAGCAAAGCCGTGCGGACAGCATTTCGCCAAGCTCTGTAGTTGGCAGCTGACTCTGGGATTGGTGGGAGCTTCAAGTGGTGCAAGTCCTTGGTCCTTAATGTTTTCCCTTCCACGTCCTGACCTGCTTCCTGGTTGTGTTCCGGATCACCCTCAACATCAGAATCATCCCAGATGGCATGATGAACAGGTGAATTACCATGGGAGCTAGGCTCAGGCCGGGAATTGGCAACATGTGGGACATGCAATGCGTTCGTCTCCAAATGGTCTATAAGTTGATGCACACTTTCATCAAACCCCTGCATCCTAGGCAATATATTCTCCCTCACTTGATGGTCCAAATCCCTAAGGAGAGTGAACGTACCTTCAAGGTGTGTCAAGCGTGGAAGAATGCCTGTTTGGATGAAATTCTCCATTTCAACTTCAACAATCCTATGCTCAATAACCGCGCCATTGAGGCTTGAAGTTGGATCCACATTGGGGGATTGGGCTTCTATGGTTCGAGCCCTGTTTCTCAAATCTTCATTCTCAGCCCTAAGTGATTCAACCATGGCCCTCAAACTCCTGAGTTCGAAATCCATTGCGGACTCCCGCGCCTGAGCAACAGCTTGAGTAGCTTCTGCCCGAACAACTGCCTCCGAAGTTTGGGCTCTTGCAGCTGCAACTGCACTTGTTGCTTCGGTCACGACGGCCGAAACAGCGTGAGTAGCTTCAGCTCTGACTTCTGAGGTCGCCGCCGTTGCTGCTAAGTGCCCGACAACTGAAGGGTCAGGGTTGAAAATGTTGTGCTGGAAGTGGATAGACCTTTGGTCTATGTTCAGTTCCCTCTGATCAACCTGATACGCCTGGTATTGTTGCATTTCAGGATCCCTTTGGGATCCGTCAGCATGAATTCTGGGGACATACGACATGTCTTCCAAGGGCGGCAAGGATGATCCTGATGGTGAGATTGCGGACTCCTCTTCTGCTTTCATGGAGATTACTTGTGTTCTCCTAGATGTTGTTGGATCGTTCGGAACTGGGGGTGTGTGCGGCTTTGCGGGTAACGCTTTCCTTACTTGAGTGGGATTTCTTTGTGGTTAGGACTTTGGTCTAGAACGGGAGGAGGCACCACTGGACGACTCTCTGGACAGGTTTCCTGTTTCTCCTGGCATACCAGCTGCTACTCCTCCACTGCTTTCGGTTGACAACTGAAAACTTGACGATTCACCCGACTCTTGCATCCAAGTTTCAAGAACAGCGGCTGCTCAGCTGCCGACAGGGACACCTGCTCGTAAGCAAGGCTATCCTGTCTTGAAGATGCCAGGCCACTGGGAAGCCCAAACTCTGGGCACAAGCCTCAACCTTTCGATTGCTTCGAAAGCTGCCACAATGTCCTTTACTACCACGAGATCTGGAGGCGGGTTGCGCAGGTTAGGATTCAAACAAATGTTCGGAACACCCCTGTCGTTGAGCTGGCGACAGATTTCTACTTTATCGTCCACGTGCACTGAAACCTCCTGTGCTTGGATGTCTGATTTAAGTTTGTCAGTTGTAATTCCAATTCGAAGGTCGGCGTTGTGGGCGGTATTGAACCGACGTACTGATGTTAAAGCCTGATCTCTACGGAATTTACTCTCCGCCCCTTTAAGGCCAATATAGGAGTACACACCGGCTTGATGGTATGGGGATTGGGACAACCAATTTGCGAGTTGATTGATGGCAACCGTTGACCACCTTCCCTTTCCAGTTGAACCTAAATCCAACACCCCGTGCAGATCCAGAGACAATCGGATCGTCGGATGAGCACCCGCCACAGAAGATGCTGTCGAAGCAACCTGTGGCCCACCCCGCGGCCTGAGTTCTAGAGGCCTGGCTTCCGAGATCAGCACACCTGAAGAACTTGGTGCCTCCGGCAAGCTAGAAACTGGAACTTCTGGGCCAGAAACTTCGGGAACAGCCTTTGGGGGAGAATGTGATGGATCAATAGTGATAGGTTCACAGCTTTCGACAGTGTCCTGAGTAGGTGACAGTGGGGTTTTCGCCTCTGAGTTAACAACTGACGGCTCTTTATTCTGCCAATCAGACCAATCCTGCCAACCGGACCAATCCTGCCAACCAGTGTGTTGACCCCAATTACCAGTGTTGTAATCCGAGGACGAATAACCAATTGGGACAGATTCACTTTTGACCTTGGGGATGTGTTGGCCCTGTTCAGTCAGTTCCCACAACTCCTTCTTCCTCTTTACTTTCTTGCCTCCTCGTTTTTTTGGGGCGTCCCTGAAAGGTTGATCACCACTCATACAAGAAAGGTCACAGCCAGATCCCGTTCCCCCTTTGCCACTCCTTGCGAGCAAGGCAGTGGCGACCAAGATACAAAGTACTCGGTCTAGAGAAGAAATGCCAATGCAACCAGACAGCAGCCCAGTCACACGTCAGCGGCACACAGGAAGGGAGCTATGGCAAGCTATACGGCTGATGA